TTTTCTATATTCTCTGAAATATTTTTTTTCTCATTTATTCCTTGTCTGGCATAAGAGATTTATTGAACTATTGGTTTAATTGATTACATTTTTATAATTATATTTTTAAAATATATAAAATCAATCAGAAAGCACATTGGCATAATATAGAATATGTATTAGTGAAAAAAAATACTTTAAAAGATTAAAATAGGTTAATTTAATTTAGACTACGAATCTAAACTATTATAATAAATTATTTAATGTACAGATAGCTAAATTAAATTCAAATCTAATTATATTATATGTATAAAAAATTTTGAAAATTTGATGGGATGATTTGATCTATAAAAGATAGATTTTATATAAATCAAAAGCATTAGAAGAGATGAATATTTCAGAAAAATAGTATAAAGATAATAAAAAGCGTATTTTTAGTTTATAAAATATATATTATTTGATAATATATCAAAGTGGATAAAGGTTTCTTGATTTTTTACCCATGGTAATCATAATTAGTAAAACAAATAAATTGTAAACTTATTTATGTTCTAGAAATAAATAATGATTATTTAAAGAATAATAATTGAAATTATTATGATATAAAAAATTAAGAATAAATAGTATGATTATATTTAATAATATAAATTATTCTAAGAATGTTTAGAAGATTTTTAAATATAGCTACTATTCCTTTGATAAGATATAAGAAACCTATATTGTGTGCAAGTTTGATTAGTTTAACAACATTATATTGCATAGAAGATAAAAATTTAATAGAAGCAAGGAAAAAGATAGAGGAAGAAATATTAAAGATGAAATCTTAATATGGTTCTGAGATGAATATGTATCCAGAAGTAAAGTAAAAAAGTAGTGGTGATATATATGTAGATATGGAACAAAAGGAAACAGATATTCGATAACATTTATAGCAGATTAAAGAAAGTGTGACATATTTGCATTATTAGTGAATATACTCTGTAAGTTATAGAAGTTAGAAGGGAGTTTTAGAATAAAGGAGGTGAATTCAACATTTGAAAATTAAATATATAGTTTATAAATAGATTTTGAGGAGAGTGTAGGGAATCCAAAGAGTAAAATAGTGACATAGGGAACAATTTATATATATGGTGAGATGACAAATGAGAAGCCATCAATATAAATAATATTGGAGAAGACAGAGTAATTTTCAAATGGAGATTTAGAAGCATTTATGGCTTGTTATGTGGAGGCAAATAGACCAAGAACATTGGTGAATACAAAAAATTTTAAGAGTAGTTAATAAATATAGAGTGAAATGAAAGAAGAATAAGATATGAAATTATAAGAGTTAGAGAAAACAGGTGTAACAATATTTTTACCTGATAATAAGGAAAAGAATTTAGATTGGAATTATTTAGCAGGTTATGATAAATAAAAGAGAGATATAGAAGATACAGTATTATTAGCATTGTAATATCCAGAAATATATGAATCTATGACACAATTAACAAGAGTTAAAAATGAACCAAATAGACCTAAAGCAATATTATTTGAAGGTCCTCCTGGAACAGGGAAAACAACAACAGCAAGAATAATAGCATAATAAGTTTAAATTCCATTAGTTTATTTACCTATAGAAAGTTTTATGTCTAAATGGTATGGAGAAAGTGAAAGATAATTTTCAGATATATGGAAGAGTTGTTAAAAATTAGGAAGAGTTATTATATTTATTGACGAAATAGATGCAATAGCATAATAAAGAGGTGGAGAAATGCATGAAGTATCCAGAAGAATATTATCTACTCTATTGAGAAAGATAGATTCTTTCGAAAGTAATACAAATGTATTATTAATATGTGCAACTAATAGAAAACAAGATTTAGATGCTGCAATGTTAAGTAGAATAGATTTATCTCTTAAATTTGATTTACCAGATCACTAAGCAAGATAAGAAATATTTTAAAGATATGCTAAACATTTAAAAGATAAAGATAGAGAAATACTTAGTTAATTAAGTAATGGAATGAGTGGAAGAAATATTTCAGATATATGTAAAGATGCTGAAAGAAGATGGGCAGCTAAATTAATTAGAAAAGAAGTTACTGATTAATTACCTACATTAGATTAATATAAAGAAACATTAACATAAAGACTTAATAACTTTGCTTGAGTGTTTAATATTTTATTATTATATACAAATATTTATTATGTCATAAAACAATAATCGTTAATTGCAAGCAAGACCGAATAGAAAAACTGAATAATCATTTGATTTTTTTAAAAATACTAAAGTTTCAACTTGCAGTTATATAAAAAGAAAAGGAGATGATTTCATTGCAGTACCATATTACTATAAACCAAATTAAAGAAATCTAGATTATTTGAAGTATTACAAGTATTATTATTAGTAAATCAATGTATTCATCATCTACTAATCATGATGCTTATAATAATAAACGAAGATGTTTTTCAAGTATGAGAAATAAACCTTTATCTCCTTATAATCCTTTAGCTCATCGAAGTAGATTAGCAGATTAGAGTTTTAGAATCTCTTCTAGTAACGTTTGCCAAATAGAAATTGGAGATAGGTTATAGAAAATACTAATCTTAGAAATTAAAAAATGACTAAGCATTATGTAACTTCATATAAGAACCATCTGGGTAATTTCGGAGAAACTACACCTTGTACAAATCCATAAATTTTAGCAGAAAGGGCGAAATGGAATCACAAACTTAAAGATAAATGATTTTATATTAAATTTATCAATCATTTACTGTATTTTCATGTAGAATTCTAGATATTCATTTATTTGTTTATTAAATAATTATTCATTAAATAATAGATTATAATAATTGAATCCTATTGTTTACAAATACATTAAATTAATTATGAATAGCACTTAGAAAAATAGAGAAGATAATAATTCATCTCGAAGCAGAAGTGAATCTCCTTTAAGTTAAGAAGAATAAGAAAGAAGAAAGAAATTACCTGTCTATGAAAGAACATTAGAAGAAAATATTATGAGGAAGAAAATTAAAGCTGTTGAAAAAGATAGATTAATTAAAGTGTTTAATGCACTTATTTAATTAGAGCCTAAAAGAATTGAATAAGAAACAGAAGGTAATAAAACTACAGAAGGAGATACTAAATTAGGAAAATAAAAAAGAAAGAAATCTAATGAACCTAAATTCTCAGCTAGAGCTATTTATGCAATGATGAAAAAATTAAAATATAATCCTGTTGGTGATGAAGTTGAAAGAATGATTTGGGAAATAGATGAAGATTTAGATGAATAAATTAGTTGGTATGAATTTCAATTAATGTTCAAAAGATGTATTAAGGATACTTCTTATTTAGAACCAAGGTAATTTATTTATAAAATTTAAGAGGATTATTTAACTTTGTGTAATTTCTAATGTATGCTTATGACAAAGAAGCTATTAAAAATACTATAACTGTCGAAGACACTTTAGAATTATTATATGTTAGATGTGGAAGATAAAATTTAGATGGAGAAATATTCAAAATATTTGGTCAAGATGAAAAGACTGCAGATGGATAAGAAAAGGAAATCACTTATTTTGAATATTTAGCATAAATGAAAAAAAAAGACTTTAACAATTGGACTGAATTAGAAAATAAAAAAAAGAAATATGATCCTTCCAAAGAATAAAATCTAAATAAGAAAGATTGATATATTTATTATCTAAAAATTACCATTTATTTATTTCATTATTTTCATTTATTATTATCAATATCAAATTTTAATCATTATTTATATTAATAGACTCTAATGTTTCCCTAGTATGGTATCATCATTTATTTATCAATCTAACAAAGCTCTTGCCATTATCCATCTTTCTATATTGGGCTTTTGAATATCTTAGAGGACTTTTTTAAATTTATAACACATAAATAACCATCTCCTGAGTAACAAACTATCTATTTACTATTTAAAGGCAATAATCTAATTTTTTATATTTCATTCTAAAATACCTGTAAATAACACTTTCACTAATTTTATAATCTCTTGTTTTAGTACCTTTCAAAATCTTTATACTACCATCTCCCATTCCAAGAACGTACTTTCCTTATTATAATTATCCTATACAAAATATTGGAATCTGAAATTAAGTTGATTTTTTAATTGTTTAATTTCCAAGATCAATCTAATATGTCTATAAATTTGTACCCAATTTATTTAGCCATCTTAACCAACTGTTATAAGATCTTTCTCCAATAAAAAATCTGAAACTGCACCTTAATGAGCATTAAAACACTTAAAGTATTTTCTTTCTTTTAAATCCCATAATTTTATTGTACCATCTTAAGATGCTGATATTAAATTTCTTAATGAATAAGATTGTAATTTAGATATTCGTTATGTGTGACCATTTAAATTATATATTTTTAATTTTGATTACAAAGAAAATGCCGTTATAATTCCCTATCCACCTGCAAATAAATAATATTAATCTTATAATTTAGCTACAGTTAAAGCGCTTAATCCTTCATTTGCTTTAATTCTAAAGTCTAATGAGTAATTTGGCTTTAACCATCCCACAATATTACCTGTATCACTTCCAGATATTAAATGAGATGGACTCTCTGTTATAGCTACTATTGAGGCTTCCGATTCATGACCTCCATTTAAAGATTTAAATCTATTTTGTTTAATTTTATCTTCTATTTCATAAACTTACTCATTATTCGTCTTATTCAAAGTTCTTGTTGCTTCATCATATAATTATTGAACGTCATAATTAAAATTTTAGAGACGAAAATTTACTTATATCTATCCCAAAACATTTTTGTTTAGTATTTTTAATTTATCAAAAATTTCTTTTACTTCATTTACCACAGTTTTATCAAAAGACTATTTTTCTTTCATCATTATAACAGCAGAATCATATTCTTATTTACTCAAATTAAAATTTTTCATATTAATTAATTATTAAGCCCAGCGATTTGATTGATTCGAATTTATAATTATACCTTATTCTTATAAAATAAATGCCAATTGTTTCTGTTCCAAATCTAAAATTTGATGTTTAAATTTATTTTTTGCCTTGTCAAATTACTCATCTATATATTTTAATAATTTAGAATGTTCAGGAAAATAATGGCAAGTTGCTTTATGTAATTCTGGATTCAGAATATATGATAATTCATTTTGAAATTGTTATATCTCCATTCTCAAATTACATTTTTAATGAGTGAATTAACAATCACTACATAATATTCTTGAAAAATGTTTACAAACATCTTCCATACACACTCCAGATATTTATCTTTTATGCAAATCACAAACCTATTAACTTAAATTTTTAGTAAGTATTAAGGGTGTCTGTTATTTATTATTCATTAAAATATATTGAAATACTGAAAAAAAATAAATAAAATAATTTCCTAGAGATAAATATAATTCTTAAACACATACAGAATATATCTAATTCTCAAACATAATTGACGATTCCTATTAGAATGACATCTTAAAAAATTTAGTGAATTGATTAAAATCCTGTTTAAATTATTATATCAATTGCAAATATACAACTTATAATTAATTTCATTGATGATATTCTAATTCTTTAATATTATATATACTTATTCATTAAGCAATATCCTGCAAAAATATGAGCAAGTCCAAATAAAGATCGAACTTTCAAACCTAAGGCAACAAATTATTATAAATTTTTCATTCCTAATTATCTAACTGATCTGTCATAATGCAATTATGTCCAAGGGTCTGTCAATAATGCTATGCCATATATAGCAACATAAATTCCAATAAGAAAAATTCCTAAACCTTTCATACTTTATTAAGAAACCTTAAAAATTTAATATAATATTTAATAAACAAATTAAATACATAAATCAAAAATATAGAAGCTTTTGCTATCAATGATTATGATGTAGAATAATCGATAAAAACTTATTCAAAACTTTCTATAAAATGTTTGACAAATAAAATAAGCTTATAATTTTAATTTTATTTTTTTCTCAAGATTTTTTGAATTTCTAATATAAATAAAAAAAATCTTAAAATTATTCAATAATATGATTATGGTCGTTATTATGTATTTTAAGGCATATTTTAAATAGGTCTTTTTGATTGATTTTTTGAATCTAATACTTGATGATGAAGTTATTCATTTTCTTTTTTCAATTTTTCATTTTCTAATTTAAGCTCTGATATTTATTTTTCTAAAAAATTTATTTGCACATTCAATGCTTTTACTTCTCCTTCACCTTAAGCTCTAATAACCTATCTATCTCCCTCTGCTTTTGCAATTTTTTCTCTTAAATTCATACATTCTTTATTCATGTCATCATATTTTAATTAAAAATGATAGAGCTTTTCTTCTGCTAACCTTCTTTGCTTTTAACTATCTATTTTATTAATAATAAAATTACTTTATTCTTCAATTTTAGCTTATTCAAGATCTCTTTGTAACTATTCAACCTATTTAAGTGTTCTTTATAAATGATAATCTTATATTGCATTAGTGTTTTCTACCCTATCTTCTTATTTTTTAAACTTTCTATAACTTTATGTAGTATATGTTGTAGATGATGGATAATACATAAGAATCGTTAATTTTATTATTATTAAAAAAATTAAATAAAATATTTTGTAAGCAGAAGAAAACAAAGTTTTGCATCAAACATTTTAATTAATAGATTTATATAGAAATCAAATAATTTTTTTTCTTCATATTTAAATCATAAACAATAAATGCTTTATTTTGGATTCTTAACCTAACTCTCAAAAAGCAAATAATTAAGAATAGTTTTTAATTCTATTTTTATTTCACTCTTAATTTTTTTATTGTTCATTAGATTTTTTTCAGCATATCCTAAACTTAAATAAGCCTCCCATTTATCTATAAATTCTTATCTATTTTGATTTTTATATTAAAGTTCATATAAGTCATGAATGGTGAAAATTTTACGATTCCTTTTTTTTTCTAGTTACTATTAAAGTTCATTTTCAATAACAGAATATTAATTTTCCTTACAATAATTTCTGAAAGAATTAATGAGATGAGATGCGATTTAAGCAATTTGTCTCTTATATTAATTCTGGCAATATTCTATTTTTTCATTCAAATCTATTCCTAGCTCATCTTTTAATATTTTAGACACTTTTCTAATAAGATGTTTTGGAACCGTAAGAATTCTTCCATTTATTGAAATCTTTTCATCTTAAACTCCAATCTTATTCATTTAAAATTTTAATAAATATGGATTAATTATTTCTCTATATAAAATAACCAAAAATATATATAGAATGATTTAATTTAATAATTATTAATATAAACAATAATTATTCATTCACACTTGATTAAATTTTTAATTTTATTTTTTTTACTAGAATTATCAATTTATTTTGCAAATTCTCTTTGTAATAAATTTGTAGCATTGAAATAACTTTTTTGAAATCTTTTTTGATTCTTTTATTTTGTTAAATGAATCTACAATATAATCAGATTAGAAACTTGAATCCAGCCTTCCGTAAAAGCTCAGGTACTCTTGGGATGACGTCAAGAGAGTTATTAACTAATGAATTCTAATGTAATTTACTCCCGGCCATACCCTTTTCATTTATTAATTATAACTAATTAGAGAAGTTAAATCATCAAGTTCAATTTTTCTATCTTAGATTTTCTTCATTCTTTGACCAAAGAAGAAATTAATTCATGATGGATAGAACAAATTTTTTTTTAACTCGTTCGATACATTTATGTTTATTTTTTATACTTATTCAAGCATTTCCTACAACTTATGAAACTATTAAGGGTGATTTTTATTTTGAAAACACTATTCTATTGTTCAAAATTTTTAATGGAATCCATAAATATATTAATTACTTAATTATAAAATTAATTTCATTTTTTTAAACAAATAAAATAGGATCATTCTCTCAAAAAAAAATTAGATAAATTAATTTTAATATAAAAATAATAGATGTTTAAGAGTTTTTTTCATTTAACTATTAGCTTAAATAAAATATAATTCCTCAATCGAAATATTTTCACAGAAATTTTGAATTATATTTCTCTTAAACTACCATATCTTAGATTACTTAAATATTTTTGTTACTAGATCTCATAACTTAGTTAAGATAGGAATAAGCATTTAATTAGATAAATTCTTAGCTATTGAAAACCTAAGCACATCTAAATTTTTAAGAATGAAGGCAATATTTATTAATTAATGTTAAAAAAATGGAGAGATACTCAAATTTAGAAATTAGATCAGATTGTACCTTGCAATATATTTTTAAATTATATGAATTATTGAATCCTCTATATATATCTTTTATTATTATATATTTTATTTACCTTTTTTATTTCGGATGTCTTTTTAAATATGAAGATTAAAACTGAATATTATTCTCGTCATATATACAATTAGTATCAATCTAATAAAAATTATAAAGTCTTTTGATAATATATATTAATAAATATTTTCTCCTAAAAGAATTCACATTTTTGGAATTTGAAAATAAAAGTAAATTCTGAAATAAATTTATTAAAAATATAATGATTCTAAAAAATGTTTTCAAATTTCTTTAATTTGAGAAAATAAAATATTTTAGATATAAAATTTAATATTATAATCTTTAATTATCTTTATAAAAAAAACTCTTCATTAAATTACATATAATGCCATTTTATATTCAGTTGTGTTGATTAGAGTTTGATTACCTATTCTTTTACCTCCTTAAGGATGATCCAACCATATACTAAATCTTTTCGGATCTTGGGGATCATAATTATCTGCTAAATAAAGATGAACCTTTTCTTATGGAGCAAATCCAATTGAAATTCTAGGTACATAATACCAAAATAGATTATCACTTGATTTACTCTTTCTTGCTTTCTCTCTACTTTCTGTAATGGTGAACATTTCAAATGCATAATCACATGCCATTAAAGCAAAATGAGTAGGTTTTTTAACAGATATTCCTCCAAAGCAAGCAATTCCAGTTGAACTGAATGAGTTACCCAAATTTTCCATTTATTGCTGAGTAAGAGATTAATTTAAAAATTAATCTAAATATACTTTAAAGCCTTATAATAGTACAATAGGATAATCTAATTCAATACTTCCTAATAGATATCGTTGAGCATTGAAATATTGTTTATTCAATAAAATTCTATAATCTACATATTCTTTCATTTCTTCTATAGTATTATTCAATCTAGAATTTACTTCATTAATATTTTCATCAACTTTATCTAATTTCAATATTATTGTATTATCATCCTAACTTGAAATAATTACTTTTTATTAGCTATTTTGATTAATTGTTTATACACTATTAAAATTGGAAATTTAATTTAATGAAATTGATACATATTCTTTTAGATTATATAATTCCTAAGAGAGAATTGTTATAGTCTAATTTTATAAGAGTGTCATATCTTTAAATTGTTTCTATAATTCTATCATCTCTACTTTTAATTATTAATTGTATAATTTTAGATATTCAATTTCACTAATTAATTTACTATCCATTGTGTTTTTAATTTCTTCGATTTTTATTATGTTCTCTTGTTGAAAATCTGCCAATTATTCTTTCATCTAATTCATATCAGATTCAATTAGAATTGTTTCTTTCATCTGAATTTATGTTTAATTCTTTGATGTTAAAATAGAAAATTGATTACTAATTAAAATTAACATTGTAATAATAGCACTATATTTGAATATCTTGCTTGATGCATATGGATTTTCTAATTTCTTTAATCTCTCATCAGCTTAATGAATCTTTTCTTCTTAACTAAGAATATTATATTTCATACTTTGCAAACATTTTTTAAAAATCAAGACCTCTTTTTGCTAAATTAGTTCTTATTTTATCAAAAACTTATTTTTGCTTGTTAATGATATCATTATTAAATTTATCATCATTTCTTGTATAAAGTTCTAAAATTGATTTCGACGTTTAATTATTGTACGTTTTTACTTCATTTAACATTCTTTAATAAAAACCTAATTCATTTATGAATATCTGAATATGATTATCAACATCAGCTTTTGCTAATTTTATTAAATTATAATCATGAAATGGAAATTTTTCAATTTTTTATATTTACTCTTTCTGAAAATCAAAGCATCTTTATTATGCTTCTTGTAAAAAATTAAATCTTCCTTGATATTTTAATTCTAAATTATTTAATATATCTTTTATTTCTGTAAAATCATCCAAATGACGAACACTTTTTGTATTTTTGAATTTTTGAATACCTTTCTGATTAGTATGTTACAAAGTTAGACATTTGAAGCATTGCAATTATAATTTTTTAGCTTAAATACATTCACTATTTGTGCAAATAAAAGTCCTATTATGATGTGTTAATTTACACAATTCTTATTCTTCAACCTAAATTTACATAGTAAAATTTTATAAAGTAATATCAATAAATTAATATAAACAAAAATTAGATAAATTTAAATGATATATATGAATATCACTAATTTTACATTAAACTAATAGTTATTTAAGATTATGCATCGATTTTAATAAAAAGTAGAATAATTTTTTACAAATAAATTATCATTGAAATAATATTCTTTATTTTATAAAGAAATAAAAATAACTTTCTAAGAAATGATGAATAGAAATTAATCTAGATTATTAATAAAATAGAGAGTTTTTAAATATAAGAGAAACCTTTAAAGTAGCAAATTAAAAATATTCGACCTAAGTAGAAAAATTATGCAATAAAAAAAAAAACAAGATTAACTGAGACAAAAAATTAATATCAAATGAAGAAATTAAAATATGATAAAATAAATATTAAATTTTTACCTATTACTCTTATAATATAAATTCACAACAAGAATAAATCTTATTTTTAAACTAAACTAATTGCAGAGAGATAACTAAATTAATCTTGCAAGAATTCTAAGCGGTATCTTGATGTAAGAAAATTAAATATGAATTTAAGTATGTATCTTAGGAGATATAATTAAAACATAGCTAAAATATTTTTATTCATTTTCTCTCAAGATCATCAAAAAAAAAATGAGTCTTAATTTTCAAAGATCTTTTATATGGCTATTAATGTTTTTTTGAATGGTGCTGATAAGAAGGTAAGTTAGTTAAATGATAAGATTGTAGAATAAACAGATTATAATTCAAAAACATAATATTTTTTTTAATATTTTTGTGAAAAATTAACATAAATTAACTTGAATATCTTTTTTATAATACTAACATTTTTAATTATCCCTTAATTAAAGAGGATATTAAATTAAATAAATAATCAATAAATTATTATATAGTAATATCGCAGATTGATTGAAAAATAAATGTGCCATCACCAATATATTCAATGAATGATAATTTTTAAATTTTTAATTAAATAAATAACATATAAGTTAAAAAGTTAAAATGATATTTTAAAAATTTTTACGTGTTAAAAAATATGTTTATATTTTCTAATACTTTGATTAGTCTATAAATAAATTAATTTGACCCTCAATTATAAAATGTGATAAATGATTTATATGTGAGATTAGGATTCTTGAATTTTTATTAACAACAATGAACCCTCGATATAATTATCCAAAGAGATCTGTTTCTAATATGGATAGATAATAAATACTTAAAGCTTTAGGAAGTAACCCTTCTGATAAAGAAATTGAATATATGGCATAAGAGTATGATTTAAAATCTCGCACAATAAAGGCTTGGTTAAAATAGCAATTTTAAAATTAAAACAAAGCATCAGAATCAGATGAAGATTATTAAGGCAATAGGAAAAAAACAAAGGCTGATAAGGATCTTCTAGATTTTGAAAGAAATTTTAATTAAAACTCTGATGCTTATCATTATGAAATTACAAGCATGGATCTCTTAAAGAATGGTAAAATATTGAATCAATAAGAACCTACAAAACCTTAAGTTATACCATAGCAAAAACAAATTACGACACCATAATAAAATAATAAACCTATAAGCAGTGATGATTTTTTTACAATGAAAGTTGATAAACAATTATCATAATCATAAAAATTTTCACTTTAAAATTTTGATTCTCTTTTACTATTGTTAGATTAAGATGATGAAATACATCATTTAGTATCTTTACTTAGAAATTAAGAAAAATAGATTGAAGAATTGAAAAAAACTCAAGGCGAAATTTTAGAGTATATGTGCTCACATTTAACTAAGAAACCAAAAAAGATTTGATTTATAAAATTAAAAATAAAAACAAATTATGATTTCTTATTCTATATCTAAATAAATTAGGATAAAATTATTTCCTAATCATTCTAATTAATATTTAGTTTTTTAGAAATAATATATCTTACATATTTTAATTACAATTTGAATTTAGATTAATTAAAATAATAATAAATGGTTGTTTCTAAACTGATTTAATATAAATCCTAATATATAGGAAATTTATGCCCAATTTAGATTCAATTTAGCCAAATATCTTCAACACAGATATATTAAATTTTCTGCGTTGCTTTTTTAATGGCTTAACAATTTACATAATGGAAATATAGAATTTAAACAAAAATAAACCAAGTGATTTGCAAATCATAAGCCCCCTTGTGTTTATAGGTTAGTATAACTAGCTTATATTTATTGGATGTCTTAAGAAAATCAGGCCATTCTAATCAAATTGCAAAATCAATCTAAAGATTAGTAATTTAACTCAAATTTAAGAAATTTAACTCCACCCCTAGACATTCTTGTCTCCACAACAGTCTTAATCTTAGGAGTGAACATTTCATTAAACATCAACTAAACTTTCTTAGAGTAGTCTGTTAAATTACAAAATTAAATTGAAATTGCAATTCTCTTCTTAGGGCAACAGATAATTCTCAGACCAGCATATTATGCCGACACTTTCTGTCCCAAAAGAAAGGAGGACTTTAACCCCAGGGTTATTTTATGTAATTTCTTACATTCGTATATATGTGCCCCGATGACTAAGCAATTTGCAAAATCTTTTGTTTATTTTTATTTAAATTATTGAAAAATAACCACTAGTTAATTAGTCAAATAATCAAGATATAATTATTTGAAAGCTTTTCAAAGGATTCATTAAAATTTAAAATTAGAAATTATAAATGTTCATTATAATCTTAATAAATAAATTTATTGTGTTGATTATATTTATAATTTTTATTATAACAGACAAACATGTTTAAGGTTCTAATTGCTCTTAAATCGTAATAATAATTTAAGTGTTCAGTGACTATGGGAGGAAAGTCTAAAGTAGTAACACTACCTTAAACCGAAGGATTAACATTTAATGTTGAGTATTTTCAATTAATATATAATAAGCTAATTAAGTTCAATCTAATTAAAATACAATGATGAAATATTTAGAATTTAAATTAATGAAGATATTACAGAGACAACTGGTGAATATAAATTTACAAATGTTAGTGGATAATATTATATTGTTTTAATATAAGATGTTGAAAAACCAGCTAAATTAAACATAAAATAAAATGCGTAAATTACAGAATCTCCACTTAGAAAAAATGATACAGAGAGAAGTTTAACAGCTAGTACAAAGAAATTTAGTTTTAAGACTCCTACAAATAGATAAAAATCTGAATCAAATTAAAAATTGATATAATCTTTTGTTTTAGGGGATAATTTAATGGAATAATTAAAACAAGAAAATAATGAACTAAAATAAAAAATAATTGAGCTTGAAAATTAAGTAATTAGATTATAAGAATAAAATGAATAGAAAATTGAGAAGATAGATTAATCTAAATAAGAAATTGCAACAAATGATATTAGAAATGATTTTTAAAATTTATTAAGATTGTAGTAAAGATAAGCTTAAGAGAATAAATAATTATTAAAATAATTAATGGATTTAGATGCTAATTATTAAGAATTGTTAGAAAAGAAATCATAAGTTGATTAGGAAGTGACTAAATTAAAATAAACAATAAGTTAATTTGACTGTTAAATAACATAATTGAAAAGCAGATTAACATAATTTGAAATAGATGGATTGAGTTAAAACATACAATTAAATTTGTAAATTGCTTAACCAATAGAAAATGATGAAATAATTGATAATTTAGTTAAATAAATATTAAAAATGAGAGCTACTGGATCTTAATACATTCCAATAAAGGAAGATAAATTGGATTCAAAATTAGCATAAGTAATAGCTAAAGATCATACTTAATAATATTAGTTTATTAGATTGAAATAAGGTTTATATTTAGTAGGAGAGGAATAATATTAATTATTTTTATAAGAGAATAAAATAATGATAACAACTGAGGATGGTGTTTTATAGCTATAAGATTTTATAAAAAGTAGAAAGAGAGTAAAATCAATAAATGTTCGTAAAGCATGAGATTATTTATTTATTACTAACAAATATATATAAAATGATAGAAAATAAATCATTCAGTTTTATTTCAGAATTTTGATTTAAGTATAATTCTCTCTTTTTATTACAATTAATTGTATACTTAAAATTACATATAAAGATGCAAAAAATAACAGGATCTGGAGTGATGGTGTTTATAAAAGACAAAGAAGAAACATTAGTTTTATTACTTCAAAACATTCGAAAGAGATAGATGGTGATGATGGAACCTGGAGGGATTTTAGAAGTTGGTCTTTCATCAATGAGTAATGCATTAAAGGAACTTTATGAAGAAACATTTGCAGGTCTATCAAAATCTGATTTAGATGAAGATCATAAAGTTATTGTGAATTTTGAATACTTGTGTTATGCTGTTCATATTAAGATTGATGATTTAAAATTTTTTTAAGAAGTTATGAGTATGAACCAGAAAACATTACATATGTCAAATAATAGATCATTACATTCATTTAATGAGTGTAAAGGATTTAATTTAGTCAATTTAAAAGAATTGATGAAAGTGAATTTAGAATATATCTAAAAAGATAATAATCAAATACCTTTACATGTTAGAACTAAATCAGCTTTGAAAGAGTTTTTAGCAAAAGGAATTATAGAAAAAGACTTGTCGATAAAATTGCCATTATTTTAATGTTCATTAGATAAAATAAGAATAAAGAATCCAAAATCAGCTTTATATGTGTTAAATAATTAATATACTTATGTTATACATTGAAATAATATTATTTATATAATTATGAATTTAACAAAGAATTAGAGATTAGTTTTAGATAATAAGTTTTACAATTATAAAGTTAAAGAAGAATTAATAAACTTTTTGGAATAACCATAAAAGGAAGTAGAGATGAGTAAAGCGATTAGGATAAAGAAATCTACAATGATGAAAAAAATAATCTAAATGTTTGAGATGAATAAAGGAATATTAGAATTGGAAGCTGAAGATAGTCAGATATCTAGATTAATTTCATCATATGAAATTTATAAACGAAAAGGGATTTAACATACAAACGAGATTTAAATAAGAAAGGAAGATAATAAAGCAATCTTAAGAATTAAGGTTGTATTATTAGATCAATAATGATTGTTATTATTAAAAATAAGTTTCATTCTTCAGTTTATACTCTGTCTATAAAATAACCCTAAATGATTCTATTTCTATGTTCAATCTAATTAGCAAAAACATAACTAAATTCTCCAGTGTAAGTAGCATCAAGAAATTTCATAGTATCTTCTGAAACCATGATTCTATCAAATTATGAATTCTATTCTAGTTTCTTGGCTATTGCAACATCTGATCCATAAATATCATATCTGACTATATCCGTTCCTACTATTCCACCTATAATATTCCCAGTATGAATTCCGATCCTCAAATTTATGTCAGGATATTATATATTTTTCTTAAGAAGATTTACTATATCTAATAATTAAAAACCAAGATTCACTACATTATATGCTTCTTCTTCTCTGATTCCATTATTAGCATCCAAAACTCCCATAACCACATAACTATCACCTATTGAATATAATTTATAGACATTGTTTTCTGTACAAGCCACATCAAATTTATTAAAAAGAGAACTCAACATTTATAAAACTTATTAAGCATCAACACTAGTTGAATATTTTGTAAAACCAGCTATATCTGCATATAATATTGTTGCATTTTCAAAAACATCAGCTATTGTATCTTGCTCTTTAAAATATTATTATAAAATATGAGAAGGTAAGAGATGACTTATAATCTTATTTTATTCTTGTTATTGTTGTAATAGTTAATCATGAATATTGTAATTTTAATAAAGTAAATCTTCATTTTAGTTTCTTTAAACATATATAAAGATTTCTATTGTGAAAATAAAAATAATAGTTTCATTCCATTCATTACAAAATGATAGGGTGAATATTATATTAATATATTTCAAAATGAATAATAGTTTTCTATGTCGAGATGTGAAATAAGGAAGGGCCCGTAAATAATATCCTAAACATAAAGTATAAGCTAAAATTAAAGTAATATAAGTTCTTTCTATTGGATCATTAATTATGATAGTTATTATGCTGAATAGAATAAAAATGAAATATCCAATTATCATCCCTATTTGAACTATATATTTATATGCATCTCTTAAGCAAAAAGGAACAACTATGCAACTCATTAAATAAAATGCAATCTTTAGTCCTTCTATTGTCAGATTCACTCCTAAATATTCATTGTATTCCATTAATGCAAATAAAATTGGTAATTGAAAGATCATCAAATAAATAAATAGAATTAGGCAATACTAAAGCATTTCTTTAAACAGTTTATGATTATAAATTCTTATCATTTCTTTCTATTTAAATTATCTAAAATAAACTAATTTTAATTTTTCAAGTAAATACCTCTTCTCGCTTGGTTTGTCCCGAAATCGCACTTAACTCTAATGAGTTCTTACATGATATCTGTTTCAATCTTCTCTTAATTGCCAATCAATTATTATAATTTAGGAATTTCAATCTTTTCTTCTTACTAAAGTGTAGAATCAAATAAATGATTGTTGTTATTATTTTATAAGGATTTCTAGCTTTTAAGATTATTTTGTGGACTTTTAGGTAAGACATCATCAATATTTTTTTAAGAATCAGCAACTTTCATATTATCAAAGAGATCTCCAAACTGATCTCCTAAAGGATCATCTTTTTTTTATTATTATTATTGTTGTTATTATTATTATTATTATTATTATTATTATTATTGTTGTTATTATTATTAGACTTGATCATGAGATGACATCATCTATGGATTAACTTCTTTAAATCTTGTAACTCTACTTTTTCTATGCATAGTAATACGCCTATTAGATATATCCTCTATTATAATATAATATAATTACATAATAGTTTATTGGCAGTAATTACATCTTAAAAAACCTTTCCAAATTGTTCAACAGGTAATTAATATACAGATTTATTTCTTGACATAGATGATTTTCTTGCTATATCAAATTAGAAACCTGCAGGATTAACAGCATTAGTCATTAGATCATTAATGATAGGTTTATCAAAAGAATCCAATTTTTTAAATTAAATTGAACTAACTAATTTAATAATAGGAGATTTATCAACTTTAGTCGCAAATGTGCTTTTCTTATTTATAACTAATTAATAAAGGACATATATATTTTTTATGTTGATTTCCTTAACTTAAAATTAATACTTCATTTTTCTTACTCTTAAAAAGGCGCTTTCAGTTAATGATATTCTTCCTGGTTCACAAACTGTGCATACTCTACTAGTTGTATTAACTGTATCTCCAATTAATGAAAACTAAGGTTTATGTTAACCAATAACACCTGCCATAACATTACCATGATTAATTCCAATCTTTATCACTATTTATTTATCTTAATATTTCAAATTATTTGTTGATTCCATCATTGCTATTGCACATTCAATCATTTTCTAAGTTGAGTTTTTTTATTGTTTATCTATTATATCATAATCTTTTAATCCAGAAGCACAAACATAAATCTAACCAATTGTTTCAATCTTCTAAATATTATATTAATTGCATATTGTATCAAATGTTCTATAAATAGAATCTAAAAAACTTATTATAGACATCTTCTCAGATTCAATAATATCATCAAAATCACAGATCTCACAAAATAGAATTGTCACTGGTCCTTAATCTTCCTATATCTATATATATCCACGTGCCATCCTCTCCTTTATAAATCTTGGCATCAATATCCCCAAAGCATCATTCAACTTTTTCTATTCTTTCTCCAGTTATTCCTACAATAGAAAGTTTTGTCTCCTCAAGTACTCATTCACATAACACAAATAATATCCACTTACTGTTGATAAACTGCATATTATTATCAAAGCCAATATAAACATTACTTATTTCTATGGAAGATATTGATATTATGGTATTATAAATTTCAATATCACTGCCAAACTTATTAAACTCATAAGGATTATTGTACCTTTAAATTTCAAACTTTACTGTATTGAATAATTTAAAACTATTATCATAAATATCGATGTAAATATTATTTAATTCAATATGTAATCTTAATCTAATAAAAATATTGTTACAAATTAAAATATAAACCGACTTAAAATACTTACTAATTATAAATTCTATTAGATTTTATGATGTGTAATTTCTAAATATTATAAAATGTATATTGTTATACTGTAAAATAATTAGACTCCCCAAAAAATATATATTGCTATATTATTCTCTATTTAATTTACTTGAATCAACAAATTTATAAATATAGTAGCTTCAAAAATTATGTACAAAACTGAATTTTAACTCATAGACTCCTGATATCTTATCTCAAATTCTTTTTAATTGAAAGTCAAATTTTTCTTTAATTCTATTTATTCATCATTATTAATATTATTATTCAACGCCTTATAAATTGAATCATCCATTTAATTATTTTTGGCCAAAATAGATTTGATAAATTTCTTTCTTTATTAAATTGATAACTACAAACTTTATTTAGTAGTTCTCTATTTCTTTGTCTATTCAATATATTTAAAATTTTATTCATCTGAAATCACAGTATCTTGAAACATTTCCAAATTGTACAATTATAGTATAGATGTTGAAGCAAATTTAAATACAATTGCTAATATGTAAACAAAGATTAAACTTCTTATTATAAATCCAGGACTATAAAACAAATCTGAGTATGATACTTTATAATCATTATAATCTGGAATAGTTAAAAAAGCCACTAATCCAACTATGAATACACTTAATAATAACAACCCTAAAAGTTTTTTGGATTATTATTCAAATATTTAGAAATATAACTATATTTTAACAATTACTTCTAGAGTGATAATAAAAGCAAATTGTGATATTGGTAAATAATTAGAATCTCCGTATAAGTATTTAGTAGCATATAATGGAATACTCACAATAGTTGCATCAATAATTCCAGCCAGATAAATTTTAATTAATGAATCTTTAATAAAGAGAGACTTAACTAAACATCTTTAAGGTATTAATCCTTTTTAATAAACTTCTGTAGGTTTGAATCTGTTATTATGAGATATTAGTTAAATAATTACAGTGAATGTCTGACTCAACAAAAGGAGGACATTGCAACTCTAAGTTAAGAATTTGTCTTAATTTATTAAGTTTATTAAAACAAATAGAATCATCTCGTAAAGCCAAAAGTATAGAACTTATTAAGCAAGCAAAGATGAACTTATGCATTGAGCGATCAGAATAGATTCTGCACATCTTAAAGAATTTACTAAATAACAAGGTTTAGATTAACTATAGCATTTTGGGTTTATATCAATAGATATTTAACTCATACTATAAACTCTTTGATTATTTGCACAGCTTCCTATATATCCAATTTACATATTTAATTTTTTTGCTATCTTAAATAATTTAACCTTTGATATCTCTTAACTATCATACAATGCTAATCCTCTACTAAACCAAACTATTATTGCAAAATGATTTAAAAGGTATTCATCTTTTATTATTGTTAATAATGCCTCACAACTAAGCAGAATGTATTTCTTTACTATATCTTAGGCTTCAAATATTCTTTATATTAATAACTATTTTACCTTTATTATTTTATCAGATTTGAGCATGCACTTTAAATTGTAAACTTTAATGTTCTTTCATCTCCTGAATTAAATTAATTTAAATCATTCTCATTTTCAATAAATTTTGCATCAAACAAAAATCTCAAAACAACAAATTAACTTTCAGCAGAAACTAACCATGTATTTAACTACAATCATAATTAAATCAATACATTTGCTTAAGAAAATGCATCTATTGTCAGAAGAGCACTTTGATCTATTTTTGCATGAGATCCTATAATCATTAACAATTCTGCCTAAGATTCCAATTGTAAATATAATAATTCTAATTAATCTTCATCTGCTGTATAGGAATTCATAATTTTCAATTTATTTTATAAGAATTATTTTGCTTCACATTTTTTAAGTTGCTTTTTAAAATATAGAGTTGGTTATTCTCCATGTTTCAACATATGGTACAATGTTGAATTAGTTTCCAACACATTAATATTCATATTTGTGTTTTCATACATTTGAGATGTTTCAATTTTTATATAAAGAAGTGCTCCTTCATCTTCATTAAATTCTTCAGGATCTTTTAAAAGAACAGAATAAACACCTAATCTATTTTTAGTTTCCTTGTTCTCACTTAAAATTTTATATTATTTCAATTTTCCTTAGATTTCTATAATTTTTAATTAACTTTTTAAGAATAAATCGTAAATTTAACGTTCATTTTCTATACTGCATTTAAGTTTATATTCTAAAAGATTACAGAATTCAATCAAGATATAATCTTGTGGGTTTTTACAATAAGTTTCAATTGTTTTTTTTTATTCATTGTATTTATTTTCAATCTCACATAAAAGTAATAGTGCAACAATTCTCTCATGATATTAGTTATCAAAATCATCAAACAATTATGTAATAAACTATTATTCATTCAATTATTGTTTTTACTATTAATTGATAGAAGAACTTTAATCACCTCCACTCTTTACAATTCTTGTTCTAAATGATATAGTTTTTCCTAAAGAATTTTTTAGTTTTCTTTATTAAGAAGCCTCAATCGTTTTCTTAGAAAGTGAAAATTATAAATTTGAACTCAAACCTTGATTTTAACGTTCCTCTTAATTATGAGAATAAGGATGTGAATTTATTAACTCACTATAATCTTTTTTATCTTCATCAAATATATCAATTTCTCTGCCAGTATCTAACAATGTTTTATAGTAATTATCCCCAAATTATACTTAATTGCTATTCATAACTGTCTATAATTATTTATATTTGAATGTGTAATGTTTATCATCAATATAAATTGATTGGATCTTTCTTTTCTTTTGAAAATACTATTAATTCAATTCTAAACATACCAAATTCACTTTTGAACATTTCCAATACTTAAAAATACGAAATAATATCATACATTTGTTTATTACATCATAATTGAAAAATCTTAAATTTCATCATATTTTAATAATTTATTTTAAGAATAGATTTCAGTCATATTCTTTACTTTGTTGAACTCAATCCATATATGTTTATCATCTTAAATTACTTAAAAATTTAATACAAATATTTACTGTCTTTTCCTTAATTATTTCCTTACTCTTTGGTGTTCGTAGGTTTCACATTCTTTTGAATACTTGGTTATTTTATATAATGAAAAATCTGGACGAATTCTTTATAGAATATGGCATATAATGGAATTAGCATAGAATTGAAACATAAATGGATTCCATAACTTGATTTATATATTAGATTGGCAAGCTATAATTTATTAATGAATCTCATATACCAAACTTATAAAATATCCAAGAATAATTAAGCCAATAAAAAATAATGACTTTTTACGTTTATGCTTTCTTGGTTTATAAATACGTAAACAATTGTTTCCAGCTACTAGAACTATTCCTAATGCCCAATCTGTATTTAGAATCTTTTCACCACTGAAAATAACATTGTCTTAATTAAATTTAAAAACTTTTGGATCATTCTTTAATTTAATCATACCCATTAAACTGGATTTCTTACCAAATTAATAGGAATATTATATTTATCCATTTAAAGTTAGTTTAAATTCTATCAATAATCCTTTTGTATCTGATTTTGGTTATACTATAATAAAGATTTATATTATGAAATACTAAATGTAGATTAGCAAGGAATTGTAATTTTAGGTGTTTAAATACCAAATTCATTTTAATCAATTTAAACAACTTGATGACTTGATTCTAAAAGCAATACATCTGCAGGGCATTCATGTGTTTTTTATAAGATAACAATATCTCCAACTTTAATCTATTCTCTTAATACTTGCTTTTAAGGATGAAAATAAGTATTTATATCTTCTGAAGAGCCTGATGCCACAGGTTCTTTGGAGTGAATAAAGTTCTCCAAAATGCTATATTTTTATTCATTCAATTATGATTCAACTATTCTAAAATTACGAAATTTAAGAACACACTTCGTTACATAGAGACAGTAATCTAGAAGTAATACTATACTTTGAAACAAAATGATTAAATTGCTTTCAAATATTCTATTTTTAAATACCTCGCCGAGTCATCCTAAAGAGCCCAACTAATAATGATATATACCATTATCATTAAGATTTCAAATCTCCATAAAAAGGATAAGATTTCTAGAATATGTTATTTAAAAGTAAATGATTAGACTTTGTTACCTATGTAAGATTTTCCATATCCAATAAGTGCCTTTACTTCTCCATTCACTAGTTCAATCTTTGCAGTAAATAATAAATAATACTTTTTTAATATTACTCTCAGTTTTTTGTAGTATCAGTTTCTAGACTTTTGATGATTATTTTAAGTAAATGTACATTATCAATGAATTTATCCATCTCATTATTAAATAAAGAAAAAAAATAAATTTTTAAATGTCTCATTTGCCCTGTTTACGTAAACTGGGTGAACGAGCTCTTGGAGAAAGAGGAGGTGAAATCTTAGGTTCATCCATCGCAAACCCTGACTTCTTTATTTGCTTTAAATTTTGAAGAACATTTTTAGGATATAAGAGTGTACTTCTTCTTGGTGATTATTCCATCATCTATAAACCCTTTCTCAAGAAGCTTAAATAATTAGGATTCAAATATGGTTATTTATGCATAGCTATTAATTATTAACTATTACTCATACCACAATATAATACTGTATTATAAACAGTCAGAGTATCTTAATAAGTCACATATTAAGGTTCTTCATCTTAATCATTTTTTTTATTTCCTTTTAATCTAGGTAACCAATCTTATTTAGAATTATTTGTAAATAGATCATAGAATACTGTAAATTAAGGAGATCTAATAATAAATCTTAATATACTTTTTGACTACATTAAAATAAATGTGCGTTAAAAGAGCCTCTAATTTAACATGTAAAGGTAAACTATATCTAGATGTTTAGGTAGCATCTGTTAATTCACCTATAGGTCCCGGACTTATGTACTCTGCTAATCTTGCTAATGCTTCATAAAATTCTATTTAAGTCATTCTAATATGACGATCCTAAGTTAATTCATCGGCTTAAGACATCATTGAAAAATTATAAATAACGATGATTAACTTTTCACTTATATAATCCATTAATCCCATTTATTTACAAAAATCTTTAAATTCTTTAATTGCCACCCATTTCATTTTAAAATACCATTTTCTATTGTTTAAGTCAGTAACATAATCATAAAGCTTTTTTAAAAAGGGAGTTTTGAATTATATTATACATTCACATTCCTTATTCCAATATCTCTCATCTCTCCATTTTTAACAAGTATCAAAATTTTTAAAATATTCTTTAAATTCTTTAATTAATCTATAAACAGCATCAGCATGATTTTTTACAACATTAGTTCTAACATATTTATCGTTTGCTAATCGAAAAAACATTTCTAAAAATTAAAATCTAACTAAAGATTTTTCAGGATTATATATGAATTTTGGATCTATATTATTCTTAATAGAAACTAAATCAATTTCTACATCTTATGTTTTTACAGAATCATTATCAATTATTCCAATTTATTGTATCATTTTCATATATGTTGAAAATGATATTGAAAAGCATTCTGATACAAAATATCCATAACTAGAATAAAATTTATATATATCTTTGATTAATTGATAATTTTCTCTTAAATATTCTTTTAATTTCATTTATTCATAATCATTTTTAACAAATCTATTAATTTTACTACAACTCCAATCAAATTAAAAGCATTCAGTTAAAATATCTTCACTATCTGATTAATATTATTAACGAAACAAAGATTCTTCAATATTCCATTGATGATAATTCATTTAATTTCTCTTTAAATTATTACCCATTCTTCTTAATACATATTTCTTTTCCGAAGAACGTGGAAATAATCTAATAAGTGGCTTATAATTATTTTTATCATCTATAATAAATTCTTATTTAGTATTTAAATAATTAACAGAAGTAATTTTTTTGAATTTCAAAACAGTTCCATCAGAAAAATAATGAAATTGATGTTTTGGATCTTTACCTTACAAAATCAAATTATCTTAAGGTGATGGTATATTATCTTAAGTAGGTTCAATAAAATATTTTTCATTTAAAGGGTCTGAAAAAAAATACAGAATTCTTTATTTAGGTGGACACATTTAATAAGTTGAATAACAAAATTTATCTAATTCATCAAGTATTTCTTTAGTTAAAATACTGCTTTTTCTAGCTAATACTTTAGTAGTATTTGAATCACCATTATTATTTTATTTTAATTGAGCATCTTTTTTTAATAATAACTCTTTCTATTATTCAATTAGTTATGCTTTGAGTTCAATAGTTGAAGTCATAGGAATTGGTTTAAAACTAAAATGAAAAATCAAGTTTACTTTAAGAAATCTAAATGAAGAAAGATTGGAATTTCTGGTTGTTCAAAATCTGGAATGTATTAAAATTAATGTTCCACCCAACCTTAACATATCCAACAGCAATTTTAGGTTGTTATTCTAGTTGATTCAGGAATGTAATTAACACCATCAATTTAGTATTTAATCTAACTAAATTCTTCATTAATTTATTAAAATTTAATAAATCCATAAGGATCTATAAATCCTTCAAATTTATTGCCTTCCAAATGGATTCCATAAATTGTATTATTTTTTAATAAAGCTTCGTTAAGTTAACGTATTTATTTTTCAGAAATTTAATTGTAAGATAAATCTAAATGTACTAAACTTAATTATGGATTTAATATTGCTGAACACCAAAATTAAATACAGTTTGATTTTTCATTTGATCCTATTCGATTGTAACTTAAATCTAATACTTTCAATACTCTATTAACTAATAAGGCTTTGGCTATAAATATTCCAGTATTTGAACCCAATTAATTCCAATTAATTATTAAAACTTCTAAACCAGAGGATTTAATTAATAAATCATACAAAGTTTATCCAATACCATCAGATAGATTATTCTCTGAAATAATTAATTTACAAAGAAGGACATTCTTATGTAAATTTTTAAGAAAGAAATTAGCCCCATGATCACCTATCAAATTGTTGGCAATATTAAGAATTTTGAGACTTTTTATAACAAATTCCATTACTTTTGAAATCGAGTAAGATGTTCAGATAAAATATGAGCTCCTTTAGAGCCAAGTTAATTGTCTTTCAAATTTAAGTCTTTCATAATTGGTGGGAAATATTATACTAGATTCAAAAATAATTTATCATTTATCCTATTTCCTTAAAATATAAGTTATTTGATATTCTATTGTTTTTACAATAGAATTTTAATTAGAGGATAATATTGTTCTCCTACTCCTAAATTCGACAAATTTATCAATTTATCTTCTTTCAAATGACTTGCATCGTCTATTCTTTTAGGAAATAAACTATCATTTTTACAATAAAAATGACCTGGATTTGTATAATTCTATTCTATATCTCCAAAATTCTCTGCAATATCTCTTAATTTATCTTTCTTTTTAATAAAAGCAAAAAATGATTCATCTGCATTTAACTTATTATTAATTGATAACATAGCTTATTTAATTGCAGACATATCAAGATGAACCTCTTCTTATGAATCTGGAGATTTAGGTGCTGAATCACTTTCTATATTCATAGATTCTTCTTCTTTAATAACTATCTTTGGTTTTTAAAATAATTATGGCATAACCTTCTTAAGATTGCAACTTCGCTTTGTTGCTTTTTTAGGAATAATCATTTCAACTAAATCTCCTTAATACTCAGTAAGCATTTAATTTTACTCCATACGGTTCTCAGTCTTTCTTGAATATGTTCTAGTTGACACACTTCTTTCAGGTAAAAAGAAAGTCTTCAACTTATCAAGGCGTGATTATGAACGATCAGTCAACTTTGGAAGAGGAGAATGAGTCTTGCCTTTAAAATAATACATTAATTTATCATTTTAAGGATTAAGTACTATATGTCAATTTCTTTGACAAATTGTACTTTTAGTACATATTTACACCTTTATTTTTTAGATAATCACTTAAGAACTTTCTAAAACTCTAATCTTTGTAAACCATTTCTATTCTTAATTAAAATAATTCATTCTAAACTATTATTATCTCAATTCTTATTTTGTTTATTAAACTATGCATTTTATTTTATCATATATTTACAATTTAATTTATATTATGATATAATAATTATTATTCATTTCCCCATTATTATTGAGTATTCCATTGATCCAAAAATACATCCTTCTTAACTTTTATTTTATATTTTTTATGAATTCCAAATTCTTGAATTTCTTATATTATTCTTATCTAACTTCTTAATCACATAAAATTGATTATGATTTTACATATATCCTTAATAATTGTAATATTAATCTAAACAAAAATTTATTTATTATGGATTTGCATAAAGATAATCTAACTGTCTAAAATTTGTTTGATATCCATTTTTTTACGAATTCTCTTCTTAATCTTCTTCAAGTTCATCAATAGTTAAGAATTGTGATGACTATTATTAGTAAATTGAATTTTATTTCCCCATTATAAATTTTGGAACTGAACTTTAAGATTATTATTTATTAGAATCCTTTTTCATATTTGTAAGACTTCTTGATGTTTTTCTCTTAAGTAAACTTTGTGTACTTGATAAAGAGGTTTTAGGAGTCCTTTTAGATATTATCTTTTATTAGATTGAACTCTACTTCTCGAAATTAAATTCATCTCTTGTTGGTTATTTGATATCTAAAATTAATTTACTATGTTCAGATTATATTTATTAAGAATTTAATTATTAATTTGTCTATTATTAATTCATAGCCACATTTTAAATCTCATATAGTTAAGTCATAGAATTTGTTTACATATATTCTTAAACTGATTCAATAACTTTATTTTTAATTAATAATGAATTAATTTTCTCTCCTTCTCTTTTATACTTCCTTCTTGGTAATACTTGATTAACATTTTTATCTGGTTTCATTACAATTTTAAATTTGTTAGGTTAATAAGTAATCAAAGGACATTCAATATTGGCATGATTATACAAATTACAAAAATTACATTTCTTAAGAACTACTTAATAATTATTTAGAAAGATAATATTATCTTTAATATTATGAAATCTTTAAGAATCTTTATTACTAATATTAGTAAATAATTTAATTAAGGAATTTCTATGAATTCTATATAAAGTTGAATGGCCATGACTTATAGCTTATGTTTTAGTAGGAAACCCAGTAAAGAATTAATATTCTCCAAAAGTATCCCCAGTTTTGATTAGTTACAATAATTTATTACTTCTATCTTCACACAAAAAGACTTCTCCATCTTATAGGAAGTATCTATAAATAAAGATATATAGAATATACAAATATTAATCTTCTTAATCACTGTTGTTGTAAATAATTTCATCAGGAATACATTTAATTTATTCAATCTTTTACGATAATTAATTTAGTATGTGTGTTGAAAAATTATTATTTAATACAGATATTTTAGACATAATACACATCTGAATATTAAAAGTCAACTCTTACCTTAATTTTGTAGGTAAATGAGTTATTATTTATTTTACTTCATCAGAATTTTCATTATATTCTGTTTATAAATAGTGTTTAACATAATTTCTCACTCTATTTTAAACAGCTTAAGTCAATTATCCTTTCTTCATATAATTGTTTATTAGAATAAGACTTCGTCTAAATAATTAGATTAAAATTCTTACTTAAACTTTTATTGAATATCATAATTGTTCTTCAAAATCATTCCTATACTATTAATAGAATATGCAAACATTCCACTACTTAACAACATCATGAAATTTACAAATACCATTTCAAATTAATTAGTTGCTGTAATATCTCCATAACCTACAGTAACCATTGTTGTGATAGCCCAATAAATTGAATAATTGTATTAAATCCAAAAAATAGAATCTGCTATCTAATACTTCAATAACCAAGATTGACCAGTAAACATGGTTAAATAACCGACATAATACATTATACATCCCATCAAATGAACAAATGTTAGTATTGTTATTATTAATGTAAAAAGATCGATTGCATAATTGAAGTTTCCTTTCAAGTACATTGTTTCAATACAATTTGAGTAGTTTTTCATTAATTTCTTAACAGAAACCAAAATTATTACACTACAAACTAAACTATTCGTAAGATCATTTAGATTTAAATACTATATAATCCAACAACCTAAATCAATTACGTCTTCAACGAAAAAATATTGAAAATAATTTGTTAATATTCTTCTCTAATCTATTATTGTCTCACCTTAAATATTAATAGGTCGGTTAGTTTAAATTAAGACCTCTATTATAATCTGAGACATTATTCCAATTTAAAACCATTTGAATATATTGTCATTTAACTAAAATGATACTATTAGTGGAGACATCCATAAGCATAGTATCTTAATCATCAAAGACAATAAATCCAATATTAATGTAACTTTGCTTCCAGGTATTAAAAATATCTATTTGTCTTATGTTTATGAATTAACTATTCATAAATCATAATTATACATTCTACTCGTTTTGAGCTATTTTATTCGTATTTGAAATGACTCTAGATGATTCCTTTATATTCTTGGCTCATTACATATGACTTAAGAAATAGATGTCTTTTAAACTGTTTTACTAGTCTATCTTTAGCTAATGTTTTAAAAACTTAATTGTCTACTAATTTTTAATTAACTTCTTCCTTTTTACGTCGAGTTAACTCTAATCAATATTCAATAATACCATCCTTCTAGTAACTCTGTTATTTCTAGCTGTATTAATTGCATTTGGAGTCTAAGCCACTTCAACATAATCATTTGATTAAAGGTATATTGAATTCTTGTAAATATCAACAGAATGTTGTCTTTATGGTACAATTGAGAGTCTTTGCTCATCTAATTTAACTTTTGGACCTCTAAAATTTTTTTCTGCTAATTCTTTGCTTTGTTAAGACAAGAGTTGCATATTATATAAATTAATTATAATAAATAACGAAGCAATTAAATGATCCCATTAAATCAAAATCTTCGTCCATATGGACAAATTATTTTTGTTCACAAAAGTTCATTTATTTAAATTATATATAATTATAATTAAAATCTCAATTGATATAATAAGCTAACATCTCTGATAGCTAATTTCAATAAATGAGTCATAGATGAAGGAATGAAAGGTGGCATTCTAATTATCCCCATTTCTAACATTGCTGACTATTCATTCTTAAATAAATTTAAAAATAATTTCTGCCATCTAATAATATTTAATTTGCCAATTAATATAAATATTTGAATCTTTTAGAGTTGCATTTAAACTGTTAATATGAATACTCTTACTCTTTCCTCTAATTAATTTTATTTTAGTTTCACAAATATTTCCAAACCATTTCATTAATTATTCTAATTTTTCATCTATTATTGGAAAATTTTTGTAATCACACAACAACATCATTATTTATATATCATAGTTTTTTTTTAGCATAAATTACCAATTTAAAACTCTTTATCAACTCTCTGCTTTTTACTAAAACTCAAAACTATTCAAATGAGTCATAATAATTAAATTTTATTCATTCATTCTTGATTGCATTCTTTTAGACTTGCTCTCTTATAAATTTTTAGATATTATATTCAATAATGTTTAATAATTCTTTTAAAAAGCAATTCCATATTTAAATTCAATATCACCATCTGTAAAATGAATTTGTTGTTAATTTAACACATAATTTAGATAATTTTTTGTTTTCTAATAATCAATTATTAATAAATTATAATTTAATAAATTATTTAAAACTGAAATTATTTTTAATTTAACAGTCATTTCTTTTTTAGGTAGATTTTCTGATTGTTCTTCATTTTTAAGAATATTAACAATTTTAAATAGGTTTTAGAATCAAATATGACTTTTAGATCCAAATAGTTTACCGATTAATTTAAAAAATCAACATCAATTCTGTTATTAATCTAAAAAATATAGTTACTTTTCTATTTAAACATTAATTTGTTAAAATATTAATGCCTACTTAATATCTAATTGTTATTTTTTAAATAAAAAATTTAAAATGTTAATAATTGATTAAGAATATTAGCTCTGAAACTATCAAAAATTTAAGTATACATCAAGAGAAGCTAAATCATTTCTTAATCATCTTAATTTTACTTCTTCAAAACCACCTCTTCTTTTTACCATAATTTTATATGCTTAATTTTCTATTAAAATTATTTATGTTTTTTATGAATCTATCAAACATACTGCATTTAATTAATTATTGATCTTCAATTATTAAATTTAACCGATCTAGTTGAATATGTTTCAAATTTATTTCCCATTCTGCTATAATACTTAATGTTGCTGCTATTTTTAATTATTAAAACTCTTTATTTAATTTTTTCTTGCCTTTTCTAAATTTTTATAACTATCATGAACTATCTATAGTCTTATTTAATCTATTCTCTATTGTGTTGTTTTATTATAATCCATATTTATATTGACAACATATTATTAATTAATATTTTATAACAATATCATTCAGAATTCCATCTAATTTAAAGTATTGTACATGTTTTTCCCCTAATTCATCATCTTTATTACTATATCTTTTACAAAGCTTGAAAAAGTATATTTTTATAAATATTCATATATCTTCCAAAATTTATAGTTTCTCTTTTTTTAGCTCTTTAAATATTATTTTATTTGAGTTTCAATTTAGTATTAAGGCATATAATACTATGACTTTATTGATATTGAATCAATATTAAAAGATGCCTTTAAATTTTTTTAAAATTTTATCTCTTACTCTTCAATCATATTATATTCTCTTGGAACTAAATTTTCATCATTTGATAATACTATTCTAAGCTAAGATTATTTTAAGTCTTGAAAACTTGTTTTTACTTTCGAATAAGATAATTCTAATTTAAAAATATGATACTTTTATATGATTTTCTTTAAAGATTCTACGTTAGTTTTATTTAATTTTATCTTGAAACTTAAAAATCTGCATATATTTCTTTTTCACTTGTTTCCATTTATTATGATGACAATTACTAGTCTGAAAGGACAGATTTCTCATTTTATAAATCATCATGAGACATTGAATCTTCATATTATAAATTTTCTTCTTAATATAGTTTTTATGTTTATTCTATCAATTATTTTTAAGCTAAAGAATTATTTTTTTATTTTTTTCTTGATACAAACCTTCTTATGTTTAATTTTTCTTTGAATTAATCTTATTTTAATACTCTTTCCAAATCAGGTTTATATTGAATTAATGGACAATCAATTTCCTGATGAACATATCTATTACAAAAATTACATTTGTGATCAATTAAAACAAAGTTTGATTTAAAAATCATTTTTTCTTTTATATGATGAAAAATCTCCAAATCCTTTTGATTTTGTCTAATAATATCTAAAAATTTTTTTCTGCTTATTCTATAAAGCTAACTTGTATCTTAACTAACTGCAGTTTCTTTTGGAGAAAATCCAGTAAAAAAAGAATAATAACCTAAATATTAATTACTCTTGAGATTCAATAATTTAATTTCAGTCTAAACTTCTATAAGATTGACTTCTCCATTTTATATAAAGTATCTAAATGTATAATTATAAGTTATACAAATTATCTTCATTGATGTCTCCTTATTTATATATAACATCTCCAGGTAAAAATTAGATTAATTCAAGATTTTTAGCTACTTATTGTTAAGTAAATTTTGTAAAATGATTTATAATCAGCTTCATCTTTTTAAGAACTCTTGTCTAAATATCAGTATTTAATTCTTTTTATAAATTGTTTGGTAATAAACTAATAATATTATCTATTTCAGCTTAATTTTCTCCTTTTTCAGAATTAGCGTGAATTCTAATATAATTTCTAATTCTGCCTTAAATATTCTCATCCACTTGATTTTTATACATATATTATGTTATTTAAATTAAGTTCTTTCTAAATTACTTAATAATTCTTACTTATAGGTTTATTTAGAATCATATAGATTTTTTAAAATAATTCCAATAGAACTCATAGTATAAGCAAAAGCATAACTAGAAAAAAACATAATAATTGATGAGATAATCATTTCAACTTAATTTGAAGCAGAAATATCACCATAACCAACAGTTGTCATTGTCATAGTTGCCCAATAAAAAGATGCATTATATTAATGCCAAGATGAAGATTCTGTTAAATTATGTTGAATTAACCAAGAAGTTCCTAAATATTTGGTTTTCTCTCCAGTATAATGCCAAACACAAGCAATTATATGGGCAAAATAATATATTTAAATAATTAGTTCAATTAGATCTAAAATTGCATTTTAACCTCCTTTCATATAAAAATATTAAAAATATTCAGCAAGATATCTTTAAATATTCTAATAGATCAATATAATTTCTAAGATAATAGTAATTTCTAAAAATTCAATGATAATCATATCATATTTTAGGCATAACCATATAAAAACTCTTAAAAAATCTGCTAGGGCATTTGATTTTAAATATTCTTGAATTATTTTCATTCTATTTGTGATAAGGATAGCAGAAATAAATATTCCTCTATTGAATTAAATTAAAAAATCAATTATTTGAAATATTAAAATCATCTACTATAGAGCTGATATAATATCGTTTTAATAAGTATTAAATGATCCTAAAAAAGGTGTAAGCCAAAGCATTAAAAGATTGTTAAGAAAACCAAATATATCCCAAATAATTATGAAATTTGTAGAAGGTAAAAATATTGGAATCCCTGATTATGAGTCTTAAACTATAATTAATCATAAATTTATCTTACTATTTCCTTTTTTCTAAGAATTTAAAGGCTTTTCAAATAATTAATCTGAGATTTTCTATTTCTAATTGTTCCTTAAAATATATGAATTTGTAAAGATATTGTTTGCAAATCGATGAACATGTAATTACAATTTAAAATTCTGAATGAAGTTTGATTATTTCTAAGTTTGAAATATTTTCAACGTTCTAAGCGCATATTGTCCTTTTCTCCTAAATTCAGACTTCAATAGTTACAATAATTACTTTACTTTCAGCCCTGGACATGTTCATATCGAAGCTTTTATTATCATTTATATGTCTTTGACTTTCTTATTAAATTTCATCTTCTAAAATTATTTTTGATGCTGATTCTTATTTTGAAGTGAGTTATTATGTTAAAGAAGTTGGACCTATTCTTTATGATTTTAAATATCCTTCCATTTATAAAAATTAATTTTTTGCAAAAATATACAGTATAATATTTTACAAAAATTTTGATCGATTAATGTAATTTCTACTTAATATGATATATAAGTTAAATAAAAAATAAATTCATTGGTCATCAATTAAGACTTATGTATTTAGAGTTGGTAATTCCAACATTGTTGAATCAAAAATTAATTCAAATTTATTTTCGAATGAATTATATATAAACTTTTTTGAAGTATAAAATTAAGGAGGAGGATACAGTGGATCTAATACAAGTTTAAAAAGATCTTGGGAATTAATTTACTTAATAAAGGTCCTGAACATTCTAAACAAGGATTTGTATTAGTTTCAATCAACCAAACCTAAAATTTATCATCAATCATAAAATCTAAACCAAATAGTTCAAAAGAATTTTCTTTTCTCTTAGGATCCAATTTACCATATGTTGCTTTAAATTAATCTAATGCTATATTTTTCATTTATATGTAAATAGTTTGATAAAAATCTATAGGCAAAATATCACTAAACTCTTTAAAAGAAACTTTGTTTCCTTTTTCAAATTTACCATAATCATCTGATAGCTATTAGACAGCATCATTAGTCAAATGAATTAATTTATCTGATAAATTATTCAAACTGAATTCTATACTCGATGTTCTTAAATATCCATCCTAATACCAATAGCCTTTCTATTATCCATTAATTGAAGTAAATAATATATAGCATCTAATATCAAACTTTCGTTAATTATACAATAATGGATTTTCTATATATTTTTAAACAATAAAAGTTTACTATACTCCATTCTTATGATGATGAATACTTCTTAAATATTTTTATACTTCATTAATTGTCTCAAATATTTGAATTCCATGACCTCTATTAGTAAATTCTGCTGGTTTAACAATCCAAATAGATTAATTTTAATTTTATTAAACAAAAATTTAAACATCTTCTTTATTTTTTATATGATATGTTTAAGGTAAAAAATCAAAAACATTTAAACCTTTCTCTTAATAATATTTTTTCATATTATAAAAAAGATTTTTCTTACTACCTAAATGAGTATTATTTTAAATATGATTATGTAGTTTTGTATTACTATTAACTTCAAATAGTCTTATGTTTTAAGATAATCTTTATACTTAATCATATGATATGATTTTAGAGTTTTTCCCACTTTTTTTTATTATTTTTTACAACTCATAACTTAATTAATTAGGCAATAAATTTTGATATTAAATATCTTAAATGATAAAGTTTTATTCATTATTATTTCTATATTATAAAAATATTTCTTAATTAGATTCAGGTATAGTATCAATATAAGAATTATTCCTCAATTATTACCATAAAAAGTTAACTTAATCTCTTTCTTTTTCAAAAACTGACCACCACCATCTTTTTTTTAAAATCCATTAAACTAATTGTCCATTATTACCTTTCCCTATGTAAGCTTTATAAGAATTAATGGTAGGTTAAACATAGAAGTTGTTTGATAAATTTATTGTATTATAATAGGTTCTTAAATTAGCATAATTTAGTTAAAAATCATAATCTTGAGAGTATCTTTCACCTTCAAAATAAATTCCATTAAATTTTTATTTTACTATTTTCTTTTTTAAAGCCTTTAAAGGGAATATGTCAGGTTAATATGAAATTTTTGGTTTTATAATTTTCTTTGGTATCTGATGAAACGTATTACCAATTAATACACATTTTTCTAGTTTTTCCTTTTATAAATTTTTATCCTTAATTTTTAAATAAATTAAAGGTGGAAGTATAGATTCATCAGATGAATCAGAAACAATATCAGTTTTATTTGAGTTTTTAGTTCTTGAAACCACAAATCTAAAGTTGGAAGGAGATTTAAATTCAAATTTAGGTAATTTAGTTTCTCTTGGACTAATATTATAATATTCTGATTGAGGACTGAGACTTTTTTACATTATTTTTTAACTTTAAAAAAATTCTAAATATAATTAATCTGATAATAGACAAATATATATAATTAAGATATTATCTCTTTTATTCTGAAATTTTATGTAATTGTCTCTTAATTTTTTTAAAAACCAAAAAGAATCAAAAAATGTGTCTTTATTAATTTTAACTCTATTATTGAGTAAATAACATAAACTTAATCATTAATTCTAGAATTAGAAATTATCAGAATAAATAGAATAATACTAAATATTTCACTAATTAATAAGATTATATAGATTCAAAGAAAATTCTAGAAACATATTAAAATGTGAAAACATGCTAAAAGGAACATCATTTAAAAAAAAATAATTAAGAAATGGCAAAACCTTAAGGAGCTGGCTCCATTTGGAATCCAAATAGTTGGCATTGGGAAGAAAAAAATTATACAACAATTGCTAAATAAATAATTGAATAGAAAATAAAGTCCATCAAAGTTGAATCTGGAGGAATTATATTAACAAATTAAGAAATTAAATCTATAAGTGGAGATGTATAAATTTATTGTGAAATAAGGCTCATATTAATATCCGTAAAGGAAAATAAGTTCTTGTTTATGATTTTGATATTGAAGTTGAATGGAGAGGTAAACTTCCTTAATAAATTTATATAGGATAAAATGAAAATGATGAAGTAGAAGGCACTTATAAAATAAAAGATTTTAATTCTTTAGATAATGATATTGAATTGATTCACATAAACAGCAAATCAAAAACATAAATTTCAGACAAATGCAAAGATTTAATTAAGAGAGATATGAATCGTAAGTTAAAAGAATCTTTCTAAACATTAATATAAGAAATTGGTCAATTTGAATCAGATCCTGAAAAATTGTAGATTATTAAAAAATTATTTTTAGAAAGAAAGACCAAGAAGCACGTAGATATGCAGAAGAATAAGTTAAGTTAGCTAAAGAGTAAAATGGAGAGTTGAAAGAAAGAATATTCTAAGAATAAAAACTTAAAGAAATAAAGATGAAATAAGAACATACACAAGTTGCATAATGATAGTAATTATTTGTTTAAAATTATATTTCATTTAAATAAGTATAATCATTTCCATCTTTATTTATTTGATGAATTTTTTTCTAAATATTATTACTTCTTTGCTGGCTTAATTGACATACCTCTGATATGAGATCTACTAGAACATGCACTAAAACTGTAATTATTTATTCTTTTTTCTTTTTTTGTGAAAAATTCTACTTCAATATTCTCTTTATTTTGATTTTTATGATTAGTTTGAGGAGAATTATTTGCTGTGCGTTTGGTTTATTTATTTTCTTTTTCCTATTTTTAATATTCAGATGGACGTTCTTTATAATTGTAACTTAATTATGATTATTTCAATTCTTCATTTAAATCTAATTTTAACTTTGATGAATTATCAGGTTAATAATTTATACTTTCTTAAAACTTGAGAGTTTTTTATGAATGAAACATAAGTACTTCATCTAATCTAGTGATAATTTATTCTTCATTGATTCTTAATTTTGGATCAACATTAATCATATCAATTATTAAATTTTTTAGCAATTCTAAAATGATTATAATTTATACATGAATAGATACCAGAATTTATTTTATCAATATATTTATGAAGGTTTTATGGTTAAAAATGAGTAGTATCATAAAGATTGAAATCAAAAGGTGACAATTTAGTCATAATAAATATGCAGATCAATCCTAAACTGAAAATTTATGCTGTAATATTGGATTTGCATCTTGCTGTTAAGACTTCAGGTGCGATATAATAATCTTAATGTTTGATATAACCTTATCTAATTCTTTGAATATCACTTTTTAGTAGAAATAATTCTGGATCTAACATGATATATTCTGGTAATAAGATTTCTTTAGGATGTATTTGTACTTTATTTTAATTCATGTTTGAAAGTAGTTATCTTATAATGGAGATAATTTATATTTCTTTTAGAGTGAATTCTTAAGTCAATACAAATTGATGGAGTGTGATTTGATTATAAGAGAAAAATGCTTTGATTTCATTTGAAGATCCACAGAATGTAATTTTATCAATTTCTTCAAAGGACTTTAAAATAGGAATTTATTTTAATGATTGCAAAAAGACATCCTTTGCAGTAATGTCATATTGTAGTATTTTTTGGCAGAGATTATCTGTTTGGATAATTTAACCATAATTATAATCAAGCTTGCTCTGGTCAGCCCCCATGAGTTTAACGAATAAATGCAATAAAATAATTAGTATAAAATAGTTGATAATCAAAAGTTATGATTTTATAAAGGTTTAAATTTTTCTCCTTTGATAAGAGAACTATTTGGCAAAGGCAATGGTTTTTTAGATTTATCAAGCAGTTAAGAATCATCAATGGATGAATAATAGATCTTGAGTTAATTCATTTTTTTTTCAATAGAATCTAAATCTGTATCAGATTCAAAGATAATCCATCTTTCCCTATTTCCACTTTTCCATTCTCCTTATTTCCTTTAAGCTCCAGCAATAAAAAGTCCTCTACCATGTTATTTTCCTTCAAGCCAATATCCAACATATTTTCTACCATCAGGCCTATAATAAAATATTTTAAAATTACCATTCAAATACTCCTTAACCATGCTTTTTATCATCTTAATATTCTCCAATATATACTCTACCATCACTCCATGAAAAAAGACCTGTTCCATGCATTTTATTATTTAACCATTCTCCACAATACTTTCTACCATCTGGCCAAACATATCTACCAACTCCATTTATTTAATTATTTAAAAATTATCCACAATATGATGCTTTATCTGCCCATACTATATTTAATATATTAAAAACTTTATACCAAATCTTCCTTTACCATGTTTAACTCCATTACTGTATTCTCCTTCATGTTTAGCTCCATCTGGCCATATTTCTACACCATGTCCATTCTACAAATCATTATTCCAACTTCCTTCATATCTTGCTCCATCTGAATGGATATATATTCCTTAACCTTTAGATTTATGATCCTCCCAATCCTATTCAATTATTTTTAACATTTTACTCCATCATATATATCTCCATTCGCATGGTACAATCTCCCCTTGCCATTTGCCATATCTCTAATCCAAAATCCTTCGTATATCGAACCATCTTTCCATATTTAAATTCCTTTTCCAAACTTTTTATCTGCTGACCATTCTCCTATATATATTGCACCATTCTCCAACAATACTGCATTTCTAAAGAATCTATTATCATAAGAATCACTTTCTGTATCTTGATATCGATACTCTTAAAATGGAAAGGGTGGCATCTAAATAATATTTGTTGATTCATACTTTACTAAATTTTGACAAGTGTGTTAATGAGAACTATTTCAAAATATTATTCACTTTAGTATTGTATAGTTAGACTTATACATAATGATACTTCTTTCTTACAATCCACCCTCTCAAAAGTGCTTATATTTTAATAATGCATTTCAATAGTTTTATTTCTTCATCTTCTATTTCATTTTCCTTTCTACTTACTCTCAATCTTTTATCACTTTCTATTTAATTATGATCAAAAGTAACTGTTTTTACACATGCACAATTTGCTTAACCCATATGACGGTTAATAATTAAATAATTATAATGCTTCTTAATATACAATTTTATCTTTATTTTCCAGATGGTACATTATTACATTCAATTTAGACTCTGAGATATTGTTCAAATTCAAGAAATATGAAATTCGAAAATTCTTTGATGGTCAAATCCAATTTACATAAAATGAATAGCAATCAATCTAATAATTCAAGCAAAAATATTAAGTTTAAAAGGAAGATTCATTTATTTTAAGAATGTTATATGCTACAAAATTTAAGTTTGATAAATGTTTAGATGCTATTAAAAATTATGATGAGTGGTAATAAAGTAGAAACCTTAAAGTAAATCCAATGTCATAAGAATTATTGGTATATTTATTCGATTCATTCCATAGAAACAAGGAGTGATATATATGCATGGCAGAGATAATAGATTCCGTCCTATTATTGTTGTAAATGTCAGAAAAGTTTCATAGGTTAAAGAAATAGATATCCTACTTTAATCAATATCTATATTTCTTGATTATCTATTGAAAAATTGCATGCTTCCTGGTTAAATTGAAAATTGGTATATTACACATTTTTAAATTAGGATTGTTATTATGGATTTAGGAGGACTGGGCATTATGGGGTTGCCAAAATAGGATCTTTATAGAATTATGAATTATCTTTCTAGTAATTACAGATCAAGAATGCACAAATGCTATGCTATAAATTGTACCAAATCACTCAGTATTACTTGGGCTATGATTAAGACATTTTTAGAAGATATTACAGTATTTAATAGTATTCTATCAAAGGTTAATAAAATTTGTTTCGAAAATGCCCCTATCTCTCTTCTTTAATATGCAAATCCACAATAATTGGAAACAAAATATGGAGGTTCAGCAAAAGATAAATTAGATAATTTTTGGTAATCGAATTTATCATTATTAGGCCTCCTTAAGAGATAAGTATCAATTATCAAATAGCTGTTGATTAAATCAAATTAATTGATTAATTCACATATATTTAACTATTTTAATAAGGGAAATTAGCCAAGAATCTAATTTGCCCAGAAATAATTAAGATTTAATAATTAGAACTAAATAACCAATAAATTCAATTATAGCAAAAATTTGAAGAAGGCTTTTAATCTTGTGAAGATAACAATGATAAATGATTTTGAAAAGCTATTATTCGTTTAAATATTTCATTTATAAAATCAGCTATAATAAACTTTTAAAATGCAATTAATTATTTCATTTTTTCTGAGAAATGTAAAAATCCTGTTGAAATATTATTTCTCTTCAACTAAAGATAACCCCCTCATCATCTTTCTAAATAATTGGAGAATCAACTTTAAATTATATATTATAGTATTATTCTTAAAATTATAGTTTTACATTAAAGCTAAACCTTCAAAGAGAAAACCACACAAGGTTGTCTTTGTTTTACTCGATAAACTAAAACAGAATTTTCAAAACCTTTAAAAATTCTAACAAAATATTTTAGAAAAAGAATCATGGAGCATCTTCCATATAGATTTCTTTTTGCTTATCTTGTTTATTTTAAACTTTAAAACCTATCAAAAATAGTTTTTTTCAGATTTAGATAGTTAAAATGTTATGATAGATTAATCAAGAAATAAATAACCTGTCTCGTTAGGATGAAAAAGGTGTAATTTTATCAGAGAGTAAATATTTAGAGATTAAGAAATAATTTTTGGGAAGAATACAATAGGATTATAGGAAAAAATCCAAAAATAATCTCCATTTTTAAAAGCTAAAATCATGTTAATTAGTTCGTTTAATTATTAAAAATGGGAGATAACTCTGAATGAAAAGCAATTTGCATTACTATAATTATTTAAGGTAGATAAATTTTAAAACTTTGCTTAAGGAATATTAATTGAATATTATTGTTTATTTATTTCCAATTGAAAATTTATAGCTTTGAGTTCTAAAAGTTATTCTGACCATTTAAGAAATTTAACTATGAAGCAAATATAATTAAGGACTTTTATACTGTTCTTGTATGATTTAACTATTATGGAGAGTGCTGAGTACCATTTAATTCTAGTTCATCTATCCGTTTTAATTAATTATAATTAAATATGAAATTAATAATCTTGATTCTTATATGCAATACTGTTTTAGGGGCAATATTTGAATAAGGATATGCGGCTTCAGGCTAAATTTCAGCCCATCAAATATACAGATAAGTAATTAGAATATTGACTAATCAAGGATATAAAATTAAATAATAATTTTGCAGAAATTCCAAAAATTGTTTTAAGTGTGATTGGTTATCAATCTAATTAAAATACGTTAGACTTCTTTTCAAGAGTAACTGATGTAACAAAGGAAGGTATTATACTATATTATGAATAAAGGATTCTAATTGTAAGTTATAAGTGATTCCGAAATAAATGAAATTAGATTCAACTATTTAGCAACAGATCACAAAGATGTTTAAACAATATGCAATAATTTAGAAGTTTAAAAAGATTAAATAGATATGAAATTTAATACTGAATTTGAAGAATTACCATAGGTGGCAGCGTTTTTAACAGGAATTCACAGATAAAATTAAGATGACATAATTTTAGAGATAAAATCAATTGAAAAGAATCAAGTTCATTTAGCTACATAATCGAAAGCAGAAAGTTCGCTTGGTTTATGCTTACTTATAGGACCTTAGAATGTATTTAATCGAAAAGAATTACCAATCATGCAAATTTCTCAAGGATTACCAAATAATAGTTTTTATGGAATTTCCTCTTTAGCCGGAGTAGCCGATAATGGAATTCTCTTAAATCTAAATTAAATGTAGGTAGAAAACTCCTTTAAAATTGGTTTAACATTAATAGAGATCGATCCTGGACAAATCACTAATTAAGAAGTGATTTAAGATAATAATACTGTTTCCTTTGATGATTTAGTTGATAAGTAAATGCCCTAAGAATAACCAGAATAAATTGATTTCTTTGAATAAGAAGGCCAAATTAATATTAATAGTATTTAAATAACTTAAGAAGAATTAGAATTTGAATCTAAAATAAATTCAATTTCTTTCATATATCCAGAATAACAGGACTAATTGTATATTGAAGTTGAAGAATAAAATCTCTAATAGATCAAAGATAACACTTAAGAAATTATGACAATTAGTGAATCTTGGTTGTAACATGATTTGTCAGTTGTTGATTAGTCCTAAGAGTCCTAAGCATCTCTTGATAATAATTAAGTCTAATTCAATGAAGGATAACAATTATTGACCAATTTGATTAAACCTTAAGATTTTAATACTAATTCAATTGAATATGAAGACTTTGAATCATTCAAAAGATAAGCCGAAAATATTGTAATTGTTGATTGTACTCAAGTTATTATTGAAGAAAACTAAAAGAAATCATAAAGTAATTAAGATTCTACATCTGAGATCTCTATTGATTCAACTCAAGATTATGATCTCTAAAATTAAATTGAATAATAAATTGATTTAGCTGAAGAATAAATTGTTGTTGATGATTTACAAGAATAAATGATGGAAATGTAAGAAGAAATGTAGAATTTGTAGCAAAATTCTTAAAGCAGGGTTTCATCCGAATTGGATCCATTCAAAATAATAGAATAATAATAATTTATTGTTGAATAATAAAAATAATTGGTTGATTAATAATAATAAATCATTCAATAATATTAAAAATTGTTTGAAGACAAGGTAAAAATTTTATCTGATTAATAACCAAATAATGAATTTGATGAAAAATAAGTAGAAAAAGAATAAAACACTAATGAAGATCAGCTAGAGACTTTGTTTTAAAGCAATTTAAATATTAATGATAACTAAAATTAACTAACTAATTAAGAAGAATAAAATTAAAAATTACCTTAAAATTAAGATTAATTATAATAAAATGTTCTAGATCAAAAATATGTTTTATAAGATTTTCCAAGTTAAAATTTAGAAAATAAAAGTAACTTAAAAAAAGATTTAGAATCATTTGATAAAATCAAAATAAGGAAAGACGAAATCGATGAATAAAAGGCTACCTAAATATTGAAAGAAATAACTAAAGATTTGCTGAATGATGAGAAAATGGAAGATAAAATTAATTAAATAGAGGATAGCCTTAATGAAGTGTTTTAAATAAAATCATAGAATGAAGTGTAATAAAATTTAAATGATGACATAAGTAGTATACCTTAAAATAAGAGGGTTGAGTTCAGTAATATAAAAAATAACTTGGATAATATTACAAGTATAATATTATTATTAATTTATGTAGCCTTAAATTTCTAAGATATTAGTAATTAAGCTGAAAATGTAAGTTTAGAGGAAATAAGCTAAGCAATATTTCCATAAGAATATGAAATTGAATAAGCATATTATGATTGGTCAATGAATTAGGGATTTATGAAAAATAGAAATGAACTATAAATTAATTAAGAGCTTATCCAATAATCAAATATGTCAAACTAACAAAGCTAAGAGGAATTATAGAAATAAATTGAAGAATTTTTAGAATTAGATTATAATGAATCACATTTTAGTGATCCACTTTTTGATGATTTTCATTCATTCTTTTCTGTTAATTAATAAGTTAAAAAAAATTTAAGGAAGAGAAAAGTATTAAATGTTTGAATAAATAAATCAAAAAAATATATGAAAAAACTTTTCTTAATTCTTAATTTTTTAGATATTTTTTAAAAACTCTAAAACTTGCTTAGCTTTTTTTAGAATTTAAAATTTTGTTTCATTTTTAGTTCTAAAAGCACTTTAATTCACAATATCAACCAGTGTATTCCTCTTTTTTCTTAATATTCTTTTAACAGCCTCTTTAGCAATCCCCTTAACAGTTTTCTTTACAGTCATCTTTAATTTTCTCTCCAGCTCCACAACCTCACACTGATATTCCTAATTTAAATCTAATAAATCTAAAAATTATCAGAACTACCGAAAAGGATACCATAAATTATAAAACTATTTTGACCGTAAATATTGAACTGGTTTAATTATATTGTTTATTTTGATTCAATGATGTGGAATTAGATTTTAAATATTAATATGAAATATCAATTGTACTTAATATCAATAAAGGATTTATAACCATCATTATTAAATAATATTTATTATACTGATGGATTCCATATTTGAATTAAATTTGGAAGCTAACATATAATTATAATCAGAACTATAGTTTTGTGTATAAGTATGCAAGCATTATTGGAATAGCTATCAGCCAAAACTAATTCAAGAGACCTTTTCCATTAGATCTTCTGTTCGTTGTAAATACAACCATAGGGTTTGAAGTATTTTTAAATTTTTAAATGCTTTTATTTATCAAAATTAACCTTTAAATACAATTATTTTAGGAAAGAATGTTGTTTTTTTATACTCTATCAATATTTAATAGGCTTGGTAATAAAAATGATAGCCTTTTTAATGATTTCCAATCTTTTTCTAATTGTAATTTTAAATACATAAATAACCCACTTTGATGCAAATATTTGGATAATTCATTTTACGTATTACTTAATTAAATTATGAAAGGACTTAAAACCTCTTAAATTTATTAAATTAATGATGAGATCTGATAAGTAGTATCATTATCATTTAAATCTATATATTCCTCTTATAGTATTTTTGCAGATATTATTGGCAGTGTATATGTTATTTGACCTTCATTGCTTAATTAAAACTCTGTTGGTTCCTTATTTGACACTTGAACAATATCATCAGTCAATATTTACGCCAATATTTTCCCTTTTATAATCTAAACCAATTACAATTATGCCAAAAATCCAATCTTTATATTAATTGAATGCTTACATCATAATTTTATTTAGATTTGAATGCTATAACAAATTTTTTAATATTAGAAAATATTTATTTTATTAATTCTTGATTTTTCGGAAAGCTTTTGAATTACTCAGTGTCTAATTCAATTCTTTAATATTAATATGGTATAATAACTTCTGATGTATAAAGAATTATTAATTTTTAAGTTAAATCATTATTTTCAGATAAATTCTATATTTGTTGATTTTAAAGATTATTATCTAAATTCAAGCTCTTTTTCAACTCATCTACTGTAGACTTGATAAGTAAATTCTCTTTAAATTTTTTTATCTCGATAGTAATGGTACATCAATAATTAAAAAATATTAATACCTACATGTTGGACAACGTGGAATTTATTTAACTGCATTAGAGATACATTCCTTGCAAAATGTGTGTCCACAAGGAATAGTGATTGGATTTGTAAAGAAAGTCAAACATAAAGAACATTCAAATTCTTGTTAAAAGAATTTTGGAATTGGTGTTGAATTGTTCATTTGAATTAAAGTAAATAATAATTATGAATAATTTATAAATAAAAATGTTACATTATACTCTAAGAGGTTAATTAAAAAAAATCCCTTTGTATCAAACTTTATTATTAATATAATAATGAAAATATAAAAAAATAAACCAACCTTGCTTTCTAAACCTGCCATGAATTACAGTTATCATTCAAGCAATTCTAAAAATATCTTTGATAGTAGATAAATTGTAATATTCCTAGCAATGGTTCCTGCAGATTTACATTAAAAATTTGGGCCATAATTTAATGAAAAAGGATTAATGAAGCACACAATTATAGGAAAACCTGAATGGTTTCATAAAGTTGCAAAATAGAGAGATACTTAATTAAGATTTATTAATGATGATGATTCTTTAATACATTAACGAAGAGTATTTCATAAATAAAGAAGTATGCAAAATTAATTATTGAAGCTATGAACTAAAATGACTCTTTAAGTAATTTATCCTCCTCTTTAAGAACTCGTAAATTTTCAGATTACAAGGAAAAAACTTCAGATAGTACTAATACATGCAATGTTAATCCAGTTAATTTTGATGTTGTTGAATAGTTTAATCTTGTTTAATAAATGAAAAAAATAGGTGATTAAATCAAAGCCAATACAAAATAATAAGAATCAATAATCTAAAGTTTAAGTATATAAAAAAAAATCTAAGAATTGAAAAATCAAAAGGCTATCAATCAGTATGAAAAATTTAATATACAATGGTAAGAATTTAATGAAAAATTGAAAAATAAAATTGCTTAAAGATCAAAACAGCCAAATCTTCTTGATTAACAGCAATGTAATTCTATATTCTATTGAGAGATTATAATACAAAAGTAGAAACTTTAAATATGCTTTAATCTATCTAAAATCAATTAACAGATGATGAAGAAGTATAGAAAAAGAAACTTAATCCACTTGGAAATCTATTTCTAAAATAANTACATCAATAATTAAAAAATATTAATACCTACATGTTGGACAACGTGGAATTTATTTAACTGCATTAGAGATACATTCCTTGCAAAATGTGTGTCCACAAGGAATAGTGATTGGATTTGTAAAGAAAGTCAAACATAAAGAACATTCAAATTCTTGTTAAAAGAATTTTGGAATTGGTGTTGAATTGTTCATTTGAATTAAAGTAAATAATAATTATGAATAATTTATAAATAAAAATGTTACATTATACTCTAAGAGGTTAATTAAAAAAAATCCCTTTGTATCAAACTTTATTATTAATATAATAATGAAAATATAAAAAAATAAACCAACCTTGCTTTCTAAACCTGCCATGAATTACAGTTATCATTCAAGCAATTCTAAAAATATCTTTGATAGTAGATAAATTGTAATATTCCTAGCAATGGTTCCTGCAGATTTACATTAAAAATTTGGGCCATAATTTAATGAAAAAGGATTAATGAAGCACACAATTATAGGAAAACCTGAATGGTTTCATAAAGTTGCAAAATAGAGAGATACTTAATTAAGATTTATTAATGATGATGATTCTTTAATACATTAACGAAGAGTATTTCATAAATAAAGAAGTATGCAAAATTAATTATTGAAGCTATGAACTAAAATGACTCTTTAAGTAATTTATCCTCCTCTTTAAGAACTCGTAAATTTTCAGATTACAAGGAAAAAACTTCAGATAGTACTAATACATGCAATGTTAATCCAGTTAATTTTGATGTTGTTGAATAGTTTAATCTTGTTTAATAAATGAAAAAAATAGGTGATTAAATCAAAGCCAATACAAAATAATAAGAATCAATAATCTAAAGTTTAAGTATATAAAAAAAAATCTAAGAATTGAAAAATCAAAAGGCTATCAATCAGTATGAAAAATTTAATATACAATGGTAAGAATTTAATGAAAAATTGAAAAATAAAATTGCTTAAAGATCAAAACAGCCAAATCTTCTTGATTAACAGCAATGTAATTCTATATTCTATTGAGAGATTATAATACAAAAGTAGAAACTTTAAATATGCTTTAATCTATCTAAAATCAATTAACAGATGATGAAGAAGTATAGAAAAAGAAACTTAATCCACTTGGAAATCTATTTCTAAAATAAAGAAAAATTTTTAAATTAAAAACAGAGCCTTAATCTATCAAAAATGTGGTTCATAATTTAATTGCTAAAGAAAGACTTTTTTATGTTCCAAATTCTCAAAAATTAAAAAGTAGTATTTTAAATAATGAACCTATATAAAGAGATAGATGTAAATCAGAATTTGATGAGTTAAATGTATAAATTGTAAATATAATAAAGGTTTCTGGGACAAGTGTTTATGATAAAGAATTTTAATCAATAAAATAAATACCAGATAGATAAAATTAAAGATATAAATTATTTAAACACAAACCAATAGATAAACATTCTGATATTTGATAATACTAATTCTATATAATATTATTAAAGCTTATTTTATCATTTCATCTGAAATTTTCAAAATCGTCTTGGATAATTGAACTTTTTGGGCTCACTATATTAAGTTTAAGAAAGTGGTGCCTATTGTTAATTATTTAAAACACAATATGTTAAACAATTGGGGCAGAATGCTGGCTATTACTAATAATACTTTCCATCTAATCTTTATTACCAAACACAATAGAAATCACAATTTAATGTTGAACATTTTACCAGTTTTCCTCTTATATTTAATTTTCTTTCTAAATCAGATAAAAATAATTAAAATTCTGATTAATTTTTTGTTTGTAAGTAAGTTTCTCCGTAAGATTAAATTAATAAACATAATTTTGATTAAAGTGNTAATAAGAATCAATAATCTAAAGTTTAAGTATATAAAAAAAAATCTAAGAATTGAAAAATCAAAAGGCTATCAATCAGTATGAAAAATTTAATATACAATGGTAAGAATTTAATGAAAAATTGAAAAATAAAATTGCTTAAAGATCAAAACAGCCAAATCTTCTTGATTAACAGCAATGTAATTCTATATTCTATTGAGAGATTATAATACAAAAGTAGAAACTTTAAATATGCTTTAATCTATCTAAAATCAATTAACAGATGATGAAGAAGTATAGAAAAAGAAACTTAATCCACTTGGAAATCTATTTCTAAAATAAAGAAAAATTTTTAAATTAAAAACAGAGCCTTAATCTATCAAAAATGTGGTTCATAATTTAATTGCTAAAGAAAGACTTTTTTATGTTCCAAATTCTCAAAAATTAAAAAGTAGTATTTTAAATAATGAACCTATATAAAGAGATAGATGTAAATCAGAATTTGATGAGTTAAATGTATAAATTGTAAATATAATAAAGGTTTCTGGGACAAGTGTTTATGATAAAGAATTTTAATCAATAAAATAAATACCAGATAGATAAAATTAAAGATATAAATTATTTAAACACAAACCAATAGATAAACATTCTGATATTTGATAATACTAATTCTATATAATATTATTAAAGCTTATTTTATCATTTCATCTGAAATTTTCAAAATCGTCTTGGATAATTGAACTTTTTGGGCTCACTATATTAAGTTTAAGAAAGTGGTGCCTATTGTTAATTATTTAAAACACAATATGTTAAACAATTGGGGCAGAATGCTGGCTATTACTAATAATACTTTCCATCTAATCTTTATTACCAAACACAATAGAAATCACAATTTAATGTTGAACATTTTACCAGTTTTCCTCTTATATTTAATTTTCTTTCTAAATCAGATAAAAATAATTAAAATTCTGATTAATTTTTTGTTTGTAAGTAAGTTTCTCCGTAAGATTAAATTAATAAACATAATTTTGATTAAAGTGGCATTAAACATTAGTTGCACTTTGCTAATTGTTTTTTCATCAATGCCTATTGTACTAAGTCTTCAATTTGAGAATAACTAAAGTAATGACCACACTTATTTTTATAATTGTCTTATTTTTAAACTTTAATTTAATTATTTTATATACATTAAGTAGAGTATTAGGATTATTATATTAATTAAGATTATATTCTGGAATTTTATTATTATTATAAATTTCCAACTACTTAGTATTATTGATCTTAATTTTAATATTTCATTTAAAATTAATTTTTATATTATTATAAATCTCTATTTAATGATTCGATTTATTATTAAGATTGAAACTTAATGTCTTAAATTTATTTTAATAAATTTTAATTTTCATTCTTTAATTTTTAATTTTCATCATTAATTTTATTAGTTTAATTAGTTTAATTAGAATACCTAAATTATTTATCAAAATTACATGCTTATTTAGTTCAATTGGTCAGTCTTATTCAAATTCTCTAATTACAATTATTATATTAATTAATTCATTTTCATTTTTTCATTACTAATTTAATATGTTTAAATTACTTATGTTCTTTTGTTAAATCTTATATGTTAATCTATAAATCTCGTATTTATTTTTCATAAATTTATAATTCTTTTCTATAATTAGAACTAATTTATACTTTAAATCTTAAATTTCTTTAATCATTTGAGAATTTTGTGACTCTAATTATTCCTTTTCTTGTTTTATTCTTATATTCTCATTAATTTATTATTAAAGATCATTCTATTAAGTTTAGGGCTAGAATTACCTATTATTATAAATAAATATTATAATACATTTTATTTTAGATTTCTTATTTTTATTAGCTATTTATATTAATCATATTTATAGATTATTAAGGAAAAGTTTAAACCTACTATTAATTATCAATCTTGTTGTTTGTATTTACATAATTATGTTTGTGTATACCATTCCATGTAGATTTAGGATACTAGTTCATTTACTATTCAGATATGAAGTTAATTTTTTTTTCCTGATAGTAACTTTAATTTTATTTTGATGAAAAATTGTTTGAAATATTTAATTCAGCTACATTATTCTATTAATTAATTTTCTGGCTTTCATAATTTTGTTTGTTTTACTCTATATTTTGGGAATTTTGACTATAATTAGAATTTCTGGTATATGACAATACTTTTTTAAAAGGAATCTATCTTTTACTCATTTTTTTTAAAATATTGAATACATTTTCATTTAAGTTTCCAGTATAATGTTTATTATTTTCAAGAAAAAAATAAACTTCATAATTGTCATCAAGTTTGCTTTAAATCCATGTCTTACAATCTTAAAGTGTTGTATTCTTATTAATTTTGTATGATTTAACTGACTAATGTTAAGGTAAATCTAAATCATAAAAAGTAATAATAAAGGTTTCTTAAAATATTTGACTCATGTCTTCTATTAAATAAAAATAAAAATTAAATTATAATTTATTATATTTTTTATTTAATAATGATTGATGAAATTATTTATTATTCTATCACGATGAAATCTTAGTTTCCATCTTAGAATGTATTATTTTATAATGATTTATCAATAATTTGAATATATAGATTTAATTAATTCATTATGGTTTTTTCACACTTTTTTTTTCGCAGTTTTGACAAAATGCATAAGATTCATTTTTATAATTATTTGTATTATCCCAAAAACAAAAGTAATTGCATTTGCTATTCTAACATTTAGCCGATTTTATTTTTTTTTACTTATCCTTTTCATATAATATTTTAAGTTTTTCAAAATAATATTTATTTATTTCTTCATCAATTTTTATCTTTAAATGAGGAAATTAAATTTACCAATCATTTGATAATTTGCATTTACATCTACTCTTTGAACATTATGGATCTTTTTTCTCTTTCAATCCCTTTATTACCGAAATTTCTAATTTTTATTGTGTCAATTTATGCCCACAACCATTTTAAAATTCAATTTTTTAATCTATTTCTTCAATTAAACATTTCTATGTTTATTTTTATTCTTATTACAAACTTTATTAATGATCTATTTATTAATATTCATTTTTTTATTAATAATTTTTTGAATTAAGATTTTAATCTATATTATATCTTTAACCATTTGATAATAATAATTATGATTATTCTTAAATTTGATGATTATTTAATTTTTCACTGTTACTCGAAATGATTTGTTATTTCATTAAATTTTGATTAGTATTATTAGATTAAGTTTCATAAGCAATAGCTTGTAGTTATTCTATTCTTTCTATAAGTTTTAAATTATATGCTTTCAAATGTTCTATTTCACTTTTTTATTCACTTATATTATTATTTAACTTTTCTATTAATTTTTCATATGAATGTCTTTAATTATATTCAAGAGGTTTAGAACTTTATTGTAGAATTAAGTTTTCTTATTAAACTTAATTTAAATTTTGGGTAAGAACTTCAATTTTTTATTTCAAATAAAAAATCTCATTATTATACTTGTTTTAAAATTAATCTTCATTAATTTAATATTTTTCTTAATTATTAAAATTGCTTTAACTTTAGAAGTTGCCTATCTAATGATTAGTATTATGTTGCAATTATGAGTTTTAAACAAGATTTTAGGTTACATATGGTTAGTAATTATAAGAACTTTATGCTATATTATTATATTTATCAAAATTTTATGAAATCTCTTTCATTTATTACAAGCTATCTGAGTAATCTGAACCTTTGAATTAAATTATTTTTTTAGATTCTTTATAATTAATCTCATAATAAAATTTTCTAATATTTTCTTTTTTGATAATTTCCTCAACATATGTATTCATATCACCATCAAATAATTTAGTTTTACTAACATAGAAATAAATTTGCTATTCAGAATTTAATTTATTTTAGACATGAATGAGTAAGTCTAACATAATTGTTACATTTGACACCCTAAATGCCATTTCTGTTTATTCTTCATCTTTATTTAGATCATGCAAACTTATAAGAGTGAAAACTGGATATTTAGATCTTATGAGATTTAACATTTAATTTTGATATTAATATTTATACTAGAAGAGAATCTATTCTAAAAGTAATTACTTAATCTAATAATACATAATTAGATATTTTTTTAATTGTAATAGAAATATAATTAAATGTACAAAGCTATTCATTAAAATAATATTAAAAGTCTTACAAGTTCTATAGTAACAAAAATGATATTACTTTATTACTCTAATTATTATGTATGAATAAATAATATAATAAAAAAATCAAGGATTAGCAAATTAACAATTTGCCATTTTTTTTATATTTCTTCTTTCATTCCATTGATTTGAGATTGAATTTTTATGGCAATTAGGGCAAAAACTAAATATTTATTAATTATCTAAATTGTATTATTAAGAGAAAACTATTTTGCCTCCTGAATCACAAATAGTTTTATTTTAAAAGACATAAAAGAATGTGCATGAAAGGGTACTACAATTAGAAACTATAATCTCTGTCATTTTTTAAAATTATTATTTGAGTTTATCTAATTAATAATTGTAAGCATAGTCAATATATTGAGATCCAAATTTACCTAAATCTCTATAAAACTTTAATGGTATTTATATTAAGCAAAATGAACATTTTGCCAGTTCTTTATTGAGTTAGGCATCTGAAGCAGTTCCTAATAATTTTTAAGGTGTTATATTGTGTCCACAATTACTCTTAATAACTGCATTTTAAGGTGATTCCATATAAAAAGCAGTTCTTTTACCACAAGAATGACAAAAACCTTACTATTATAAAGGTTGATTAAAATTCCATATAGTAAAGAAATTGCAATCAGTTTCAGTACATTAAGCAATTAAATGTGTTTGAATTTTGATTATTTAATTTTTTAACATTTAAACCATCAATTCTAATCTTAAGTTAAAATAACTTTTATTTGAATCGATTCTTTTTATGATAGTATATTTTATCTCTTATTTACAGCATTTAGCAAGTTGTCGATTTTATAGAGCATATTAAAATTTTGTAATAATTTCACTTAAGTTTAGAGTATGATTGCAGCTATTTTAAATTTTTATAGCTTCAGGGTTAAACTTAACACTCCAAGTACGACAACTTTCACACCAATAATCTTGTTTATGAAATTATGTCACTATACAAAAGTAACTGCAATTTTAACACTTTATAAATAAATTCTAATTATCATTTTAATTATTTTAATAGATTTGATTTAGTTATTTAGAGTATTTTTATTAGAGTTACTCTTTAGATAACTCAGATTTTTGTTAAGCTGTTTGAAAGTTTGAACTTGAGAGAATTCTGTGAGAATTCAGTTTTTGTTATTTTTTATAAGTTGTATCTTAATTAGAGATTTATTAAATTATGCTTGCAGAGGATTGTTATCTGGTTAATGATTCTTTGGGTAAATCTCTGCAATTTTATTTGTAATTATTCATTTTTTAGGAATCAGCTGAATGTTATTAATCTTATCGGTAGTGTTTACCAAAATAAGATTTTTTATTTGTTTAATAATTGTTAGTCCTTTTTGTATCTTCACATTCTGGGTCTACTTCATTTCCATCAGTTTTTGTAGAATTTAATATCCCAAAATCAAACCCATTTTGGGAACTAGAGAAGGAACTGCAATACTCTGTTTTAAATCTAAAACTTTAATCTTCCTTCTTAATAGGATTATTATTTCTATATGTATATTAGGGAGTTTATTATTTCCTTAAGAGAGCCACAGTTGAATTATAATAATTATTTTATTATTCATTCTAAAATGTTTCTGAATTGATAGTAAATGTAATTACTATAGTGTCATATCTTTGATTTATTTATTCTTCCAAGCTTTTTTCTGGTATTAAAATACGATTTTCATATTTTAAAGTTATTTTTTAATTTTAGTATTAGTTTGTAAGTTAGTCCACAATAATTTAAAGCTAATTCTTCTTATTAAAATTTCTCATCATGATGCTTTCATTCTCTTTTTAAGTGTTCTTTAATACTATATGGATAAACCCATTACTTGTTTATGGTCTTGGTAATCCATAAGGTTTTTTAAATTTCTGCACTTGCGCTTATTATTAAAAATTTATATTTTAGATATTTTATTTTTTTTCTGAAAAATTATTTATTGACTTAAAAAATGATAATGACTAAGAATTATTGATTGGAGTGTTATAATTTTAATTCACTTAAGGTAAATGAACTTAATTAGTCTTATCTTCATTTATTTTTTGTGTTTTCTATTTTTCTAATTTCATTTTGTTTAATTTTTCTTTTGAATAATTAATTGATATAGGAGTTATTTGTTCTGACATCTCTCTTGTATGTAATGAATGCTTTTAATTTATTTATAATTTCATATGAAATATTTCCTAAAATTAATAATAATAAATCTCTATAATTAATCTGATGCCCATATTATAATATTTAGTCGATTTAATTAAAAAATTTATTATTCATAGATTTAAATATAATTATCAATTGATATATACAGGCCAAATAATGGCCATTTATTTAATAGAATAATTATAAATGTATTATTTTTGTATTTTATTTCATAGAAAATTATATTTAATATTTATTTTAATGAATCAAAGAAACTCCAAATCTCCATATACAGAAATATGCATATATATCCCTTTATAATGTTAAAAAATTATAATAAACAATAAAGCAACCTTTTAAGATATTAAATCAATATTATTGAGGATTTTGAAAATAAAAAAGATGTTCAATTATTATATAAAAGAATAACCTCTTGTAAATCTAAATGAATTAGTTATTACCATAATTCAACCGAAATACACAGATATAAAATATTTTAAAACTATAAAAGATACTCATCCATGTCAAGAATTAGAATTATTTCCCTATCAATAAAACAAATAACAATAAGGAAATAATTTAACTTAAAAGTCACCAAAATAAAATATTGAAAATTAATTTCCTCAATTTCTAAATAATTGGGCCAATACTAGTTGAGAATAATAAATTTAATCATTAAAGTATTTAATCAATTATTATAAGTAAGTCTCTATTACATTAATAAATTCTTAAAATTCTAATTAGCAATTTAACAATGAAAACAAGTTAATAAATAAGAAAAATATTAATGAATACTTTAGAAAATTAAGATTTGTATCTTCTCAATATTATCTGAATTAAAAATAATTTTATTTAAGAAATTTTTTAATATCACTTATTAACAGAGACAATTTTATTGGAATAACAAATATAGAACATTATACATAATAAGTTTGAAAGTAATGATTGTAATTAAATTAAAGTAAGTTTGATATTCTTTAATAAAAAAAATAAAGACTTTTTTAATTAATATCTGAATTGAATGATAAAGCCAATCTCTTTTCTTAAGATGAGAAATTAGGAATAAATTAAATAGATTTTAAATAAATTAATAGTTAAGGCATTGTAACAAAATTAGGACAATATTAAATTTCATAGATAGCTTAATAGACAAATAAATAACCCTATAATAAAGTAGTAAAATTCCATTTTATATTAGATCTTTTTAATATTAAATATTTAAATAAATGCAGTCAGACATTCTAAATATAATAATTAGATAATATTATATTTAAAGCCTTTAGAAATAAAGTAAATAGCTCAATATGAATAATGTAATTAACTTCTATAAGTGATGCTTTGTTTATCACCTTAATTATAAGGTAAATAATATTTGGAATAGGTATAGTTTATTGTTTAAAATAAAAATAAAAAGTTATTATTGTTTTTAAAATTCCCAACCATAAGATTAACTTGAATCAGATAAACTTATGGTTTTTTTTAGGTTTGTTGTGAGAAAAATGTGGTTAATCCTTTTTTACCTGATTAAATCGAGTAAGAAAAGGGATAAAGATTCTGAATGTTTATAAAAAATAGTAATAGATTTTATTATTTTAAAAGGTATTTAGTATTTAATAAAATAATTTTTAATAAATTTTCATTAAAAAAAAGTATTGTCATTCTAAAATATAAAATGAAATTACTTTCTCAAAAAAGATTGGATTAATAAAAAAATGAGATAAATAATATGGTTTTCAGTTTTAAAAAATATAAATCTAAGTTTTTTCTATATCATAATCTTTTAAAGTTGCAACTAATTTCACAGATTGGACAAAAATAATGATTATCAACTTAGCAGCTTTGATTGCCATCTCTTGAAATAAATACAAAATTGCAATTAACTAAACTACATTAAAATATAGGCAAAGAAGCATTTCTTAAAGTTCTAATTAGTTCAGATAGTTGTTTTTGATAAATGATTAATAAATAGTTTTGTAATATAGTATTAAATACTTTTAATTTATTAAGGGGCATTAATTATTTTTATTAGGATTAATATTAAACTTTTTTTTTTTTAATCAACGCATCTATTAACAGCTCTTGGATTTGATTAAAATTTATTTACGAAATGCAGTCATGCTAGTCGAAACATCTTTGATTTATTTTTAATATACTTACAATTAATTATTTTGATTTTTTATGCTCTCTATAGTTATCAATAACAATCTTTTTTATTCTTCACTACTATTTAATTAAATTCTAAAATAGTTTTATAATTTTTACTTAAATTAATTTGTTTGATTTTATAAATCTTCTTTTAAGTCATTTAGTTTAAAAATTTAAGATTTACTATCATCTTAAATTTATTATAGTTGAGTTATTTTTGTAAGCAAATTCTAATTTTCATTCTTTAATTATTAATTTTCTTTATTAATTTTATTAGTTTAATTAGTTTAATTAGAATACCTAAATTATTAATTAAAATTACATGCTTATTTAGTTCAATTGGTCAGTCTTATTTAAATTCTCTAATTACAATTATTATATTAATTAATTCATTTTCATTTTTTCATTACTAATTTAATATGTTTAAATTACAAATGTTCTTTTGTTAAATTTTATATTTTAATCTATAAATCTCGTATTTATTTTTCTTAATTTTATAATTCTTTTCTATAATTAGAAATAATTTATACTTTAAATCTTAAATTTCTTTAATCATTTGAGAATTTTGTAACTCTAATTGTTCCTTTTCTNTATTTAATAAAATAATTTTTAATAAATTTTCATTAAAAAAAAGTATTGTCATTCTAAAATATAAAATGAAATTACTTTCTCAAAAAAGATTGGATTAATAAAAAAATGAGATAAATAATATGGTTTTCAGTTTTAAAAAATATAAATCTAAGTTTTTTCTATATCATAATCTTTTAAAGTTGCAACTAATTTCACAGATTGGACAAAAATAATGATTATCAACTTAGCAGCTTTGATTGCCATCTCTTGAAATAAATACAAAATTGCAATTAACTAAACTACATTAAAATATAGGCAAAGAAGCATTTCTTAAAGTTCTAATTAGTTCAGATAGTTGTTTTTGATAAATGATTAATAAATAGTTTTGTAATATAGTATTAAATACTTTTAATTTATTAAGGGGCATTAATTATTTTTATTAGGATTAATATTAAACTTTTTTTTTTTTAATCAACGCATCTATTAACAGCTCTTGGATTTGATTAAAATTTATTTACGAAATGCAGTCATGCTAGTCGAAACATCTTTGATTTATTTTTAATATACTTACAATTAATTATTTTGATTTTTTATGCTCTCTATAGTTATCAATAACAATCTTTTTTATTCTTCACTACTATTTAATTAAATTCTAAAATAGTTTTATAATTTTTACTTAAATTAATTTGTTTGATTTTATAAATCTTCTTTTAAGTCATTTAGTTTAAAAATTTAAGATTTACTATCATCTTAAATTTATTATAGTTGAGTTATTTTTGTAAGCAAATTCTAATTTTCATTCTTTAATTATTAATTTTCTTTATTAATTTTATTAGTTTAATTAGTTTAATTAGAATACCTAAATTATTAATTAAAATTACATGCTTATTTAGTTCAATTGGTCAGTCTTATTTAAATTCTCTAATTACAATTATTATATTAATTAATTCATTTTCATTTTTTCATTACTAATTTAATATGTTTAAATTACAAATGTTCTTTTGTTAAATTTTATATTTTAATCTATAAATCTCGTATTTATTTTTCTTAATTTTATAATTCTTTTCTATAATTAGAAATAATTTATACTTTAAATCTTAAATTTCTTTAATCATTTGAGAATTTTGTAACTCTAATTGTTCCTTTTCTTGTTTTACTCTTATATTCTCATTAATTTATTATTAAAGATCATTCTATTAAGTTTAGGGCTATAATTACCTATTATTATTAAATAAATATTATAATACTTTCTGGGATATGACAATACTTTTTTAAAAGGAATCTATCTTTTACTCATTATTTTTAAAATATTGAATACATTTTCATTTAAGTTTCCAGTATAACGTTTATTATTTTCAAGAAAAAAATAAACTTCATAATTGTCATCAAGTTTGCTTTAAATCCATGTCTTACAATCTTAAAGTGTTGTATTCTTATTAATTTTGTATGTTTTAATTGACTAATGTTAAGGTAAATCTAAATCATAAAAAGTAATAATAAAGGTTTCTTAAAATATTTGACTCATGTCTTCTATTAAATAAAAATAAAAATTAAATTATAATTTCTTATATTTTTTATTTAATAATGATTGATAAAATTATTTATTATTCTATCACAATGAAATCTTAGTTTCCATATTAGAATGTATTATTTTATAATGATTTATCAATAATTGAATATATAGATTTCATAATTTTCAACGAATTTTTTTTTAGAATTACGTTTTCTTATTATTATAATTAATTTATTTAATTAGTTTATTACTATATTTTCTAATCTATCTAATAAATAACATTTTTAGTTTAATTATTTATTCTGGTTCATCTTCGAATAATTAATATATTGATGGAAATTTAATTTTATATTATTGAATAATTTTTTGATCTAATTTATTCATTATCAATATCACAGTTATTAAATTTCTGATTTTTATAAATTTATTGATTTTACTCTTTATTTTTGTTTTTTTTTCTTACTAAATTTTAGATTTCAAGGAAATTAAGGAGATTTATTAATTATGTTCCAAATTCTCAAAAATTAAAAAGTAGTATTTTAAATAATGAACCTATATAAAGAGATAGATGTAAATCAGAATTTGATGAGTTAAATGTATAAATTGTAAATATAATAAAGGTTTCTGGGACAAGTGTTTATGGTAAAGAATTTTAATCAATAAAATAAATACCAGATAGATAAAATTAAAGATATAAATTATTTAAACATAAACCAATAGATAAATATTCTGATATTTGATAATACTAATTCTATATAATATTATTAAAGCTTATTTTATCATTTCATCTGATCTTTTTACAATCGTCTTGGATAGATCATTATGAGCTCACTATATTAAGTTTAAGAAAGTGGTGCCTATTGTTAATTATTTAAAACACAATATGTTAAACAATTGGGGCAGAATGCTGGCTTTTACTAATAATAAATTCCAACTGATCTTTATTACCAAACACAATAGAAATCACAATTTAATGTTGAACATTTTACCAGTTTTCCTCTTATATTTAATTTTCTTTCTAAATCAGATAAAAATAATTAAAATTCTGATTAATTTTTTGTTTGTAAGTAAGTTTCTCCGTAAGATTAAATTAATAAACATAATTTTGATTAAAGTGGCATTAAACATTAGTTGCACTTTGCTAATTGTTTTTTCATCAATGCCTATTGTACTAAGTCTTCAATTTGAGAATAACTAAAGTAATGACCACACTTATTTTTATAATTTTCTTATTTTTAAACTTTAATTTAATTATATTATATACATTAAGTAGAGTATTAGGATTATTATATTAATTAAGATTATATTCTGGAATTTTATTATTATTATAAATTTCCAACTTAAAATTCCTATTTTCTTTCTACTTAGTATTATTGATCTTAATTTTAATATTTCATTTAAAATTAATTTTTATATTATTATAAATCTCTATTTAATGATTCGATTTATTATTAAGATTGAAACTTAATGTCTTAAATTTATTTTAATAAATTTTAATTTTCATTCTTTAATTTTTAATTCTCTTCCTAAAGCTCATTAGATTGTTTTTCAAGTTAGAATTATCTTAATCCCCTTGTCATTTTATTGTTTCTTATCCTAATGAATTATATTAAATTACTTAATATTTGAGTTATCACTTTGAAATTTACTATTTTATTACTCTTAACTATTTTTCAATTCTTCTTCCAAAATTAGTTCAAAACTTTCTAGAATTTTTTCTTTATAAATTCTCAATTAGATATCGCTTTTTTCCATTAAATTTATCACTTTATCAATTAGACCACATTATTTTGATTTAAAAAAATCAATCATGGCATAATATAATTAATCATCATTTTTGAAATTTTTTTTTTTATTTTTATTGAATATCTTGAATAAATCTGTCTTTATGAATAAACTTATTTATAAATTCAGTAATTTAATTTTTATTTATTGTTTTATTTCCCTTATCTAAAAAATAAATTTTTAAACATTCTGAATATTCTAATTTAGTAATGTCAATTATTTCTGCATTCATATTATATAGTTCAAAGTCTGGTTTATTATATTTATTTCTCAAGAAATTAATAATATTTTCTAAAGCCTATAAATTTTCTATTTTATATAAAATATCAGAACTATTAATGTCATCTAAGTTATATAATTTAATATGTTAATTCTATTATTAGATGTTTATTATTTCTGTATTTTCTTAATGTTACATTATTTATTTATTAAGAAGCTATGTAATTTATAATTAAATTATTTAAAATTATAATAATGATTATTGAATTATCATAGCATATGAATAATAAATGAATTAAGAACTTAGATATATATTTTAAAAATAAATTAATTATAATAATAGCACTATCAATGATTTTGATAAATTAATTTTATAAAATGTCAGATGCCTATGGGAGAGCTTAAAAATCTTTTTAACATTAAAGTACTCTGAAATAAGATATCAGTTCTGTTGATGTGTCTTTGGATCCTTATCGATTTTATCGACCTATTCTAAGAGTATAAACATCTTTAGAAAAAATTGTGTAACATTAAGATAAACCTTGTTCACCAATTCCATATCGTATGTATATTTTATAATTTGATTAGAAATACAATCATCATATGATGGATAAGAGATGTGTTACTTGATGAATAGTCAGAATAAATTCTCATTTAATAATTCATTAGATAGCAAATTATGGTTTCAAAGACCTTAAGATATTTAAAACTCATAATGTAAATAATTAGTAAATATTCCAATTTTATTTACTTCTCCTAGAGCATCTTAAACAAATTAAAATGAAAAAGAACAGTAGAAATAAAATCAATCTAGATCTTAAAATATACATTTTTTAAAAGAATAGCTTAAGTTTTTTAAGGAAGATTCAGTCTTAAGTGAAGAAATAAATCATAGTGAAGAAAGCAGTATAGAATTAAAAAGAAAAAATAAGAATAAAATTACAAGTAAACGAAGAAAAAAGCATACAAGTGATAGTTCAGAATCTTTTAGAATCACTAAAAAAAAAAAGATATCTAAGGTTAATGATACTAAAAATATTACAAAGAATTATTCTAAAGCTATAATTTCCTATATTTCAAATAATCCTTTAATTGTGTAAAAAGTAATGCAAAAAAATAGATATGATGATTTAGTCAATTTTCTAAAAAACAAAAAAAATTCAATGACTAATATAAAATAACTAAGAGATTTATGGGTTAATAGTGGTAAAAATGCAGAATATAATAGAGTATTTAGAATAATAAGGTAATTGATATGAATTATTTAGTTAATTATTCTTAAAGACATAAGCAGTCTCTTATGTATACAATTCTAGAATTTCTAATACTTAATGGCATCTTAAATACAGGTTTAATCTTTTAAGAGCTTTGAAAGAACCTGAAAATTTTAAATTTATAAAAGATATTTGAAGTAACCAATCTAATGACATTTTCAAATATATATATAATATAATTATTGATCAATAATTATTTATAATAAATCACAATCTCCTTATTAAGAGTCTGATAATATTTTTTCTATTATTCAATTTTTCATCTTATGTTTTTCCACATTAATCTAACAAGTTACTCAAAATTATCTTCATTTTTAATTTAAATGAATCATCAGATTGAGTAACATTCCTTATAAACTCTTAAGATATATTCATAATAAGAAATTCTGGATTTTAAATCTCGTTTGTTAATTATAAATCAGACAATTTTAATCCATATTTAAATTACAGTTTAATTAATTCTTACTCAAAATCTCCTCTATATTATTAAAATTAAAAATTATTGATTAAATCTTTAAATAAGTCATCAAAATAAGGATTAGTTATTTAATTGTTAATTTCTTTTTTAATTGATTCTATTAAATTTTAGTCATGAAGAAATCTTTCTATTATTATATTTAAAGCATTTTCTTTATTTTCTAATGGTATTAAGTGTTGACTAAATAATTTTTATAATAATGTTTCAAGTATAATATCTGATAATTATCCTTATTAAAATTTTTCAATTTATTGAACAAAATTCATGACTAAATTTAATAAAATTTAATACTTTTACTAAAATTGTTTGAAGAATCAATAATACCTTTTATTTTAACCTTTTAAATATCAAAAAATTTTTATTCAAAATCTATATTCCCTGAATTTTTTAAAAACTTAACTATTCCCGTAATTTCTTCAAAAAAATATAATACTTCATTTTCAAATTGCATATCATTTGGAATTTTTTCAAGAATAGTTTTAATTAACTAAAACTTGCTTTTCTAAAAAATAAGCCAATCAATAAAATACATTAATTTCCTACTATGATCTAAAATTTTCTTATCCTTAATTTTCAAAATACAGATAAACAAAATAAGCTAAAGGTTTATCATATAGAAGTAAACTATAAATAATTTGTAAATTTTCTGATTCTAAAACAATTTCTCCAAATAATTACATAAGACTATTATCTTCTTCAATAGAGAAATTAAGTTATTTTAATTTTTCAGTCATTTCTTAAGGTACAATTTTATAATCACAAAATTATACATAAAGCATAATAAATGAAATCCAATCTTATTTAGATTCTTCAATAATAGATTCCAAATCACCTTATAAAATTTTATTGATTTTATTTAAAATAGGATCATCATATTATTTTAAGTTTTCTTTTACTCGTTTGAAACTTTCTTCAATTTATTATGAATTATGTTTAGGGAAAAAATTGTGTTTTTTTATTGCTTCAAATGTATTGCGGGATAATTTTTATTCAAAATTTTGTATGCATTCATGAACTTAACCATTTCTTAATAAATCAAGAGGGAGTTTAGAATTGCAAAATTAAGGTTATTTTTATACCCATTATTTAAATCTATATCCCAAAAATTCGTTATTATTTTTCCATATTTTGATCAATAATAAAATTAAATAGCGATCATTTTAAGCATTTTAACTGCTAGATACTATCATTTCATCTAAATATTATTCATCAAACTTATTTTTATGCTTTTTTGCAATTTCAATCAGATGAAGTAAACTTTAATTCATAATTTTAAATAATAATAAAAATTATTAAAAATCATGAAAAAGTTTTAAATAAAATGATAGAACATATAAAAAATCATTCCGGTTCTATAATAAGAATATATTCAGCAATTTTAATGACTCTCCTTCTACTTAAAGGTACAATCTATGATTAAACTCCAGATTTGCTTAATCTCATCCAAGTTCTATTTAAATCTAAATTAATACCCACTAGAAGTTTTTTAATCTTCAATACTTAGTCCTTCATTAGTGAATTCTAATAATGCATGATCATATGCCATAGTCTAATCACCAAAAGTTTAGGATCCAATCATTTTAGATTTCCCATTTAATAAAGTAAATTAAACAGATCCCATTTAAGATGCTAAAACTATATTACATTCTAAAATAATTAAAATTTAATATTTTACATTATCCATTAACTTAAAGAGTTTAAATTATTACTTCTGTTGCTCCCATCTAAATAATATAACCTTGCATAATTTAAGTTTTAGTTTCTAAAAGAATAAATGTACCTATTAAACTTCCTCTATCTTATAAATAAAACTATTTTTCTTTATAAGTTAACTAGATTTAAAAAAATTAAATTACCCAAACATGAGTCCTACTAACAGATTCATGGTTTAATTAGATATCATTTTCTGGATTTCTTCCTATTGTAGCATTTTTAGTAATTAATTTTTTTTATGTTGGTAATCCTTCTTTTTTTATTTTAATATTTAACTAATTTTTATGTGTATTTGGTGATTAAATTTAATATTATTATTATTATAGTGTTTTTGGTGATTAAATTGAATATTACTATTATTATAACTTTTAATTATTTTATGGGAATTCTTAAGAGTCTTTTTTTTCTTATTTATCAAATCTAGGTGTTCCGAATTAAGGTAAATAATAATCAGATTCTTATAATTGTTATTTCTAAGGACTTTATATAATAGGCTTTTAAATTGGTTACATTTATAATTAGGCAAATATGTTCTCATTTAAAAAATATACTTACTTTTTTATTGCTTTATTAAACTTATCTAGCTAAGTCTTCTTCAGTTATTTTTGATTAAGATTTTTGAACAGGTAAAATGAATTATTTTTTTTATCTTGCTCCTGGAGATGGAAGTGGTTCAATTGGAATCTATCCCATGGTTGTTTTTTCATCTATTTCCATTTCATATTCATGTCTTGATTATAATATTTTATCTTGAATGTCTTTCAAAGGTAATCTATCTTATTAAGGTATTTCAACTCTAGGAGAAGAAATAGATTGAACTTCCATAAAAGTTTGAACCATTTTCGGAGCAATTTCATTTTTTATATGTGTTTTACAATAATTTGTGAATTCTTTCAAACCAATTTGAATCCCTGTATTTTATGGTTAATTATATTTACATTATAAAAGTTTCTTTCTTTATAATGGAGATTAGACTCCTATATCTAAAAGATCTTGATCTGTTAATATCTCTAAACATGAACCATCAACACATTCATTAACTAAAATCTAATTTAAATCATTACCAAAATAAGTATCCAATTAACTATATCCAATATATTTCAACCACACTAGCACTTCTTATGTAGTCCATTTTTTAGGTGGTTTAGGTAATAAACGAAATAAATCATCATAATCCATTGATCGTTAAAATACAAAAAATTGAATATTATAATTACATAAACTATAAATTTACAAAAGTAATATGGTATTATTATATAAAACTAATAAATGATCAAATAAGTAATTATTCTTCAATTAATGTAGTTAACTAATTTATTAAATTAGAATCTAATCTATTATCTTTAACAAACTTCTCTGCTAATTTTCTTGGTTGATCTCCTTAATAAATTGCAATTTTTTTAGTTATATTATTTTCTAAAGCAACATTTATATACATTATTGGTTATTAAATTAATTTACTTATTTCTTCTTAATAAAGTTATTATTCAATATTTTTTCTCTTTTTTTAATAACAAGTTCCTTATGAAATGATAATCTAATTTAATTATTTTTCTACTCTACCTTTCACCATTCTTTTTATAGCTTCTCTTTAATCTGGTAATGGAATTTAATCATTCATATTAGATAATTAAGATTTATTTAGGTTTGGTTAAAATGAAGGAGTTTCTTCTTATTTTGGTGAAAGTACTTTCTTTTTATTTAAATGATATCTAGGACTAGTTTGAGTTGAATTAATCTTAGGTGAAAATGGACATTATTGTTTAATATTAGTATCAATTTCTTATTTTAATTATTCTTTTTTCATTTAATAATAGTGATCATAGTCAATCAAATTGATTGGTTTTGTTTCTGTAATTTATGATTATACTCTTGCTCTATATTTATGTGCTAATTCATTCGTTTATGAATTAGATTTATTCTATTATAAAAATTATTGATTAGAGTCTTATTCTTAAGACTTTTTGTTTTATTTTTTATACGTTAAATAATTTACATATAATTGATTAAATGACTTGGATATTATATCTTAATTTAAAATTATGACATTACCATCTTCAAATTCAACAAGATCATTTTTATAATATTTTGGAAATTGAATACTATAATTATTATGATATTTAGGCAGTAATTAGAAATCTACATGAAAACCTTACATAGCCAATAAGAAAGTTAATAAATTTCTGGATAAAATAAGATCTAATTCATCAGGACATTGTAAGACTCTGAATATAGTGAAAACAATATTATCTTAATTGTTATGATCATAAGTTTAATATGGAGCAAATCCAAGATGATCTAAAGTTATAGCTAATTCATCAATAGTCAATAAACACAAATCATTTTCAATTTCAAACTTAAAGTCAATTTTATTTAGATTTTCATCTAAATGATCTAATGTCCAAATTCTTGCATTAGTTATACTTTCATAAAATTATTTAACAAAATGTCTAACTAAATGTTTTTCAGATCTTTGAGTTTAAGTAATAGTTTTAGGGGATGCAACAAGTATTTCTTAATAATTAAATTTGAATCTCTTAGGTTAAAAAGCTTCTTCATAAAGTCTATTGCTAATAGCATCTACTCTTTCAGGAGTATGCCTTTAAGATGTTCTTGTAGATTAGGGTTATATTTAAAAAGACTACGGAGTTTAACGGATTTCCTTCTATTTTGATAGTCTATCCCATACATTTTATGGATTATTCTCTTTATTACTTTTCCTGCTTTATTATTTTATTTCTTTTGTTTAAGGTAAAAATGTCTAAGTTTATAAAGATTTTGGTGACATATAACGAGGAGAAGAACCAAAATAAGTTCCAATCTATTTACTTTTATTGCTAATTGAAGGTTAGAATGAACATTATTATAATTCTAACTATTAATAATTCACCTTTAATTATTCTTTCTTTTATTGAAGTTCATTGTATTCTTCATTTAATCTTAAATGGATATTTGTTCTCCATTTAAGTTATTTTTATTCTGATTTACCTGTTTCAGCTTTCCGAATCAATTCTTCATATAAATCTTAATGTTTATAAAGTTAAGGTTTAAATGATGAATGTGATTGAACAGTTTCCATTAGATTTTAATTCGTATAGAGAGGATATTTATATTCTTCAATAGATTAGTCTGTTAGTGGATTTATTGGTATATCACCTTTTGGTAATTATTTCATTGAATCGTTAATAATTATATAATTACAAATTTTATTAATAAAAAATCAATTAATAAAAATCGTTTAGCGAAAATCTCTCAAACAAACTTAAATTTTTCAACAAAATATAAATGATGATTTATAGATTATCAAGACAAAAATAATTTCAATAAAAAATATGATTTACGTCCCCATAATAATTTAAAAATAATTCAATAAAAAATTTAGATAAATCTAAATAAATATTAATCTAATTTATTTATCAAACAATCTCACAACCTTGAGAAAGAAGTATTTTTCTGGTAATTTCATTTTATTCATCAATATTGAATTCTAAATATAAAAGATTATAAGATTACTTTTTAAATATTAGTAATAATTTGATGCATAGGTTTCTGGTATATGTTTGGAATCCTCTTTTCTGGATACTCTGAAAACCTTAGTCAATAAGAATTAAACTATTCTTTCCCGATACAAAATCGAGATAAAAGTAAAAGCACAACAAGTAGGCACTCCTGCATATATTAACCATCCATAATTCCAGAACAATTTAATAAATAGATAGATTTTAATAGGAAAGAATGAAAGAGAATATATTTTTAGCTAATGTCGCATAAGTGAAATAGTGAACTTTTTATCAATTGAATAGAGATGACTTATACTATATCGATCAAATAGGTAAATGTAACAGTTAAATATAAAAGTTATGATAGTTATAACTGGACATACATAAACTAAACATAAACCAACAGTCAAACTGTACATTGCATTACAAACTCTACTTCTTTAAGGAAAGGTTGGAGGCGTCATTAAATTATTTAATTATCCTTAAAAAAACTACTTGTAATTTTTTTAAATTCTTCTTCTTAAAAAAACAAATCCCATATAACGAATATGAACTGTATGAAATATATGTTTAGTTATAATCTTATTTTAAGTTAGTGTAACTAAATCATAAACAGCTGCTGAAATAGTTTTACCACTCCAAAGTTCAAATGTAAAAATGTAAGGCAAAAATGTTACAAGAAAATAATTAACTACTATTAAAACATGCATGAAGCTTCTTTCTAAATGAGCAAATGTATTCTTCCTTGATTCTTTCTAATTTATAATTACCACTAAAATAGCAACTGTTGTAATTATTGGAACTGCCACTGTAAAAATATTTGTTAATACTCTTTAAGCAATAGATAATCTTCCATCATTCTTTTCAATCTTATATTCTGGATCATTCTTGTATAGATATATAAATTCATAAGCAGTCATTAATGCAGCACATGCAATTAACATCGTGATAGCACTTTTTACTTTAGCAGCTATTCTTTCTTAAGATCTAAAACCAATGTTTTCCCATAGCATACCATTAATTCTAAAAGATTTTTTGGCTACTAATTTATCAACTATTTTAGGATTTGGAATCATATTAAATTTAATCCTTAATTTATTATACCAAGGAATGTGAAAATTCTTTAAAATTAAGTAACTTATATTTGGATCATTGAATCTGATAATAACCTTATTACTAAATTCTAATGGTTCTAATTTGAGTTTACAAATATCTTAATTATTCATAGGGATATTATTGATTTATAATCCTATGATTTATTTATGAATATCATCATTAACTTCTGATAATGACTTCATTAAATCACTTAATCTTTAAGATAATTATTCTTTAGTATAATTTTTGTAAAGTTTGACTTAATCATCTTTATAAGTAATTATTTCTTTTTGCATCTCTAACTCTTTGATTTATTATGCTGTAATAACTAAATCTAATAAGATATTCTATCTTTTTTATTATAACTCTTTGATTTCATGAGTATTGTAAATATATACAATCTCTTCTATTTATGCATTATCCAATAATCTTTAAATAATCAAATTAATTAATACTTATCCTAAGATGAAATAATTAAATTATTATTTCTTTACATACTCTCCTTTATGAGATTAATAATCTCTTATTAAGTTAATTTAGAATTAATTCTTCTAATATAAATTGAAGTCTTTGTTTCATTTTATTTATTGTAAGGATCCCTGTTCCAATATTAAAATTATCTTATTATATTTAGGATACTTACATATATGTAATGAGTAAATCATAAAAGAATGGCAAATGTAGATTGATTAAAAATATTAAAAAGGCAGATACTTAAAACCATTAATAATTTGAACCTTTTTCGTTATGCAAATATTCCTAAACTGTTACAATATCAATAAAGCCATATGAATATTAAAATTCACAAGTTCTACACAAATCGTTGTTATCAGTATCACAATTTAATAAAGGAGTAGAATTACAAATTCGATGAATTTCTTTGATAAAAAATATTCCATAGATGCAAAAAACTATTATAAATACAACTAATTAAAATTTGATTATTGTAAAATAGAGAGGAGCTGCTAAACCATATTCATCTACAGTTGCTTCATATAAATCTCCAAATAACCAATTAAAAGGGGATCGATGGAATTTTTTACTTATTTATAATAAACTATATATTACTTGCAGCATTCACAACACTCTTTTGTATAATGATCAAGTACATATTTATCAGGACAAAGATAATAAGCTTACCTATGTATTTCTGCTTATTCCAATTTTGGTGGATAATTGTAATAATCATATTCATTCAAGTTTATAGCATCCAATATAGAATCACTGATTCGAGGAATTTCTTATTATTATTCAATATTCTTAGACTGATCTACTAATTGTCTCTCTTCACAATTAGATTCATCATTATTTGTTGCAATCTTCTGATTATGCATATCAATAATAAGCTAAAACCTTTTCTAAAAAAAAAATTTAATTTTTAACAACAATCACTCTAAATTCTGAAGATTATTTTGATTATTTTGCTTAATTTTTATTGTTACAATTTATATTATAATCTATAATAATTTAAAGATTTATCATATAATTAAGTAATCTTAACATAATAAGTTTTAGATGGGTATTTCATGTTCTTAATGTAACTGTGATAATAAGAACAATGAAAGAGATGTATTGTCGTTTTAAATTGAAGAATGTATAACAATACCAACATGTTAATCCAATATCGAAAAAACTTAGATGTTGAAAAAGAAAATGGCAATAATAATTTAAAAATATTGGAGAGGTTACCTTGTTAGACAAAAAAATAAATAAGAAACACCAGTAGATCAATCCTTTACTAAAACAATAATAAGTGGAGTTACCATCTCTAATGATGATTTAGATCGTATTTAAAAACCTCCTTACAAGTATGTTATCTAAACATAAGATTTGCAGGTGGAGCTGTTTATACAGGAGAATGGAGAGGGATATCTCGAGATGGATATGGTATTTAAGTTTGGCCTGATGGAGCTCAGTATAAAGGAGAATGGAAACATAACAAGGCCAATGGTACTGGTAAATTTATCCATGCAAATGGGGATTTCTATGAAGGTGAATGGGAAAACGATAAAGCTAATGGTTATGGAATTTACTAACATATTGAAGGACCAAAATTTGAAGGAAATTGGCTTAACGACAAATAACATGGTTTTGGTATTGAACGTTGGCCAGATGGTTCTTATTATGAAGGAGATTACTTTAATTCTTTTAAATAAGGCAAAGGGAAATATGTTTGGAGTACAGGTCAAATGTATATAGGTGAATGGATCTAAAATTAAATTTCTGGATATGGAAGCATGATTTGGTTAGATGGTAGAAAATATGAAGGAGAATTTCATTGTGGTACAATGCATGGACGCGGAGTTTATACTTGGCCAGATGGACGAAAATATTAAGGACAGTATTTTAAAGACAAAAAGCATGTAAAAAATATTAATAGTTTAGGGATATGGTATATATGATTGGGGAGATGGAAGAATATATGAAGGAGAATGGGAGTATGGAAAATAACATGGAAAAGGATTTTTTAGTATGAATTAATCAAGTTTTGAAGGTTAATGGAATAAAGGAAAGAGAATCACTTGAAAAATTACTAATTTATATTGTATAATTAATTCTATGAAATATAAGAAAAATTATCATCTTTGTAAAGATGGCACTTATATCGAGTTCAGCATAAACAATAATTATTAATCATTTAGATTCTAATAAATACCAGATGAAGCTATTGCTTAATTATTTGATTTTAGTTCAAATTTCAATTAGATCGATAATTTATCTGAATCTAAACTTTCACCTGAAATCAAAGCATATCAAGATACTTAAGAAAAAAGCTTATATTAAAGATGCTTAAATGCAATTCCCGTTTTTCATCCAATTTCAATAGGCTTGATAGCTTGGTAATTTTTCATAGTCGTCATCATATTTTTATATTTTTTCTACATTCCATTAAAAGTAATTTTAAAAGTTTATTTAGATAGCCTTTAATAATGAATTAAATAGCCTTAATCCTGATAATAGCACAGCAGTTAATACATTTCTTATATTATCCATATTGGTTTTTATATTTGATCTTTTAGTATCATTTAACACTGGTTACAAAGAAAATGGATAGGTAATAAGAGATAGAAAAAAAGTCATAATTCATTATTTAATTATTGTATAGATTTCAACATATAATTTAGGAATTTGAACTAGATCTAATTGGAGTATTGTGTTTGATTCTCTCCTACATATTGAATAATGACTTGCTTAGATTGTTATTTTATTTAAGAATCTATTATGTCATTAGATTTGATAATAAAATAGATTATCAATTGCTGCTCAAAAAAAGTATTTATATTAAAAGCATCTTAAATTAGAAACAAAAGGTGTCTATCTTCTTATTAAACTGATTATTGTCATGCTTTTTGTTGCTCATATCATGGCTTGTATATTTTATGGGATCTCATATTCTGAATTTTAGAAGGATGAAAATACTTATACTACTTATACTGATACTTGGATAATTTATAATAATTTTGTTGAAGATAATTAATAAATCCTTTCCTTCTCTTTAGTTGAGAAATATTTGATATCATACTATTGGGCCATTACTACAGTATCTACTAATGGTTATGGAGATATTACTCCTAAAAATAATTCTGAAATTGGATGGACTTTATTGACTATGAGTAATTATTTATATATTATTTAAGTTATTGCTGGAATGGTATTTGCATTTAATATTTCATCAATTAGAGAAACTTTGATTGATTTGAATTAGCCAAAAATTATGGAACGTAATCTTGAAACCATTCTTAATCGTTACATGAAAATGAAGAGTATATCCATTAAAACTTAAGAAAAGGTCAATGATTATTTTTAGTACATATGGAAAGAAGAAAGAAATCGTAATCGAGAGATAGAAGATATGTTAATATCAAAATTAGCACCTGATTTAAAATTATAATTATAGTACGAAACTTATATCTAGTTTGTAAATTGCAGAATATTTTATATGATGTATTTTAGTAACGAATTTCTTTACTAATTATCATATCATATGGAAGAACATACTTATGGTCCTAAAGAAGAATTATATTTTGAAGATCAATAAGGGGATAATTATTTGATGTATTTATAAAAAGGAGATGTTCAAATAGTATAAAATAATTTGAAATTTAGTATGTTGAATCTTGTTACAATTCAGTTGTTTAGAGGACAAGAATAGATTATATAGATAAAGGAAAGTGTATAGGACAAAAATCTTTTTTTTTGAATGAGCGTTTTCCATTTAAAGCATAAACTTAATCTTGGTGCAATATATATAGAGTTTCAAGAGTAAAGTTTGTAGATGCTATTAGACATCATTAGAAAGACTTTGAATTATTTCATTTGGTTATATCAAAGCGATATAGTGAGCCATGGGAATTTTATACGAAAATGGATCTTAGGTGTTTAACTTGTATGTCAGATTGGCATCAAGCAGATACATGTGATGTGACCCATTTTAATAAAAAAGATTTTATTTTTAGGATTAATGTTAAAGATGATAAGTTCAAAAGAGAACAATTTGAAAGAAAGAGAAGGAAATAATATAAATCAATAGTGATTTAGAATTAAATTAAGCGATCAGTATAAGATTAAATAATGAGAATGAAATCAAATTAACAAAAAAAACAATAAAATTTAGACATTAGTTTTGAGGAATCTGAAGAAGAAGAAGAAGATTTAATATAGTAGCAATAATATTAGGATTAAATAGGAGAAATTAAATAGATTTTAGGAAATATTCTTATATATTTAGGAGACAATGGAAATTCTAATGATAAATAGAGAGTTAAAGTTTTTATACCTTAAAGTAATTGAATACATAAATATTTCTAGAGCCATAATTTGATCCTTTTGAGAGATCCTTCTGTATAGATGAAGTGAGAAATTATGAACATTTCTATCCAAAGTACAACTTGATTACTATAATAAATAATATTTTTGTTAAATGAATAATCCTCTTTTAGAAGATAAGAGTTTAATAGAGTTCAGCATCAAAACTAGTTCATTAGTGAAATCATAAGTGTTATATGATATTCCAGCAATAGCTTAAATATAGCTATTTGATGTTAGTTAAGATTTTGATCCTTTATTTGAGAATTTAAACCCTTATAAAATTTAGTCAAAAGAAATCTAAGTTTTTAAAGCAGAACCTAATAGGAAATTATATTCAAGATTATTAGATGTAATTCCAATTTTCTATCCAGAATCAGGTGGTTTATTGATTTGGTAATTAATAGTTGTAATAATAATATTTACATATTTATTTTATATACCTTTTAAGGTATTAGAATATTAATATTTAAGATAGGTTTTACAGATGAAGCAGATGATCATGATGTAAATGATGCTTTAGGAGTGAAATCTTATTTAATTTTTTCAATATTAATGCTTGGTATAGATTTGCTGGTTAGTTTCAATACAGGTATAAAAAAGAGAGGAGAAGTGATTTTAGATCGTAAAGTTATTGCATAAAAATATGTTATATGGGTATTAGATAATAAATTATATTAGGAATTTGAATTAGATTTAATAGGAGTGATATCATTAATATTATCATTATTACTAAATAATGATTATATACGTATTTTATTTTATTTAAGATCTTATTACATAATAAGATTTAGTGAAAAGATTGATCATTCTTTATAATTAAGAAGCAGTAATTAATACAATATTATCAAATAGATTGGAAAGCAGCCTATACAGTATTAAAATTGATAATTGTAGCTTTGTTTGTCAATCATTTGATGGCATGTTTTTTCTTTGGTGTTTCTTTTAAGTAATTTTAAAAAGATGAAAATGGTATAAGTAATCTTCCTACTTGGATTGAATATAATGGTTATTTTGAAGATGAATAAACAATTTACTCATTATCTTATTGGTCTAGATATGTAATTTCATTTTACTGGGCAACTACTACTGTTTCAACTGTCGGTTATGGAGATATTACACCTAAGAATGATTATGAAATTGGTATTACATTAATTACAATGAGTAATTCTTTATTCTTAATTTAGTTATTGCTGGAATGGTTTTCGCATTTAATGTAGCATCCATAAGAGATGTTATTGTTTAAATGAATTCATAAGAAACTAGATATAATAGTTATGAAGCTGTTATCAATCGTTATATGAAATTTAAAAACATATCTTTATCTACTTAAGCCAAAATTATAGATTATTATTAATATATATGGTAGGATGAAAAGAATAGAAATAGACCTATTGAATAATTGTTAGTCTCTAAACTTGCTCCAGAATTGAGATAATAATTATAATATGAAACCTATATCAATTTTGTTAAAAGTAAAATATTTTGGAACTTTGATTTCTCTGAAACTTTTATGCGTTCTCTTGTTTAATACATGCAAGAAGAAAGTTATGGACCAGGAGAAAATATCCATTTTGATACCATCAATCCTTAATTGTGGTTTCTCTAAAATGGAGAAATTTTAATTGTATTTTAGTATACAATTATTAGTATGTTGATTATATTCACTCTTCTTTTAGTATCAAAACTAGAATTGATTTAGTTAAATCTGGACAATGTTTAGGATAATTATCATTCTTTACTCATTTAAGATATAAATTCTAAGCATCTACTTTATAGTATTGTAATATGTATAAATTGACCAAAAATGATTTCTTAAAAGAAATTGCATACTTTCACAAAGATTTTTAAATTTATCATTACTTCATTTCCAAATAATATACTTATCTATCTGAACTTTTTAATAAATTAGAATTAAAATGTTACACTTGTTAATCTTATAATCATCTCGCTGATTAATGTGATCTCACACATTATTATCCTAAACATCTTTTAAATTAAATCAAAATTAAAGATGATACACAACAAAGAGAAGAATTTTAAAGGAAAAAACGATTCTAATTTAATTCTATGTCCTTTTCGGAAAAAGTTTAAAATACTATCTATGATTTTAATCAAAGAGCAAAAAGATTTAAAAGAATTTCAATGAAATAATAAATTCCATTTGAATATATGTTTGAAGAATAAGAAGAAGAAGAAAACTAAGAGTAGCATCAAGACGATATTAGTGAAATTAAAAATATGCTTAATCAAATTACTAATAAAATTGGTATCAAATAATAATATAAATTTAAATCTTAAAATATATTTATCCCATAAAGTAATCATTAATTCTCTTAATTATTATTAGAACCAAAATATGATCCTTATGAAAATATTTACGAAATAGATCTAGTCAAAAATTATGAATACTTCTATCCTGAATATAATTTAGATAATATCATCAAGAGAATATTTTGATTTATTTTTTTCATAAAAATCTCATTTTTATCAGAATGGTCAACTCTACTAATTTTTTCATTTTTTTAAATACTTTTAATTATATAATTTTATTACTTATTTTTAAATTCAAAATTAATGTCAATTGCAGATTTTGCAGAGAAAATTTATGTTCAACTAGAAAAATTGAATTTACATTCATCAAGCATTCGTGTAGATATTTCTGAGATTATTGATTTTGCATTTAGAATCCAAGTATGTTAAATTTTTGTAAAAAAATTAGTCTGAGAAAGATAATATTGAAAAAAAACTTTAAATAGAAATTGATAGATTGATAATTCAATTATAATAGAAATAAAAATGCTTATTACACTAATCAAGTATTTTTTTAAATCAACATAAGAATAGGTGATCTTTGATTTTGATAAGATAGAACTTCTTCTTTATGAAAAAAATGAATACAAAAATTTGCATGATTGTATTGATTTTATAAAAGCATGCAAAATGAATTTTTAAAAACTTAATTTATCTAATTTAGATTCAGAAAAACATTCAGATGATGGTAAGTTGTATTTGAATCTATTTTAGCCTTTTTATGTTCAAATTCATCANTACTTATCTATCTGAACTTTTTAATAAATTAGAATTAAAATGTTACACTTGTTAATCTTATAATCATCTCGCTGATTAATGTGATCTCACACATTATTATCCTAAACATCTTTTAAATTAAATCAAAATTAAAGATGATACACAACAAAGAGAAGAATTTTAAAGGAAAAAACGATTCTAATTTAATTCTATGTCCTTTTCGGAAAAAGTTTAAAATACTATCTATGATTTTAATCAAAGAGCAAAAAGATTTAAAAGAATTTCAATGAAATAATAAATTCCATTTGAATATATGTTTGAAGAATAAGAAGAAGAAGAAAACTAAGAGTAGCATCAAGACGATATTAGTGAAATTAAAAATATGCTTAATCAAATTACTAATAAAATTGGTATCAAATAATAATATAAATTTAAATCTTAAAATATATTTATCCCATAAAGTAATCATTAATTCTCTTAATTATTATTAGAACCAAAATATGATCCTTATGAAAATATTTACGAAATAGATCTAGTCAAAAATTATGAATACTTCTATCCTGAATATAATTTAGATAATATCATCAAGAGAATATTTTGATTTATTTTTTTCATAAAAATCTCATTTTTATCAGAATGGTCAACTCTACTAATTTTTTCATTTTTTTAAATACTTTTAATTATATAATTTTATTACTTATTTTTAAATTCAAAATTAATGTCAATTGCAGATTTTGCAGAGAAAATTTATGTTCAACTAGAAAAATTGAATTTACATTCATCAAGCATTCGTGTAGATATTTCTGAGATTATTGATTTTGCATTTAGAATCCAAGTATGTTAAATTTTTGTAAAAAAATTAGTCTGAGAAAGATAATATTGAAAAAAAACTTTAAATAGAAATTGATAGATTGATAATTCAATTATAATAGAAATAAAAATGCTTATTACACTAATCAAGTATTTTTTTAAATCAACATAAGAATAGGTGATCTTTGATTTTGATAAGATAGAACTTCTTCTTTATGAAAAAAATGAATACAAAAATTTGCATGATTGTATTGATTTTATAAAAGCATGCAAAATGAATTTTTAAAAACTTAATTTATCTAATTTAGATTCAGAAAAACATTCAGATGATGGTAAGTTGTATTTGAATCTATTTTAGCCTTTTTATGTTCAAATTCATCAAATATGCAAAAAACTATTTTATATGCCTAAGAGAATAAAAAATTACAAGAAATCATACAAAATATAAATAAGAGTTAAATATCATTAAGTTAAAAAGAACAATTAGTCTACAACTTAATCAAATCATAAACCAAAACATTGTCTCCTAAATAGCATGTTATTTTAGATGTAATTTCCATTTAAAATATTGTAGGATGTACTTAATATTAGTGATTAACTTAATAATAAAAAAGTGAATTAAAGTATTTTATCAAGCATTTAATTTCCTGATTAAATTAATACAAATAATACTAAACTTAATATACTTGGATAAAATATTTTGCTGCTTACAAATGAAGGATTTTAGGATTGTGCTTCTCCCAAATTTTAATTCTCATCATTAAGTCCTATAAAACCAATCTAAGAGAATAAAGATAGATCTCAAAAATCACTTAGGTCATCTTTTATTATAAATTCATTTTAAAATACAGAAATTAAGCCTTAATAAAAAGTTATCATTCCAAGAATTAAAATTGAAAAATTAGATGAGCTAAAAGAAAAAGATGATACAGATTACAAAGAAATGAATAGAAAATATGTAAGTTTTGATTCTTAGGATAATAATAATAAATCAAACCATATGGATACTAACAAAAAGAAAAATTGCAAATAATTAAGCTTATTTGAAAAGCAATCATTCTATGATAAAAGTACTTTCTTAAATATTGTTTCAAATATTACCAGAAGTAAAGAAACTAAAGATACAGATAATAGAAGAAGCGATTCTTAAAAATCAAGAGAAAGGAATCAAACATTTCATTGTGGATAACCATAATAAAGTAAATTTCTAAAGGAATTAATGCAAAAGGTTTATTCTAGAAACAATCCAATCAATAGACCTTATAAAATAAGTGATTTCGAAAAAAAATAATTAAGTCTTTTAAGTAATTCATTAACATTTATTTAGTTGGAAACAATAAAAAATAAAAATCATTGCATAATTGATATTATTTTCAAATTAATTTCTATATATTTGTATAAAAAATATTTTTATATAAACAAAACGTTTTACAAATGTTAGAACTATTAATGCATAGTTGAAATAATTTTTAATAATAGTTTATTTTTAAAAAAGATATATTATTATTGTTAGAGATTTTATTTTGGTTAGTTAACAATTGATTTAATGTCCAATTTTATTCATAAATTTATTGTCTAATAAATTAATTAGAATTTATTGGCTATTAATTTAAAATGCTTTAAATTAGAATTAAATTAATAAAAATAATAACTAATCATATAATTATGATATTCCATAATTACATTAATGCAATGAAAAACTACATTATTTCAAAATGACTATGAAATTTATTATAAATATATCATAAATTAACTAAAATTAGATTACATAGTTTATTAATAACATCAAAAAATAATAATTGAAAATTAATATATTAATAATACAAATCTTGTGTTAATTTTATTACTTCTATTAGAAATAAACATATTTATCTGTTAGGACATAGATATTAGCATAATTTTAAAAAGTGGATATGAATAATAAGAAGAGATTAAAAGATTGAGGAAAGAGAATGAAAATTTGAAATTGATTATATAAAATTAATAGGAGAAATGGTAATAATTTTTAGAGAGTTGTAGAATCGTTAAACTTCAAAAGATACTTTAAAGATTAGAGGGAAAGAAATTAGAAAAAATAAAAAAGAAGAGAATTAAAAAATCCAAAATGAATGAGTTATTTATATTTATTAATAATTTATTAACGAATATAAAGTTTTGCTTGCTAATGAAACCAATAAAAATCAAAAATAACGAAAACATTAACCCATTGCCTTAAAGATCTAAGATAAAAAGAATCAATGTATGAAAATAAATTAGTTTAGATCGCTGCAGAATTATTTGAGAATTCTGCACAACTAAACATCTCTCCCTTAAGGTTAAAAGTAGAAAATGATGCCCAATCCTATTTAGAAGCGATTAGTGCATTTTAAACAGTTGAATTACAGAATCCAATAGTCAAGGAAAGAGCTAAAAGTGTTAGTAATTTTATAAAAATATATAATCTTAGTGGAAGACACTGATTTTGGGGCATGGTAAGAATAAAGATACATTTAACCTAACTCTAATCAATATAGATAATCTTATAAAAAAGAACAAAAAAGTTGCTAATTTAAGATCAGATATCCATCACCTAAAATTTAATAATAAAATAAAATAACTAATAAGATTATACAATATCCATTGACAGGTTATTTAGAAAGAAATATTAATCAGTTTTTTTAAAGAGATAAATATTTTAAAATTATATAAAATATGACTGGAGCAACTCATCGAAAAAAAACAAAGAAAATATTTCCAAGCAGTACTTAAAATAGCAGAGCTTAATCATCATTATCATTTCAACTTTGATAATTACTAAATATTATTGCTTGTTTATTAATAATAAAGCATTATATATATATATACATCATATAAAATCATGGGGCAATTGCTTGCTTTCTCTTAAACCATTTTAAAACTTCTTCATCATCATGAAATAATTTAATTCCCTTGTACTCATCACATTCATCAAATTTAAACTAGTCAAAGGCTTTATCTATTAAATATTGTTTCTATATTTCTTTAATTTAACTCTAAGAATATTCAAGGGCCAGTTATGGGAATTATTATTTGAACTTTATTAGTAAAACATCTGATTATTCATAAAACTAAAAATAGTCTTTCATTTCTTCTTTACTAAACAAAATTTTAATACATTATTCTTCTAAAACTTTTTATTTGATCTATAAAATAAAATTATTTAATACTATTCTTATTAACTCTTATCTATCATAATAAATTTGAATATCATAATAAGACTAAATTAATTCTGCTACTTGAATTACAATCCTTTCCCAATGTTGTTATTCTAAAATAACTAATTTTGGCTAGAAATTGATTCTTCTTTCATTAGCATATAAATTTTTGATATCCAATAGTTTTCTCCAGGATAATTCAAGCACTGCATTATTGAAATGATTTCTATTTGTCAATATTTTTACTTTTAATTCTTTTTAAGAATCTAAATAACTTTTAATTTAATCATCATCTATTTTTTAATATTGAAATTACATTATTAAATTTGTTCTTCAGAAGTTATATCTTATCTATTGCCTTATTAAGTAGTTTCTTCTTTTGAAGAAAAAAGTCCTTTTGCAAATTGAGTTGTTGCATTTTTAATTGAGGAAAAGAGCTTTTTCATTAAATTAATATTTTAATTATATATGATAATTTAATGATTAAAGAATAATAATATTCTGCTCTAAAAAGATGAATATAGAAGTATAGAAAAATCATAATTTGATAGGTATTAAATATATATTTATTTTGTATGAAAATGTTTTTCATATTTAATGAATTAGTTATTTAAATGCTAAAATTAATTCATACTTAAATGTAAAAAATCACAGAATGATTATTTTTACATTCAATTACAAAAGATCAATTAATAATAACAAAAATAAACGCTAATCAATATTTTTTTGAAATAATTTCTTAATATATCAATTTTGCATAACATCGGTATTTTAAGAATGAATTTTCAATATAAGCCAATAGAGACTTTAGATTAATTATAGTGAAGTTAATTTTTGATTTATATAAAATTTTTTGATTCAAAACTTAAAAGAATTATTGGTTAATAGAATTTGAATTGAGAAAGGAGATGTTTGAGAGAAATGAAATAGAGAAATAAAAAAAAATAAGGGAAAAGTTTTTTAGATAGATAACAAAAGAGAAAAATTGATATTTTTTTTAAGTGCTAATATAAATGATAATAATTGTTTTATAATGAATTTAAATGAATGATTTCATTTTAATACAGTTTTATTTTTCTTAAGATCTTTTTGACTTAAACTAATTGGAATATTGAGACAATCTTCACAAGAACAAAATTCGCCACAGATTTATCCTCTTTTAAAGCATTCACAATACTTTTTTTAACATCCAGTAGATTTACATTTACATCCATAACTCATTTATAATGATAATAATTCATTAACAGGGACTTTTTTATCTCGATGACATTTTTTATATACATGATTAATGGCTTCATCTCTTTCTTCAGAAAAATCAGAGCAATTTTTACAATCTTTACATTAACATTCATCTAAACACATTCTGCCGCTATGAAAGCAAGCACAATATCTTTTAAGACAGTTACTTTAAGAGCAATTACATGGTTATATTTCTAAGTCTTGGTTATTGTTATCGTTTCTTTTAAATTTATGTTAATCTTTTTGCTTTTTGTTCTTTATTTTTTAATTATTTTAGTTCTAAGATTGCTATTAGGAGTGTTATTTAAGATTGGGTTATTTGATTTCTACTTCATCTTCAATTTTAATAGGTATTTCTGGATTGAAATTAGATGGTTTATGAATATAATTAGAAATGTTAGATATATAAGGAAAGAAAGGATCATTTTACATAACAGGATGACAGACAAACCAACAATTTTAATGATCAGTTGGTAATTATTATAAATTGGGATGATTAGGTAAACTAATTTTATAAGGGAAGAATAATACTTATTCTGTTTAATATAGAAAACAGGGTAATATTAGATTCTATCTTAGTTTGTAATAGGAGGTGGTAAAGAATAAGGTTATTGTTAAGCATCTTATTCTACTTTTGGTTGTGGAGAAAATTATGAATTCATTTTACAAACTAATTAAATCAATTGACTATCGAAATCCCTTGTTCTCAATTAATTAGATTATTCAAAACAAAAAAATAGATGATGAAAGATGAGAAAAATTCAAAATTTTAAATGTTATTTGTGCATTTATAAAAATATTCATAATTGATTATTTCAATCTCTGTCAAAAAGTCTATCTAAGAAACTCTTTGGCTTATTCTATTATTGAGCTGGTTAATTAGGACCCTAAAGATAGAATAATATAAAAGTAATACTTAAGTTTTATCTAATGGTTTACCTGGAACTGTAGTAGCACCAGGACGTCTTGGGGATACAGTTTATCCTAAAGGAAGAGTTGTAGTTGGAGCATAAACAGGAGCTACAGGTGGTCTAACAGTTTAAACAGGTATAGATTAAACTAATGGTTATTAAACAATTGGTTATTAGTAAACTTAGACTGGTTATTATTATACAACTTAGACTGGTTATGGTTATACAACTTAAACTGGTTATTAAACAACTTAGACTGGCTATTAAACAACTTAAACAGATTATTAAACAACTGGTTATGCTACTACTTATTAGACTTATTAAACTGGTTAATGAACAACTTATCTTTCAACTGGATAATATTCAACTCTTTCTTAATATCTATCAACTGGAACATATTCTAAAAATTGTTTATTTATAATACCTGTGTATTTTTCTTAGAATACTTATGGAACATATTCAGTTTGATATTCCACTGCATAATAATCTGTAACATACTTCTCTCTTGGTACTTAAATTCTTTATCTGACTTCTTCATATTCTAAAACTGTCTTTTCATATGGAACATATTCAATTCTGCTTTCTCCTTAGATTGGTTATGGTGCAACAACTTGTTATTAAACAACTGGTTAAGCAACAACTTGTTATTAAACAACTGGTTAAGCAACAATTGATTGTGTCACTATTGGTTGCTAGACAACTTATGGAGCATAAACTGGTTGAGGTACAACTGGTTGAGCATATACAGGTTATTAAATAACTGGTGCTTAATAAAGTGGTTGTGAATATCTCAATGGAGATGATGTAATAGGTGGTCCATATGTCACTGGACTAGGAGCATATTATGGAGCGAATCCTGGTTAGAATGTTGGTTATTAAAATGGAACAGCTTATGGAGCTTAAGGTGGATGTTGAGAGGGTGGAATATTACTCATTTTTGTTTTGTGATAAATAAATTTATTTTCAGATTAAAAAAGATATAATTTTTATGAATAAGAATAAATAGCGTCACTTTTTATTTAATTAATAATTATCAATCATGAAGAAATTTATTTATTTTATGTCCAATTCCTTCTTTTATACCTTTTAATAATTCCAACTTTAGAATAAAATCACCTATCTTTATTTCATCATTATGATGTATTTCAATCAAATTAGATTCTATTTTCTTTTCTGATTATTCAGTTGTTTATAAACTAATCCAAGTTCCATTTGCTGAATCTCTATCTTAAAAGCCATCATTTATAACCCATGCAGAATATCTAATAAAAATAATCATTTACTTCTAAGTGTATTTTAAACGACATTACTTTCTTGATATAGTATTAGAATTAATCTTAATATTATTTTCAGCTCCTCTTCCTACAAAAAAATCATTTGTATCTGATTTAGTCTATCCTAAAAATAGGTTTATTGATTTATTAATATCAACACCTTAGCCTGAAAATTTGACTACTAAGAAAGGAATCTCATATTCAGTTAACTTTTTATAAAGATTTTCAATAGATAAACTCTTTATTTAATCAAGTACCTCTATTATAATGGGTTAAACTATAAGTTCACTAAAATGTATTTCATGTTTTTAAGAATGTTTCATTGTTGATAGATGCTTGATAATGTTATACCATTCATCATCTATCTATTTTAAACTTAAATTCTATCTATGATTGAAAACAATATTGAAATATGTATCACTTCCAATACTAAATTTTTAATCTTTTTATAGTATGCTAGGTCCCGATCTAAAGATTCTTAAATAAGTACCAAAAGTACTCCCAAGATCTTATATTTACACAATTTTAGGTTTTCTAAATTAATAGATTTATATTATACTCTAAAAATTAACTAATCCTTTTTTTTATTTAAGATGGAAGTTCAATTAATTTCAAGACTTTTAAAAAAAAAGGCTCAATTATTTATGCTTTTCTGAAATAATCATCACAAACAATCTTACAATGAATTCGAGATATAGCCCTATCTTCAGGTAATACTATTCTGATAGAATTATTATCTATTACTTATATCATTTGGAATAATGTCTGGAATTTAACGATATTAACGACCAATTAGAATGTCTGCAGAATTAGTATTTTTTTGAGAATCTACAAGACTAAATGATGAAAATATTAATTACCCAAACTCATTAATAAAATATTCGTGATTTATGTTTAAATTTCGAAGTTGAGTTACTTTAAGATAAGGATGTTTTAGATTAAGCTTGTTGTTTTATATTGGGATGGTACGCTTTTCAAGGTATTTCTAAATATTTTAAGACTTTTCTCTTATTTTAAATAATTAAGATACCTTGGTGATTGCCTATCTCGAAATAATTATGCTCCTGCTAATGGAAAAAATCTTGGGTTATGTTCTTCCTCTATGAAAGTATCATTTCGGATAAGTGGAATGTTATCCAAAATTAAACTGAATGATTCAAATGGTTGAAATCCTAATTATATATAGGATAAAATTTGTCTATTAATTTGTGAATCTAATTCATTTTAGTTTTCTTAAATTTCATCCTCGAAATTCCTCATTAATTATATTAATTAAGTAGAAAATAATAATCAAAATATTTATGTTTAAATTAAAATTAGTTTATAGAGTAAAAAAGCTAATGGAATTTGTAAATTATAAGAATTTATTCTATGAAATCAGCTTCTTCTCATTCTTCTATCTCTTTTAGGAGGATCTTAAGCTTTTCCAACACAATTATCATCTTAATATGTGTAGAGATTAGGAAATGGCTGTTTTTCAGTAACTTTTCTATTTTCTTCAGTCAAATCATCAGCAAATTTCTACATTTGTATTATTGATGTACAGTTAAATGTTTTCTAGCTTAATTGGCAGCAGTTTCTTCTTTTTTCTATCCACTTAAATTTGTAGTTGGTAAACAAGCATCTCCAGGTTTCATTGCTAAATTATGTCCAACAACTGATTTAGTATGTCTCAATCTATGATGTTTAGCTTAAATAGCTATAATGAGGATTAGAAGCAATACAAATTTTTTTAACATTATTATATTAAAAACGAAAATGTGTTTATATATATGAATTAATTAATAAATTAATGCAACAACTATAAAATTGTCTGCTTGATAAAGACATGATTCTCTAAAGTGATGGTACTTTATATATTGGAACTTTTAATTAATCACACCTTGAGGGTTACAGTTTAGTGATTAATCCTGATGGATGTAATTCTAAAATTAATTATAAGCCTATTATTATGGATTCTTTAAGAAATCTAAACCTAAAGATGTAGGTGTTTACAAATTAAAGAACTCTTGTCTAAAATTATTCTGGGGAGATGATGATACAATCAAGTATGTAGAAAACATTGAAAATATTGGCTTTTTACATAAAATTATTTCATTCAAGAATAATTGTTATGGCAATAAATTACTCATCAGAATCAATCCATTAAGTTATGGAGTTTCTAAGAACTAAAAATATGATGGATTTACAGTAATGCATTATAAAAACGGTGATATATATTATGGGAACGTCTAAAAAGGAAAATAAAATGGAGAAGGCATTCATTACAATAATTATTTACAAGAATGGTATTGGAATAAATATATTCATGGAAAGTTAATATCTCATTAATTTTATGGCAAGAATCTTGTACCAAGAGAATTAATTAGTAAAATTATTATCAATAAATTAGGCAAACTATTTAATAAATCAAATTTAAAGTCTTCTTAAATAAGTATGGTCTCTCTTTCTAATATACAATAATTAATAATCAATTAATTGCTACTTAATAGCGAGTAAAATCATTTATCTTTAGCATCAACAGTACAAAGTGCTAATATTATTCATCAAGGAAACTACTCTTAAATTTTAGTTGATGTAGAGGATACTTAACAGAATGATGAGTTGGAGATTTTGTAGGATTCCTAAATTATATCTATAGATTAAGATCTTAATATTTATAATCAAAATGAATAATCAGAAGGAATAGAAGCAAAATTATCAAAGTGCTAAACAGAAGAAGCATTATTAAAAATTGAGAAATAAAGATAGAATAAATTTTTAACATAGCCTTCTAAATCAAAATCTCCTTTAAATAGTAGACAATAACAAATAAATTTAAATACAATGTATTCAGCACCAAAACTTACAATTTATAAGAGATCTGTTTCACCTGTTTTTACTACTATTCGTCACTTATTTTCAGTAATCAGAATTTGATTTTATGATATTTATTAAATATATTTAATTAAATAATGGCTTAGGCTGATAGAAAGGCAGTTGTGAAAAATGCTGATATGTCTGAAGAAATGTAATAGGATGCAATTGATTGTGCTAATCAAGCATTAGAGAAATTCAATATTGAGAAGGATATTGCTGTAAATAAGTTTTTAGATTGAATAGGCATTCATCAAGAAAGAATTTGATAAGAAATATAATCCAACCTGGCATTGTATTGTTGGTAGAAACTTTGGATCTTATGTTACACATGAAACCAAGCATTTCATCTATTTCTATATGGGATAGGTAGCAATTCTTTTGTTCAAGAGTGGATGAGATATAAAAATTTAAATTATTATGGAAGATAATTAATGTTTAGCTTCTCTCTTTGCTGACCTCTTATAAATAGTCAAGCCTTAATCTGTTGATGCATAACAGTTTAAAGAAGTCTCAAATGAAAGATTAAGAAAATGTATCCTTGAATTAGTAAGAGAACTTACAACTCTTGTTTAGAATCTAAAGGAGCAGTTAGAAGAATTTATAGACAATAAGTATGAATAAGAGATTCAAAGACTTGAAAATACTATTAGATAACATATAAGAGTAGAATAACAATAACGATTGCAAATAGAAGCACTTATGTAAAAACTAGAAGAAGAATAATAGAAATATGAAGCAGAAGTCAAAAATTAAAATGAAAAAATTAAGTAATTAGAAAATGCATGTTCATAAATATCAATAAATAAAGTCTAAAATCTCAATTAAACTAATTTTATCATAGATCCTAACAAGAAATCCCCAACAGCATATGATAGATTGAATTAATTAGTAAGTGCTAAAACTAAATAATATACTTAATCAGCAACAACTATCAATTCGTAATAATTATTAAAAATTTATTCGAATCCATAATAATTACTTAAGAAAATGTAAGATTAGAAAAATAACGAATAAATGTAAATTAGACTTGATACATAACAATCTGAAAAAGAATAAAGTTTGTTGAAACTTAGAAGATGTATGGAAGATAATAAAAGTGAAATGTTTTCATCTTAAAGAGTTGAATCTTCCAGTCTAGAAAAGTACAACAGAAACTCGAAATTAATGAGAAGTTCAACTAGATAATCTTAAATTGTGGGAAATAGTTTTGATCTTGTTTCGAAGACAATGTAACATTATAAGAAATAATAAAAAAGTTTAGGCACTCTAAGATAATCATGGAAGAAATGATTATATTCTCCTTTTAATTAAAATAATAAAATTATAATATGAGTTAATTTGTTTGCTCTTCTTGTTTACTTAATTTTCCAGAAGAACTAGGATATAAGGATCATTACAAAACAGATTTTCATAGATATAATATTGCTAGAAAAATGATTAACTTAGCTCCTGTTTCTTATGAAGCTTATAAAGAAAGTAATCAAATGAAGTTAATTATTAGAATTTGATAAAATATCAGAATAAAAGATTATTAGTCCAATTTAATTTTAAACATTTAAATGTTGCAATAAAGAGTTTAAATCAAGTAAGACTTATCAAGCTCATCTTGTTTCAAAATCTCATTAATAAAATTAATTAAAATCCCCTATTACAACAAATAGAAGTTAAACAGGAAATTCATTAGTCGATAGTAAAGTTTGTTTATTTTGTGATGAATTATGCGATAATCTTGAAGAATGTTTAAAACATATGAGTAATCATGGATTTTTTATTCGTGAATAAAAATGCTGCATTAATATTGAAGGATTGTTAAAAGCATTATCTGAATAAATAAATAAGAACAACACATGTTTACATTGTTTTTAAACATTTAAAAATAATCATGCAACAAAAGATCATATGTTAGATAAAGGACATTGTTTTATGCCTTAATAAGAATATAAGGTCTTATCAAAATATTATAATTTCGAAGAAAAATTATTAGGAATTTTAGCAGAGTAAAAGCAATAACAATTATAAATTGAAGCTAAAAAATAATAATTACAATTAAATTAGGAATAAAAGGAAGATGAAGATTAGAAGAAAAATGATATTTAAGTAGACGATGAAGGAGACTGGGAAGATGATGAAGATGGAAATGAATCTTCAGATGATGATGAAGAAGATTTGAAATTAAAATAAAAATAAACTGATGAATTATAAACTGATGAAGAATTAAGGCAAAAAAGATTAAAATAATTATTAAAATAAATTAGTAAACATAAAGCTACATTGACTAAAACTGGAGAATTGTTGTTACCAGATGGAAAATTGTAATACTTTATTATTTAAAATTAGATTGGGTCATAGAGATTATAGAAAATATTATAAATAGAATCACATCCCTTTTAAAGTTTCAGAAACTGAACCAGTTGAATAATGTATAAAATTAATTTATTTTTTTAGTAAATGTTGCTGATGAAAATTAATTGGCATTACTTAGTAATGAACTTATAGTTGGACATTTAAGACATTTCTATTATTAAAAGACAAGAACATAAGCACATGGACAAACTAAAATTGGATAAAGAAATAACTTAATTTAGATGAGATGGTTAAAAAAATCTTGTTGATTAATGTAGATATATAATAATTATTCATATTTATTTTTATTGAAATAATTGTTTATTATTAATGATTACTAAATTCATTATGTTTAAAATGGATTAATCAGAATTAAATACCATTAAGTAAATTGTTTAGCTAACGGATGGTTATATTATTTTAGGAGAAGAAATTGTAGAACAAAAATTTAGTATCAATTAATTAAAATTAGAATCTATGACAATTGCTTTAAATAATCAATAGTTTTAATATTTTCGAATAGAAAACGGAAATTGTATATTTGAAAAGCCATACAAAATTGGATAAGGACTATCTATCATATCTAATATCGTTGCAAATGAAAAATTTATAGTGGCATTAATATCAAGATAGGGTAATAGAAGTTTAATTCAATTCAACCCAAAAGAACAGACAAATTTTCCTTTAATTCCAAATCTTCAATATAAGCAGTATCATATTAGTAATTAGATATTAAATAGATTGTGAGTCTAAATTTTAACTTGTTTCCTTTAAGGACAGAATAATTTTGATAGAATTACATAAATCAGAAAATTGTCTCTATTTAGAATTTCTCAGTCATCCTAATCCATTAAGTGCATAAATGTAATGTAAAATAGGATAATATGTATAAATAAAACAAATATATAATAATGCAAATTAAATTCTTATCATTATCGATGAAGATTTTTACATGTTTGATGGCTCAAAGGAAATTATTAAAATTAATTAATAGATACCTTCATAATTTAAGATAAAATTTGTGATAGAGATATAAAATTAATAACTATTAATTTTAAAAGATAGATTAGATAAATTTTATAAATTTTCTGATTTTCGTTGTGATTCAGACTATTGTTTTACATTAAAATGCAAAGAATTACTCAATGGACAAATTAATATCGAAACTCAGAAAAAACAATCTATAAATATATCTAAATTTAAAGGAGAATTTTATATATGGATAAGTTCAATATATTAGTGCAAAGATGAAGATTCAAAAGTCCTTTATATAAATACTTTTAAGCTAAATAATCAATTATAAGCATAATTTATTGAAAACTATAAATTTTGGAAAAGTCAATCAATTTCATTTCTTTTTAAAGATGAATTCATAAACGAATATATACTATTTAAAAATGAACAATAAACAATTAAAGGAATTTATATAAGTTGATGTAATAAAAACATTTAAAATATATATTTACTATATTAATTGACTATATAGTCATTTGCTATTTTGCAATTTGACACTATCTTATTATTATTCCAGCTTTAAAAATCTTGTTGGAGGGATTTTTAATTCATGGTTAATCTAATTTAATATAATGAGATACTTATAAATATTAATTGAGTAGATTTTTTAATTCTTCATTATGGTTATGAATTTAGCCTGTTTCTTCAACCAATTTAGATCGTTTGAGAAGTAATTCATAATATTTGCTCAGTTATTTATCTAAAATTCTCCAAACTCTAAAAGTTTTCTCAGGTAGGACTTGAGTTAATTTTTCCCAATACTTTTTGCCTTCTTTTGCTATTCTTTCTTTTTTTTATCTTTCAGTTTCTTGTTTAGCTGCTCTTCTGGATGACATTTTTTCAATTTATTTTTTTCTTTATTCATTAGTTTTCATCCAATGCATTAAAAAGTTAATAATGCTATTTTAATTTAATATAAATGATTCGTAATTGATTTTAGGAGCTTCATCTGGAACAGGTTAAGGTTATTCAATTTAAACTTTTTTAATAGCTTCTGTTACAGCTTCTTATTATGGTTATTCTTCTTAAACTTTTAATTCACAATTTTTAATCAATTCATCAATAAATATGAGCATTTCATCGATTGAATCAATATTAAGACATTTTTTAATAACTCCTAATTTAACACTAGTAATCTCTTATTATTCTGCTTTTTCTAATGTTTCTCTCATTTTATCATCTATTAAAAAATCAACTTCCTCAATTAATATTTCAACTATTTCTTATAATTTATCTTCGCTTAAAGGTAATTGAACTTCCTCTTCAGCCATAATTTATGATTTCTCTATTAAATATTAAAGTATTTTTACCTTAAGTTTCTTTTTAGTCTTATGGTTCTTCCCAATCTACACCTAATTGTTAAATATGTATAGTTTTATCGCATTTTAGAATTTTAGCCTTTAATTTTCTTACTTCCAATTCATTCATAGAATGAATATCTGCATAAGCTTTTTAATCAGCTTTATCAAAATGTTTAAATTTTCTTTATAACTCCTTAAATTATCTTGTAATTCTTTTATATTCTTAAGTTAATTCTTTATTAGTTTATTTAAATTTGGTATCAAACTCATTATAATCTTTTATAAGACTTCTTAATCTATTATTTAAATTTTAATCTTTTCTTTTTAAATCATCGTGAGTATGTGTATGAGATATTTATTTTTCTTTTAATACTTTCAAATTATAATCTAATTTTTCTGTATTTAATTAATAAAGTGCTTTCATATCTTCATAACATTTTTCTAAATTTTAGATTTCAGTTTCCATTGATATTTTTAATTCAGCATAGGATTTAAGTCCTTAAATTCTTAATTTTTCAATATCTTTAGTATATTCTTCTTCTTTTCTCTCTCTTTCATCAACAAATGATTTTTCTTTTTCAGTTCTTTTATCAAATAAATTTCTAATTTCAGTTTAATAATTATTCAATAAATTGGCTCTCTAAAATATTATGATAATTATATAAATACTTCTTCTATATATTCATTTTCAATAGCTTCAAGATCTTCATGTATACATTCTCTTAATTAAAAAAATTAAGATCTCATTTTCTAAATTAATGTTTGAATATCAATAGCTTATTCTTTAATCATTTTACCAAAATCATCATCTTTTTTATTTAATTCATCTAAAAATTATTTAATTAATTCATCTTTAGCATGCATAATTTAAGCAAACTTATCTTTTTATTAATTTATCAATTTATTAAGTTCTTCACATTCATCCTTTTCTTATAAATTACACCATTCCTATTCCAATTCAGCATTTTTAGAATTAGCCTTTTTACTTTCATCTTCTATTTTATTTGCTCTTTCTGCTCTTTTGAATTCTTCTTATGCTCTTGTCTCCTTTTATTTTTGATCATTTTTCTATTTGATTGTAAATAATTCCTCTTTTTTTGTTCGAATTAGCATGTCAATATTACCTCTACTCTTTTAAACTTATTCTGATCCTTTAGCTGTTTTTTTTGAATCCATCAGTTATATAAATATTTATATTAATGTCAATTGGATAAAAAATCAATTAAAAATTTCTTAGCCTTCTCTTTATTTTTACATTTCTGTTTTTGACTTTCTTAAATTCTTTCTAAAATTTTAGCAAATGTAGGTCTTTAAGAAGAATCTCTTTTAAGACAATCCTTTGCTAGGATTGCCAAAATAGGCGGATTGCTGAATTAAGGAATCTCAACTTAAGTATGTCCCCATCCAACAGTTCCAATAATTTATGTAATAGAAAGATTTTCATAAGGTATTTTACCAGTAATGATTTCCCATAAAATCATTCCAAATGAATATACGTCAGATTTTTCAGTATAAGGTTCTCCTCTCATTATTTCAGGTGCCATCCAATGTGGTGTTCCAATCATACTTTTAGTTTTTTTACTCTTAATTCTTGATAATCCAAAATCACATAATTTAACATTCCAATTTTAATCAATCAAAACATTTGAAGATTTTAAATCACAATGCATTATTCCTCTTCCATGAAGGTTATTCATTCCTAAAGTAATATCTTCAATAATTTATATAAAATTTAAATTTTTAGTTTTCCTTTTATGAATATGATCAAATAAACTTCCATTTTCCATATATCTAAAAATTATATCTTTAATTACTCAGTAATTAAGTAGAAATTATGTCTCTTAATACAAACACCCATATAAAGAACTATATTAGGATGTCTTAAATTAGAGATAACTTAAACTTCTTTTAAGAAATCAGCCATTAATTATTTGTGTTTTTACTAATCTTTTTTTTTGCAATAAGATTTAATTGCTACATCCTATCCAAGCCAATTTCCTTTAAAAACTATTCCATAACTTCCTTTTCCAATCTAAGATCCTTATTTTATCTCTTAATAATTTATCAATAATTTTTCATTGATTCCTAAATCTTTCAATAAACTCATTAATTTTTCTTAATGTCTTTATTATAGATTTTTTTCTGAAATAATCTGTTACTTGCTTGGTGATTAATTGGATTCCTATAATTTTTCATTAGAACTACTAGAACTCACATCAGAAGAATCTGAACCAGTTGCATTATTAATATTAAAATTACTTACTACCTAATTAGATTCTTATTTTAAACTCTATCCTTAATTCCCTTATTTTGGTGAGAGTTTTCCAGTTTCTTATTATCCTTCTTATTATTAAGGTGAAGTTTGTTCATCTGACCCTGAGGAGCGTTTACGTCGTGATTTCTTTTATTTTAAAACTTAAATTCCAGGACTTTCAGCTGTAGGTTCAATTTTCTATATTATGGAATACAATTAATCATATTTTGATGATTAATCAGCTGAATTTTCACTATCAGCCATATGGATCTATCCTGCCATTTTTTTAATATAATATTTCTTATGCATATTAATTTACTAAAGTATAATTTTTCTATGTCCTAATGTCTCAATGCCTAATTCTTCTTTCAATTCAACATCTGTTAAATCATGTAAAGTATCTCCTATCATATGATTTCTAATAAAATTATCTTTATATTGTGATAATCCTAAACAATCTAACCAAATACAAACTTCTTCTATATTCCAATCCTACACTATTAAAATAAAATATAATATAAGATTTAAATACTTTTCTTTTTCCCTTTAAGTGTCACTGTTTCGTTTAAAGCTTGTAAAGTTTCGAATCCATGTGCTTCCTGCTAGATTTAGTGTGTTTCCTCTGATTTATTATTGGGTAATGGTTGAGGATGTATTATATTATTATCTTTCACTAAAAATGCAGAAAACACATTTTCAAATTCACAAGGAACTTAGTCAACTACTTTTTACTCTTTTAATTTATCATTATCATATAATTAATAAGTCAGCTCTCTCGTATTCGAATTGTATAAATACCCAGGACTATTCTTCTTATTCTCAAAAAATTCACCTTAACTTATACTTTAATTCTTACCTGAATATATTGAGTTTTCAGCATAATAGATTGTTCCTCTCCCATGTTTTAAATTATTCATCCATTATCCTACATATCTCTCTCCATAAACTCCAAAATGTTATCCATGTCCATTCTTCTTGTTATGTTACCATTATCCTATATATAATTCTCCATTATTGTAAAAATATTTTCCAGTTCCATGTTTTTCATTAAATTACCATTCCCCTTCATAACGGTTTCCATTAGCAAACTTATATGTTCCTTTTCCATGCTTCATATTGTCTTTCATCTCACCTTTACAATTTTAACTATACAAATACCATGATATTCATCATTATTTGAATAAATGATATGATGTTCATTACTTGTTTGTCTTTTCAAAAAACTAAACAATTTCATTACTTTTAATATATTATAAATATTATCATCAATCTTTGATAATGAATTCATCTATAAATATTCATTCATATATCTTTTTTATTCATCATTATTTCTGATATCTCCCATTATTATAAAATTAGTTTAAATACATTATAAATATCTCATTTCATTCATCCAAATTACCTAAACTAATCTATCCTAATATCAATTGTTAACTTCTATCTAGAACACTTATTTTTTAATTCTGATAATTATTCATTTCTTATAAATTTCAAATTCAAATCAATTTTTATCATTACTTCAAAATTCTTTACTTCTTCATTCCATCATTAACACTTTTCATCTTTTAATTCTTAATTTCCTTTCCTATTATTTATAACAAAAATATTAAGTGATGAATATTAAAGAACTTAATTAGTTTATTATTGATTATGAACTCAAACCTTCATAAAAACTAATTAAATATCTAATTATCATTGGTATATCAGCAATGAAAACTAAAACTCAAGATATTTCCATCGAAACTATTAAACTAATAGCAAGTTATAATTTCAAATTTTCATTATTTTTAGGCTCTTGTAAATAACAAAAATTAAGAGATAGTATGGCAGAACTCAAATAAAGAGTTGTTAATATACAGTAATCTCTATCTTCTAAAAATGAAAACTTCAATTTTAATGAAAAAAAATCAATTATGAATTCTAAAGATCGATTAATGTCTACCTAATTTTCACCAATTCTCAAAAATAAAAAAGATGACTTATAAAATAGAGCAAAAAAGACTTTAATAAAGAAGGATATTGAGTCTAATCTCAAATCGTTAAATTTAAATAAAAAAGAAAATAATCAACTATCCAATCAATTATTAGAGCAAACTAAATCTCAACAGCATACTCAATAATCTAACAATTATTTTACATAAAAAAAAGTTAGTTTAGATTAAATTGCAAATAATTTTCTAAACTCACCTTTAGTAAAAAATCCAGTATCAGCTAGAAATATTACATAACAAGAAAGTGAACTTAAATGTAACTATTCATTTATTATTTTTATAGACTTTTTTTAGAATTCATGGAAAATAGTTTGAAATTCATTGATTCAACATTTTATTAATATATGATGAATGATAATTTTATAATCTCTTAGTATTTTTCTTTCCTACTTCTTGGGTTTATGTTTTTAACTATTCTTTTAAATTTAAATATTCTTATTTTTAATAGCCTTTCATATCAATCTCAAATTATGTTAAAAAAATAAACTCTTTAATCTATTCAAATCAATATATAAATTATTTTTTTATATTTATGATAAAATAAAATAACAATTTGATCTAAAAATGAGCTATTCGAAGAATCGATTATCATTTTTTTAGAATAATTATTTTGACAAAGGATTAATTTTTTAAATCTATTCATATAAGATTATTTACTTAAAAGGATCTAGATTAATGAAAATATTTATTTAAATTACAAAATTATATAATTGCATTTATAAAAATACTGATATTTATAAATTTCTAAAATATATTTTTTCTACTGCTATATGAAATATAGGATAGGATTAATATAATAGTTGAAAGCTTAAATTCGAAAAATTTTGAAAAGAAACTAATTAAATTCAGTAGAATCTTTAAAAATAATTTTTGTTTCAAATGATGATTATAACAAAATTATTTATTAAACCAAAAAAATTCAGTGTAATTATTTACTTCAACATATTTGAAACTGGAATTCTGTGATTTTCTCTTTAGTTAATACTTATAATCTGGAATGATTATTTTATCCTTTAGAAATTCATTAAAGGTTTAAATTGATTATGAGAATATGATTATGATTAAGACTATTATGAATTTAATATTTTTACAAAACAGTTTCTTATATAGACAATTATAGCATGAATAATCATTTATTTAATTAAAAATTTTTTAAGAAATGTAAAGCTGCAAGCATCAAACAATTATTTAATCAATCTATTCTGATTATGTTTTTGATTCATGGACCAAAAACTATGAAACATCTAGAAATCAAGACCCTAAAACCACGAAATTAAAAGTATCAAGTTAAAGAAAATAATCTTTAAAAATTAGAGCTATAATGAACTCGAATAATGAATACAGTACATCTTAATCTCAAGCTCAGAAAAAAAATTAAAATATATTTCGTTAGTTGATTTTAAGTAATCTTGAAGAGCTAAATGATGAACAATAAAATGTACATATTTTTTCTATAAAGAGAGTTATTCAAAATAAAGCGAGAGATCAAAAAATAAATCTTCAAATAGGTTTTATTCACAACATAAGAAAAGATAAAAAGAAGATTTTGAATAGTTGACTGAAAGTATTACTAATAACTCTACAATTTTCTCATAGCCTCTCAAAAATAGTAAACCAAGTATGTTAAGTTTTTCTCAAAATCGTAAATTAATTCTTCCAAAAATAAATCAATTATAATCTCAAAAATTATTAATAACAAAGTTTAAAGTTATTAGCAAAGTTATCGGAAAATTTATTTTATTATTTTATCAAATTTTGCCGAATACTAACCCCTTAAAATTACTATATAAGAACAAATTAAAAATGATGATGAATTTAAAGAAAACTTTTAAATTTGAAAGAAATATAGATGAAGGTTTATCTAAATCTTTTACATAATGGGTAGAACCTGCATTTTAAAAAATTTTTTATCATCTCCAAAATTCATTACCAAAAATTTATCAAGAAAATGTGAAAGAATCAAAAGAATAGAAGGATTAAGAAGAAATTTGGATGTTAAACTTTGCAAAATTTCTCTTTTAAAATTTGGAATTAATTACAAGAAGAGGTAATGTACCAAAAGAAATAATCTCTGCTATGTCAAAAACTATCTACAGAAAAAATAATAAATATCTATAGTTATTTATAGCATAAAGAACTTAATTTAATTAATATAATTTAAATTTTCTAGAAATCCAATTAATTATTAGTGAATATATATTGTTTAACGCAATATTAATTCCGATGTTTAATTTAGCCAATAATTTGAAATATCAATCATTCAATCATAATATTAACTGCAAAATAAAAATATTAGAGTTGGCAAGTATTATAAATCTGTATTACATAAAGAACTTTATAAATATGCCAATAAAAGTGTTTGATTTGTAAGAAGAAGAAATTTATTCAAGAATGATGTATATCACTCCTAACTAAGATTAATTCATATATTTATTAGATACTAAAGAAAAAAATAATATGAATTCTATGGTTTTAGGATTAAGAAACAAAGAAGAATATGTTTAAAATATACTACAATAAAGGCCTAAATGGAACTTAAAGCTCGAATTACTATTTAAATAATTTATACATAATTTATATACTTAAGTCGAGATATTTGACTGAACTAATTATTTATTTCTCTTAAACTTTAATATAGTATCATCAAACAATTTTTTTTTAATAGTTAATTTTTTTTATATAAAAGAAGTTATTTATTTGAGAGAGTCATCATGAATAAAATAATTACAAGAAAAAATGAATAATATTATTGTTTTCAATATTAATATTTTAGAAATTTCAATGCTATAATTATAAAAAAGGATTCTGGATTTTAATATGAATCCTAACAGACCTTTATTTTTAGGGTAAAATCATCGTTCTTCCTTGCTTTAACCCTAAGAAGTCCATCCAAGAAGTTATAGTGTTTAAATATAAAGTAATCGGTAGAACATTGGATATTCTAATTAAAACGATTTGAAATAAAGTCATTTGGCATAATCTTATTTAGACCATTAAGAAAGATTATAATAATAAATGGCTGCATAAAATTAAATTTTGAAATAACAATTAATTGAAATTGAGAATAGATAATTGAAATTATAAAATGAACTTCTTTCTCAATAAGTTTAGAAAATTTAAATTGATTTAGAAAATACAATAAAATTAATATCAAAAAAAAAAAAAAATCCATCTATTAAATAAAATTTGAGTCATTTGTCTTCAAGTTCATAGGTAAGTTAAAGAAACTAAAAACAAAAAAGTTTATCTATTGCTTCAAGTGATACAAAAGAAATAGATTAAAAATTATAAGAAGAAAAAAACAAATTTGAAGCTATTGAATTTCAAATTTCAGAAGCCTTTGATGTTTAAAATCATAAATAAACAAATAATGGAAATATGAAGAAATAAAAAACTTAAAAAAGATTAAGAAGAAAAAAAAAGATAAAAAAGTATTTGATAGCTGTTTTAGCTTGTATTCGTTTATAATGGAAATAAAGAGCTAAATTAAAAAAATAAAAATAAAAAATATTAAAAGAGAAATTAGATATAGCTAAACAAAAGATTTTAGCAATTCCAGAGGAAAATATTAGAAATCTTCTTTTGATATGGGTGAAAGATCTTTTTGATGAAATAATTTAAATTTTAAACAGTAAAGAATTTTAAACACATTGCGATAAACCTAATTATGATGCCAATCAAGATGAAAATATAACTTATAGATAAGAATTAATAATAAATTTAACATAAGTATTTTTTGATCGCTTAGAATAAATGACAAGAGAAAAAAATCTACCAACATTAATAGTAGATTTAATGTACTTATCCTTATTTCATTCATAAAATCCAAAAGTGTCTTTGTTTGTAGCTAAGAGAACAAACTTTTATGCTAAAAATAATATCAAAATTTCAAATCAATAAGAAATGTTGATTATTTCAGAATATATTTTTTTTCGATTAATTATATAGTACATGTTGAAGATATTTAATTCGCTTAAATATAAGAATGAAACTCATGAAAAATTATGCAAATTTTTCTCTACAATCATAGCAAGTTTTATCCAAATTCTATATATTGATTTTTTTGAGGATTTAAAATTCGTTAATTAAATAAATGTTCAATTATATTAAAGAAAGATTGTTTTAAATGAGAATTTATAAGCCTTTATGTTAGAAGATGATCAAATTGATGAATAAGAATAATTGATTTTAGGATTGCATGATAGATAATAATTTGAAATACTGTTTTAGCAATAGATGGATTGGATTACTTAGATAGGTAAAAAGTTTTATTAGATACTCTTAAACCTTCATAATCAATTATGATATTAATTTGAAAATATTATTTTGTTAATTATTAATACATAGGGTAAAAGATTTAACTTTAAATTTGTAATTATAAATCTTTTATTTATTTATAAATTTCAAAAATTTAGCTTTGATATATTTGAGCTGATTGATAATTGTTTTAAAGTCTTATTTTTTTAAAGAATTATCATAAACAGTTTACTGATAAGTCTTTTCATATGGTTATCTATCTGAGTAATCACAAATATTTCTTAAAATGGTATCATTATATCTAAAAACTTCAAATAAACCAATAGCATATCATTTGTATAATGAATTGAATGCATAATATTAGATTCAGTAAAAGAATATATTCTCTATTGAATTAAGTGCATCTTTTTGAAAATAATTAATGCTAAGATGACATTAAAAATATATAATCTCTTAAATAATTCAAAATATGTTTCATTGATTTTCTTAGATGGTAATTTGATTTTATTATAAATTTGAAGTAGATATAAACAATTTGATTTTAACCTTCTAAAAAGTAATATAAGAGCAATTGTCTTAATAAATAGTTAGTAATCATTATTAATTGAACATAAGATCATGCTCTCAATAGATAATTTAAACCATTCAATACAATTGAAGAAATGGTAAAAATAGCTTTAGTTCCTAAAATATTAATCTTTTTGAACTTGATTAAAATTCAGATCAATTAATATATTGTTTGAATTTAAGTGCACATTTTACCAATTAATAATAATATTATATTATCTAACTTTTTTATATAAATTATTTCTTCTATAGAGAATATTTAAAAAATTTCTTAATTATTCTGTTGATAAATGGATATCATCTAATTTTGAGCAATTTATTTCTCTTTGATTTCAAATAAATTCCAAATTATTATTAAAAAGAAATTAAATTCAAAGTAAATTAAAAATTGATTTTCAATAGTTCTTTATTCAATCTAATTACCATAATCCTTCAGAAGAACAATAAAATAGAAATAATTTTTTTAAATAATTTTTCAAGTTGGAAATAATAATTTACAATAAATAATATATTTAATTTACCTTAAACATAATGTAAAATTTTTTAATAGTGTTTATTGGTTGCATAATTGGTGTAATTTTAATTTAAGTTAGATCGTACAAAAACAAAAAATCATCACTTCCTAGCCAAAGAAGTTCAAATAAAATAAGAAATAATAACAAATAGCTATAATAATAAAACTAATAATCATAAGAAAATGGAGAATAGATACAGAAAAGGGATTTTTCCTAACAATCATAGAATTTGACAACACAACAAAATTAATTGGAATATCGTATGTAATCCTTAGACAGAAAATAAGCTCAAATAAATAAAAATTCAGAGGATTCAATCTAATCAAACTTTAAATATAGAGATGATATGTAAATTTAACAAAGAGAAAGACGCAATTTAAATTCAGTTTTGAAAACACCTGTAGATGGAAATTAAAAGAAAGATTCTTTAATTTCTTCCAATTCATTTAACTAATTTAAAGAGCCTTTTACATAATAGAATTTAATTCATTAACCTTAAGTTACAAATAATAATCACTTAAGTGCATCAAATTATTAAATTGTTTAACAAAAGATATTTTCTTTATATGATATATCATGTAGAAGTAGAAAAAGCGATAAAATATTTTTGGGTTCTGCTATAATTTCAAAAGATTTTAGTTACTTATCTATTGATGATTAAATAAAATAATAGCTAAAATTATTTTTAAAAGGTTATAGATAAGTTAGAGGGGATGGTAATTGTTACTTTACAGCAATTGCATTTCAATACTTTGAGATATTGTTAAATAAATTTAATTATTTGGAATTTGAAGAAGTTATAAACCAAATTGAGATGATGGATTTTTTGATTTAGTATGATGGGTATTTCTTAGAGTCTAAGTTATAGAATTTATGTGCTAAGAGATTGGTTTAACTATTAAAAATATTAAGAGATAACCCTTCATAACTAGAACTAATGATGGCTAATCCAAAACATGAATTTTATGGATTAGCAATAATTTTTTTTAGAAATTTATCTTAATTATTATATTTAAGATAAAACAGTCAAATAATTGGTGAATATAAACCAGATTTAAGTAATGAATTGTTAACATGGGAATTTTAGTGTAATGATTCAGAAATGATTAATTCATCATTAGCAAAATATTTAAATATGTATAGAAATTGAAATAAAATTAGAATAATAAATGTGTATTTGATAGATAAAAAAAATATAGAAGTAACTTAATTGAAATATGGATAATAATCAAAGAATGAAATACATTTAATATATATACCAGGACATTATGATATTGGAATACCAATATGATTTAATTACGAATTTGATTTTTTTTTGATGTGACAACCTGACATAAATTTATTTAAAATAATTAAAGAGGGAATGTCACAACCTAGTATGTCGTTCTTTCAAACTCGTTAACGAGCCATTTACTCAGAAGTGATTAACCCTGAAAACTCAGTGTTATATTAAGTAATATTGAAAGATTATAAGAGGACTTGTCCTATCTTCCAGACATAACATTGAATACGACAATGAAATAAAGAGTACCTAAGGCTTATTCATTAAAGAAAACTACTAATACATCTAGATTATCTGGAGCTCATTCAATATAGAAGAGTAAAGACATTATTAATTAATAAAGTATCTGAGGAATTGGTAGTAGAGCCTAAAGTATTGGAACCATATGAGCCTATTGGAGATAATATTCCAAGAAAAGTAGCAATCAACCGAAAATAGAAGCTTTATGCATCATTTAATATATTGCAGTTATTAGATTAAGAAGTATTCAAATTGAATATCAAATTTATAGGGTATTGATTTAAATATGACAAATCCATAAGTGTAATGGTTACCACTTGAATTATTTGATGATAATTCAAATGATGATTATCCAAATGAAGATTGGATTAAAAGAAAAGTAGATGAAGAAGGAAGAAATAGAAAATTATATGCTACTTGCTTATTGAAAGAAGATGGTATCTATGAAGCAAGAAGATGTGAAATTTTTGAGTTTAAAGATGGATTATTTATTGGAAAATTGAAAGAAAAAGATGGAAGAGATTTTAAAACTCATAGATTATATATATGTTTTGATGCTGAAGATCCTCGTAAATTTGTTAAAAGATTGGGAACAGCATTAAAAAATAGAGAACTTGCTGATAGTAGAGTTAGATATAACTATTTTATTGATGGAATGCCAATCTAAGATTTAAGTGAATTAGATACAGAATAAAAAAGAAGATTAGAATAATTAGCTAAGACTAAAAAATTAGAAAATTTAGATACTACAGCACTTATTGCAGAAGTCAATTATGATTATATGAGAACTATGAATAAAATCATTTTTGATAGATATTTAGAATATGAAGATGAAGAATTAAATTTATAAATAGATGAATATTAATCAAAATAAACTCCTTATTATGGAATGTTTCCAGTGAGTAAAGAGAAATAATTAGAAATGTATAATCCAAGAGAAATCACTTAAATTGATCCTAAGAATTTTAGAGAAACATTTAAAGACTTTTGTTTTAGCACACTTTTTATAAAAACTGAAGTTATAAGAGCTTTATAAGAAATTAGAAATGAATGTAATAAAATGTAAGAGTTTGAGATATTCAATTTCTAAATTGATAAAGTCATGGTCTTAGAGGAATTCAAACATGTTTAAGAAAGTTCAATTTCTTAAATGTTGTATTCTTTAAGAGGATCTTGGATTTAAGATTTATTAAAAATTATGAAGACTTACTTTTCAGGTGTAGGCAAAGGATGGTTTAATATGAAAGAATCAAATAAAATTACATATGATTTTGGCAAATTAAAAAGATTCTTAACTGTTGTAAGATTAATGATGTAAGATACTGTTTAGAGTTTAGTAGAAATCAATTATCATAAATTTGTGAATTATTTGAAGTCATTTATCCCAGATGAAGTAAATGTAGATGATCCTTCTAATATTATTAATAAATATAAAACTATAGGAGTCAAACCAATATTTACTATTGATATGATTAAAACCAATGATGATAAAGAATTTCTATATTCAACCACACCTATGAATTTTGTAAATATGATCATCTAATTGTTTGATAAAACTCTTGATGAAATTACTAAAGTACCAGATTTAGAACCTAAATTACTTACTGATCTCTATAAATAGAAAACAGATTCATTTATTAAGACTCCTGTAAAACCAAAAGAAAGACCTTAAACTCCAAATCCTAATGAAAGACCTAAGAAATTTCCAGATGAAAATAAATGGATATGGTTATTAGTTGAACATATCAAAGAAGAATTAATACGAGGTATTAGACCTTTAGATGATTACTTAAAAATATTTGAAAAATTTAAACCAATTTTATAAATGAATCCTGATGATGAAATTAGAAGAATTGAAATGGATGATAATCCTTGGGAAATTGATTAACTTAAAGAAGAAATATTTAAATACAATAAAATGGAAGAAGAACTCAAAACTCAAATTCCTGATATTGTTGAAGTTTCTATATTTTAAGTTTAATGTAAAGAAATCAAAATGTATCTTTGTGAAAAGTATTCAATGATTAGCAAATTATTGGTAGATATGATAGCAAGAAGAGCTAGAAAGAAAACTATGGAAATCTTCTAAGATTATTAGAGAATTTAAACTAAAATTAAAGAGAATCCTACTAATATTGAAAAATTAACAGAAATCAAAGAATTTATGTAAAATCTACCTAATGAAGTTGATAAACTTAAAATAGAAACTTAAAAATGTTTTGATATTTATAAAATATTGGATGAATTTAGTTATAGAGGATTTTAAAAAGAAGATTTAGATAGAAAATGGTATGTATTTGGATGTCCCAAAGATACTTTTGATTTGGTTACTAAGAGATAAAAAGAAATGGAAAAAGAGAAAGTTAAATTTTAAGATGAAATGAAAACTTAATAAGAAGAATTTAAAGAAAGTATAGATAATTTAGAAAGAACAATTTAAAATTTTAGTTAACATTAAGCATTAAAAAGTCATGCTGAAATTGCTTAAACTGCATAGGATGTTAATAAATATTTGGCAGATTTCTAAGATTAAGCTCGTAAGTTTAATTCAAGAGAAGCCTTATTTGATTAAGAATAAACTGATTACAATAAAATTACATTACTATAAAGAGAATTCTTACCATATAGTAATTTATGGATAACTACAAATTAATGGTTTAATAATTCAGAATCTTGGATGAAGGATGAATTACCAACAATAGATGCTGTAGCTGCTGAAAAATGGGTTGAAGAGGCTATTAGAATTTTAACTGGTGTTTGTCGTTTTTTCAAAGAAAAAGAACTTTAAGGAGTATTAAAAATTGCTACATCCATTAAATAGTAAATTGAAGAATTTAAACCTAAAGTTCCTTTATTAGTTGCACTTAGAAAGTAAGGAATGAAGGAAAGACATTGGTTAGAATTAAAAAATAGAATTGGATTTGTAAAACCTTAACCAGAAAGTGAGTTTACATTTACAAAAGTATTAGAAATGGGTTTAATGTAAAATGTCGACATTTGTGTTGAAGTAGGTGAAAAAGCTTAAAAAGAATATATGATTGAAACAATGCTAGATTAAATGGAATCTATGTGGGAAGGAATTAATTTTCAGTTATTGCCTTATAAATCAATTACATTCATTATTAGAGGATATGATGAAATTTAATAAGTTCTTGATGAACATATCGTTAATACTTAAGCCATGTCTTTCTCTCCTTTCAAAGGTCCATTTGAAGATAGGATCAATAATTGGAATACTACCCTTAAAATGACATCTGATGTTTTAGAAGAATGGTGTAAATGTTAAGGTTAATGGATGTATTTATAACCTATTTTTGATTCACCAGATATAGCTAAACAATTACCTGCTGAAACTAAAAAATTCAAAACTGTTGATTAAACTTGGAAACATACTATGCAATAGGCTAAAACTTATTCTTAAGTTTTAAAAGTTTGTACCTAAGAAGGATTATTAGAAAGATTATAGGAAGCTAATAAAAATTTAGAAATTATTTAAAAAGAACTCAATAATTATTTAGAAAAGAAAAGAGAAAAATTTGCTAGATTCTATTTCCTTTCTAATGATGATTTACTTGAAATCTTATCATAAACTAAAGAACCCACCGCAGTTTAACCACATTTAAGAAAGGTTTTTGAAAATATTAACTCCATTGAGTTTGATGATGCAAAGAAGATTCATGCTATGTTTTCAGCTGAAGGTGAAAAAGTTAACTTTGTTAAATTATTAGATCCTAATAAAAAAAATGTAGAAGATTGGATGGGAGAAGTTGAGGATATGATGAAATAAAGTGTGAGATAAGCTTTAGTAAATAGTGTGGCTGATTATATTGTTAAACCAAGACATGAATGGGTTTAATTACATCCTGGTTAATGTGTTTTAAATGGTTCTTAAATTTTATGGACGAAAGAAGTAGAACAAGCAATAAAAAGCAATAATGTTATGGAATATTGGGAGAAAATATTAAAAGCCTAAATTAATAAATTGGTTGAATTAGTAAGAACCAAATTGACTAAGTAATAACAAACAACAATAAATGCATTAATTGTTATTGATGTCCATGCTAAAGATGTAGTTGAAAAACTATTTAAAGAGAATGTAACTGATATTAGTGCTTTTGAATGGATTAGTTAATTGCGATACTATTGGGAAAATGAGGATTGTTTTGTAAAATGCGTTTAAACAAATTTCCCATATGGTTATGAATATTTGGGAAATACTTTAAGATTAGTGATTACTCCATTAACTGATAAATGTTATATGACTTTGATGGGTGCATTAAAATTAAATTTAGGAGGAGCTCCTGCAGGACCAGCTGGAACAGGGAAAACAGAGTCAACAAAAGATTTAGCAAAAGCCTTAGCCAAATAATGTGTGGTATTTAATTGTTCTGATTCAATGGATTATTTAATGGTTGGTAAATTCTTTAAAGGTTTAGCAAGTGCAGGTGCATGGTGTTGTTTTGATGAATTCAATAGAATTAATATAGAAGTATTATCAGTTATTGCTTAATAATTATTGGTATTATTTGGAGAGAAAGCAAAGGGCACTCCATAAATAGAATTTGAAGGATCAATAATTAAAATTTAACCAACATTCTCTGTGTTTATAACAATGAATCCTGGCTATGCTGGTAGAACTGAATTACCTGATAATTTAAAAGCTTTATTCAGAGGTGTAGCAATGATGGTTCCAGATTATGCTTTAATTGGAGAAATTATGTTTTATTCATTTGGTTTTGAATTGGGTAGGGAATTAGCTAAAAAGATGG